GCATATTTATTAAAAAATATTTATTAAAACACACTAAACACTTATTAAAGCACAGTAGGTAATACAGGGACAAGCACAATATCGGTAAAGTAAACCCTTGACTCGTACCGGTAAGTGTTGACAGGGCCGACCCGACCTCCTCGACTTCCAAAACAAAACTGAGCAGCGGCGACCTCTTCAAGTGTAAGTGCGATTGGTAGTTTACAGTAGCCAATTAGACATCACGTAATCGACCAATAGATCAAATCGAAGTGCAAGAGTGATTGCTAGTGTACAGTAGCCAATCAGACATCATGTAATCCACCAATAGCGTGCAGCCACTCTCATTGGTTGCTGTATAATTATTCTAACGTCATATTTTGTATAATTTTATATTTTTTGGTAGTTTATTAACAAATTTATTGTTGTAATTATTTAAATTTATTAATTGTTTTTAACTTAATCTTGCAGATATGTTGCAAAATGATTATTTATTAATATACATATATGTATATATCGTGAATTATACATATAATATAATATAATGGCTGCAAACGTAAAAAATAATAATAATCATAAATAAATTTAATATTACTTTTATTATATATAATCTGTTGTATTATTTAACCCTTTTATTCTCTTTCCTGCAATTTTCTTCAGATTTATTTTTTTTTCCTTACTAGGGCCTAATGATATCTTATATTTCATCAGAGTGTATACGCTACTGAGGACTTCTACGGATAGCTTACTGCGCATGCACTGGGACTGCCCAACACTGCTTCAGTGGGCTCCTCACTATTTAATGTTGTCTCTACACATAAGCTTCTTTCGCCGGCAATTATATAGAAAGTCCACTGAAGTTAGCCGAATTTTACGAATCGACTATAATCTACCGTCCAATAATAAATGGAGAAACACTGTTCATGTCATATTTTCCTTCTATAGAATAGTAAGCAATGGGTTTTGAAATTTAAATGTTATTCATATAGCCGTTAGTAGCAAAAAGTTTATTTATTTCCATATTATTGTTATAAAATGATCGTGATACCCACTGGTTGAAATATTTCTTTCACTCTGTTGATAAAATAATTAGTCACAAATACTTAATTTCACATACAGTGTTACTAACCTTGTATTAATGTGATGGCCGTAAGCGCTTCTTTTCATCGTAATGTATTGTTATTGTCTCAAATAATTCAGCCTAGTGATGAATTCAGGAAACATTTTCGTGAGGTATATTTTTCATAAAAAATTATTATACTTTTAAGTCTAATATCAATCTACTTGTTAGTTATCAACATTTTTATTTACAGGGAATGTTTGACAAACCAAATACAATCGGTTTCTTACATATTTCTCATTATTTATTGACAATATATGATTCGGAGCGTTTTAAAAAATTAATAGAATGGCCAGTAATTTGTAAAAAGACTGAAGTTAAATATCGTAACAATGTTAAAGATTATTTAACAACTATATCCTTGGAAAATCCGGACATTGGTTTTCCAAACATACTTATGTCTCACTTAATTCATGCTGGTGGCAATAAATTTACAACTATCATGTGGAAATTATCCGAAGTAGTAGTGCGAAAATATATTACCAGAGAAAGTATGATATTTTTCATAAACAGTATCTTGTTGATATGTTTTTTCTCATTGTTTGTCATAATAAACATCAATGAAATTTTATTACACTATTAAAATGAATCCCATTTACTATAATAAATTCCTGTTTTTATAGTAATTCCTGTGCATCTATAGATGAAATATACATTGTCTATAGATGCAAAAGGGATAATAACAGTATTAAGAATATTGTATCATTTAATTTTTTTTTTATAGCTGATTACAATATTATGTTCGCACCACAAGTTGGACCTAAAGGACATTTAGCAAAGAAATTTGTTCAAGAAACTAATGTAAAAGTTAATTTAAATATTTCTAGTAATCATAAAAATTTATCAGAGATGGAAAATGCAACTAAAGTTGTTTTAGAGTAATACACATATCATTTGTTTGCTTTATTTATATATTAACAAACTTTAATTAAAATATTAATTTTATTTTATTTTTTAGGAAAGAGAAAGAAATACTAACTAATATTGTAAGAGAAATTTTTGAAAAAGAACAGTCAATTGAAATTCTTTCAGAGGAAGCACCTGTGCATCCTTCAATTAAAAAATGTTTAAGAGATATAAATGATGAAGAAGTGATAAAAAGTTAATATTATACATATATTTATTTGTATATATATATATACATTCTAGTTTCAATTTGTTTAAAAGAAATAATCATGCATTGATTTTAGTGTGGAGAAAAAATGTCACTGATGGATTAAATCGTATACAAAAAAAAAATTCAATTTTAAAAGGTATAGAACAGCTTGTTTCTAAAGTAAATAATATAATATCAAGTAATAGTAATGATATTGGGGTATTAGATGGTAAACAAGTACAAAAGATAAGTTGTTCAGAAATTTCAGAATTATGTTCTGTGGACAAACAGGTACATTGCACAATATGACATATATTTGCTCATAGTGTACAAAAAATAAAATCAACAATATTTTAAATTTCAGTGCCTTCTGTTTCAATCATACAAAGATAATAAGTTAGTATTAAATAACTTTCTGATATTATTTAATTATTTACTAATTCAATTACATCAACGACTGAAAATAAATACAAAGGATATTTCAAAGTGTTTATTACAAGTAGAAGCTAGTTGTAAAGATATAAAAGCAGCATCAAATATTATTCAATCATATCTATCAGATATTATAAAACTGTTATCAGAATCTCAAGATATTTTATGTCAGAAGAATGTACAAAATGTAGTTTATGATGATACTGTATCACCTATAATGAACAATGTGGTTTTAATGTTATCTCCTCGTATAAAAATTGATACAAACTATAATAATGAAGAAAGTGATCTACAGAAACTATTACAACTTACTCCTGTGGAAGGTATTAAATGTAAAAAAATTGTGTTAACTGTAGAAAGTGTCAAATATTTAAAAATATATATAAATATTTTTTTCAGATGCACATAAATCACTATTTTCACGGTATAAACGTTTGAAACAAAATCATACATCACATGGATCAAAGTTAAGGGAAAATTTGTTAGTATCACGAATTAATTTTAACGATACAATTTTAACTCCAAATAGTGAAAACTCATCTTTACACGCACATACAATATTTAGGAGAAATTTACCGACATTTAAACAAGCAGAAAAATACTCCCGATTATTTTCTAATCGTACAAAAAGGGCTAATAGGACAGGTTTGTAAATAATAGAAAATATTTATTAATATTAATATTTTATTTTATAGTAAAAGACTTTCTTTTTTAACAGCAAATTCCAGTATAATGTCTATACCGTGTTCTTCAAATGCAAATTCAACAGCACTTATAAATGCAATTGAAGAAATACATGATATGTCAGAACTGAATTTAAACATTTCAGCAAAAAGTCTTTGTAATACGAGTGCAGAATTTATTACTCCTGAAAAATTAACTGCCAAACAAATTGAATGTAAAAACAGGATGGAAATGGAAAATATAGTACATGAACTTCCAAATAAACTTACTATACATGATGTATGTGAAACAATACAAGAAAAAATGAATAATGGTTGTGACAATAATGTAAAAGTTGAAGAAAGAAGACAACCGAGGCGTTCAATCGGAGATTTAGTTGAACGTTATAAAAACTTGCTTGAATTTAGCAATCGTACATCGAATTCTAAAATCAATTGTGTAAAATATGGTGATAAATAGTTGTAAGAATTGACAATTTATATTGTAAAATTGACTATCTATAAATATGGAAAAATATACATTTTTACATGTTGCTTAATAATGATACTTAATTATTAGTAACTTTATAAATCTTATACACAATTTATACTTTATAGAATAAAAGCAAACCGCGCGTATATTCAAATGTATGTCCCCGGGAGGAAACCAACGACCAAGTTGAAGAAATCTTCATTACCCACCATAGTATTCATACATTGGCGTATACTGTACCTAATTCACAATCGACATATATATATGTATATAATACATTTTTAAATTTCTAGATTCCTTGATTAGCATATTCTTGTATTCGTATATCTCTAGATCCCTAACGCGTTTACTTAGTATAAACAAAATAATTCAGGAATTTTTATTTATACTCTGTAGCTCTACACCCTATCTTGTTTTATCTAAACACTCCCTTACGTGTTTATGAAAATGAACCTGAATGTATTGCCGGTAATCATCCGGTGATAGAATTATGTTTATATCTTAAGGTTATGCGTTTTAACCAAATGTTATAGTGACAGAACTAAAAGTTATTATTACATATCGTGGTACCCATAATGAATTATGGATAAAGAATTGCGGAATAATTATTAAGTTAATTCAATTTTATTAAATAAAAGTAAAAATATGAAATTGGTGAAGCCAAACTGGGTTACACATGATGGTCTGTAAAAAATATAATATTTAAATACATTTTTCTTTAATATTTATAATGAATATGCCTAAGTTTAAAGTGTAATTATTATTTAGGATACTCAATATTTTCTGTGGATATACATCCAGATGGAAAAAGGTTTGCCACTGGTGGTCAAGGTATACTAACTGTCCTTTTATTTTTTGATAAAAGTAATGTTTTAATTATAATTGTACTATAAATTTCATTCCAGGTGGAGATTCTGGAAGGGTTGTTATATGGAATATGGAACCAGTAGTTAATGAAATTGCAGAATTAGATGAAAATATTCCAAAGATGCTATGTCAGTTAGATAATCATCTTGGTATAAACACATGATAAAATTAATACATTAAATGCTATAATATATAATATATTAATACATTTGTTATTTGTATAGCATGCGTCAATTGTGTTAGATGGAGTAATAATGGATTATTAGCATCAGGTGGTGTAGATAAATTAATTATGATTTGGAGATTATCTGGAGGATCAGGTGGCAGTACTTTGTTTGGTGGAAAATCAAGTGTGGAAACATGGCGTTGTATAGCTACATTACGTTCACATGAAGCTGATGTACTTGATCTTGCATGGGCACCTCACAGTCCATGGTTAGCTTCTGCATCAGTGGATAACAGTGTAATTGTATGGGATGCTTCCAAATTTCCAGCTATTGTCGCTGTTCTAAAAGGTCACACAGGATTTGTAAAAGGAATTACTTGGGATCCAGTAGGAAAATATTTAGCCTCTCAGTCTGATGATAAAACATTACGAGTATGGCGCACTACAGATTGGACTGAAGCAGCTCTAATATCAGAACCATTTGATGAATGTGGTGGAACAACTCACGTTTTAAGACTTTCTTGGAGTCCAGATGGTCAGTATTTAGTATCAGCTCATGCAATGAATGGTGGAGGTCCCACTGCACAAATAATTGAAAGAGATGGATGGACACAAGATAAAGATTTTGTTGGGCATCGTAAAGCTGTTACATGTGTAGTATGTATTAAAAATAAAAAGATATTATTTTATTTAGAAGTGTTTGTTAAGTATCTGATTCTTTAATTATTCATTCATTGCTTATTGCAGAGATTTAACGGTAATATTTTACAAAAAAAGCAGCCAGGTTCTTCAAAACCACAACAGTATTGCTGTGTTGCTATAGGATCTCGCGATCGTTCTCTTTCTGTATGGTTAACATCGCTAAAACGACCTTTGGTGGTAATACACGAATTGTTTACACATTCAGTCTTAGATGCTAGTTGGTCACCATGTGGTCTTAGATTAGCTGCTTGTTCTTGGGATGGATCTGTTGTGCTTATTGAATTTACACAGCAGGAATTAGGTCAACCACTTGATCCTGCTGAACAAGTAAGTATTGTACATAAATTGTTTAAACCAATAAAATATTAATAACTTTTATTTTATTATAGAGTAGTCTTCATGAACGTTTGTATGGTAAACCATTGGTTCAAGGTGGTTGCACTGTAATGGAAGCACCTGAACTTCTTAATTTAAAAACATCAGCACCTCCAACACAACCAATTCAAAGTCCTTCAAATACAACTTCTGTTCAGCCACCAACTACTACTTCAACCACTCCTGCTAAAGGTCCTATCAACAAACAAATTGAGACAAGGACATCAGATGGCAAAAGACGAATAACTCCAATGTTTATACCACCACCGTCTGATAGAATGTTAATTAACTTACACTTTTACGAAATTATAAATAGGTTTTGGATGATATATATATGAAATAAATAATTTATTTTTTTTAGAGATTCATCAAGTGGTATACTAGGAACACCAACATTTACAAGTCAAGTTAAAAGTTCAATTGTTATAGAAAAACGAAATGACGTTGTAGCACCTAACGTTACAACTTCTATAAATCCAGCCAACGCAAATACTTCAGCTTCTACACTTACTTTGAAACGACGGGAACAGTCTACGCCAAGACCACATCCCACATCATTTAATAAAAAACCAAAAGTCACATCTGAGAGGAATACAAATCAAGTCATACTTCCTCCTTTAAAACCATCCAATTCATTATCTCAACAAGCTGGTCACTATGCAGTAACCGTAACTAATAATCAAGGTTTATCCCATTTGCAAGTATTTAAAGGTACAGATTCTGAACCAACCTGGGATTTATATTTGGGATACAGTGCTGTTGCTTTAGCAGCATCACCAGCTGTTATAGCACTTGGTTTAGAAGATGGTAGTCTTCATACATTTCATCCTGCAAAAGGGTGTCGACCAGCGCCTCCTTTAGCTCCACCTGCACCACTTGCAAAAGTTCACGCAGTTGGAAATGCAGTAACTATTTTTCTTAACTTACATATATACAAATATATTTATACTAATCATTAGTATTTCTAGGTAATGGTCATTTCAAGCTGTGGTGCAGTACGTGTTTGGGAAATAGGATATTCATGCAGAATGATAGTTTCAACTTCTGCAGCACATTTAGCAGTACCTGGCACCTCTCTACTATCTTGTACTTTATACAATGGAATGCCACATTTAGCTTTCACTAATGCTAGGGCGTATATGTATCATAAAGAAATGGGTATACAAGTTATATTGCCTAACTTGAAAAATATATTATATTTAGCATATTGTTTATTTAAAATGTATGATACTTTTAGGTACATGGCTATTAATTGGTGATAGTCAAGATCCAATATGGCGCTGGGCATCATTTAATGCATCATCTGTTACTGGCAACAGAGCTCCCAGAGGTCCACTTTTTTCTTTGCAGGAAGGACTACTTAGAACTGCTGGAAATACTCTACCTAATCCCAGATTACCTCATAGTGCTCCAAGTGTAGTCTCTTATTTGGAACAACAATTACTTGCTTCCAAAGCTCTTGGAAGTACTCAGGAATATATACATTGGCTTATGGCCTTGGTATCATTTCTATTAACTCAAGGTATGCATTTAAAAATGTTTGTTATTTGTGATTTTTTATTTAATAGTACATCTTACAAAATATTATACTTTCAGATGGATTGGAAAAACGTCTGAGGTTAATCTTAGATGAACTTTTGGGTCCAAGTCATACATCAGCTTCTAAAAGTATATGGGATCCTTTAATTTTGGTACTGATTTTAGCATTACTATTTCATATTCAGATTATGTATCATATCTAAAATCAAGATATTATTATGTAAGATACTAATGTAACAATATATTTCTGTGCCTTTTCCTACAGGGAATTAAGAAACATAAACTTTTGGAAGATGTATTGTCTGTTGTTGGTGGACATCTTCGTTGGCAAAGATTGTATCTTGAGTATACAGAGCAACTAACTGCATTAAAAAATCAAATTAATTAAAAGTATCTGATCGTAACATAGATCTGATAGAACCTATAGAATTTTATATTATAACTAAAATGGTATCAAAAATGATCAAGGTATGGTTTAGATTCCGTACTAAATGTAACACATAAACGTACTTAGTGCGAAACTATAAAAGTAATGAAAGTTTAATTTATTTTCGATATTTTATGTACGTTTATTTAATTCATATACTATATTAATTACTTAATAAAACATATCAGAAGTCAACAATGATGTGCAGTTAGAAAATAAATGTGTGAATTTATATACATTTACAACTAATTTAAGTTCCAGAAAGTACCTATTAATTTTTTGATACCAATTTAGACCTCAATCTGTATTTCCTGTATATTTTTAAAAACAAATATGTACAGACTTTTTTATATCTTGTACAACACGATAATTAAAATAAATTCATAATAAAAATAATATTTTATATAAAATAAATATTGCATTTTCAATATTAATAGTTGTAAATAATGCAACATGAAAGGTATGTACGCTAAGCTAGTTTTTATATATATATTTTAATAATTCATAAATTCAATATGACAAGAATCACTTACGAATTATAATTTTAGTTTAATATATTCCACATAATTCATTTTTTCATACAATTCATTAGTCTCACAACTTTGCTCTAACGCGACAATAAAATTGAAATTTAAAATTAACAATAAATAGACTCATTCCTGATTTCTTATTTCAATCTACTTTTTATAAAAAGTCTTTACAAATTTTGTAATAAATTTCTACTAGTATCAATGAGTAAATAACAGTTTATTTACATATTACAACTTGCATAAATATTGTTAAGAAAAATACAATAAATAACATAGGCATATTAATTACTGTAAAAAAATCTTTCGTTTGTAATATTTTTAAAGATAGTATCAGTAATATTACTTTGATATAATAATATTGTGTATGTATATGTACAATGAGTGTCACTGAAAATTGCATAGAATTCACGAAACATTTTTTATTGTAAAATACTGTTAAGTAAAAAAAACGATTTATCTATAATAAGTAAATTAAACTATTGCATAATACTCGCATAAAAATCATCGGTCACTTCATCATCAACACCACACAAAAATGTTTTTTGTAGCGTATTGTAAACTTTTTAATGACACTCACTGTATCTAAAGTTCAAATCACAAATTTAAAAATACAAAAGTGATTTAAACTACTTATTTGTCTTTCAATTGACATAGTAATTTTAAAATTTGATATATATATATAAATAAATGCTTTTCTAGTGAAGACTAGCATTTTCTAAAACAATTACTGACAAAGCATAAGATACTTGATTAATACATAAAATACGAATTGTATAATATTTATTAGAAGAATACACTATATAGCTAAATGATCAAGTCTTTAATATTTTAGTTGCATACTGTCTCTCACTGTCAAAGCGTAAGTCTATGAAGGCAAACTGCAGTTTTATAAAAATAAAATTGACGTTTGTAATGTAAAAGATAAAAATCACATAAAATACCTAAAGGTATAATTATTCATTTGTATATAACATGTAATTAAAAACTTAGAAAACTATAAATGTATGTACATTGTAATCAAAGTCAGAGACAGTACTTAAGATTACATATAAATGCATTCATTTAAAAATATAAAATAAATATAACATATAAAATATTCAATTACTATTATCACTCCAGAAAATTATAACATTGTTTGAAGAAATCAGATGATATGTTGTAATCAATAAGTAATGCTTTAAATGTATTACAGAATAAGAAGGAAAGTTTCTATTATTAATATAAAATAGGTAAATGGTAGTTATCCAAAAACAGTAAACTATTAACCATGTATCACACAGTCCGAATTTTTCAAATTCGATAATTTTATCAAGAATTTTCATTTTCAAAAAACTTTAATAAAAATGCTATTCGTATTTGACTATCGTTTTCATATTCCAACAGCTAAAGTTTCTCTAACATTATTAAAATTGCAATTTTTGACTATTATCTACATAGCACGATATAATATAATAACTTCAATAAATATTTGAAAGAGAATATATATCAATTTTACAGATTTAGGAATTATTCAAGTCTATCCAATTGATATTTATGCAATATTTGAACGTCTTTTCTGAATGTATATTTGATATTATAATCTATGCATGTATGTTTGTGCGTGTTACACATTTGAAAACATGCTACACTTTCAATAATACACACAGTCAATTATCTTTAAACTTCAAGTGTAACAAGCTATGATTATCTTATATAATGCAGGCCACAGTATATTTTATTATCCATTCTATCATCAATTGCAATAAGCATATTTGTTCAAATATTAACAAACCTAATATCATTATTGCTAATATAATAAAATCAATTATACTCATATGTATACATACAGTATCATGTATATATATAAATTAAATTTTATAAATAATTTTGTTATTAGTATGAAATTTTTTAGTACTGTATTTGACATCTTAAATTATATTTAAATTATATTGATATTTCATGATTTTAACAGAATTATAGTGTGCCTTATTAAAAGAAACTAATCACTATCCATCATAATAGACTCTTTCAATTCTGATTCATCAACATAATGGTTCTTTGAATTCCTTTCTTCTGCAGATTTTACACACTATAACAATTTATAAACAAAGTTTTGTAATTTTAAATTGCAACTACCACTACTTTATTTCTTTATTATTTTTATTCTGCAAATTTTTAAGCAGAAATTCTTAAAAAAACACTTACATCCTCAATTTTTATTCGCGGTGACGCTATTTGTTCAGGGAAATGCCATGGCTTATAATTTGGATTATTTAATAATTTCCAATTAGGATAAGCTACAGAAGCCTTATGTAATTTTTTAACCATCTGAAATAGGAACATTTAAATTATTAAATTCTAATTCATAAATAGAATAAAAATTTTATGATATATATGTACATATACATACTCTTGGAGCAAATATTTGTGTAACTTTATTAACAAGCCAAACTGGTAGTTTTCCATGTGGGTCAGTATGAGATACGTAACCCAGTTCAGAACCATCACCATTTCGTGATGGTCTTACAATATATCCTTAAATTAGGAATTTCAATATTGAAATAGTAATGCTTAAATATATACCTAAATGCGAAAATATATAAGAAGTTTTATTTTAAATTTCAAATTATACCTGTGAGATAAGATGTTGCCCGCACAAATTGCTTTCTTGGTGGATAATCTTTATGAAAAACGGAATGATTTAGAATCAGTTGCTCTATACCAGTATCAAGCCACGATCTTTGTAGAACGAAATCTCTATTTTTCAATGGAGATGGACAGGCCACTAATTCATATGTACATATATATACATACCCACAGGTGTGTGTGTGTATATACATATATTACTTTATTTAAAACAACTAAAATTTGTATATAACATAAATATCTAACAATAACACTTACTAGAGTAGTAACCAATATCATTATTTGGATTAAAAAACCCTATATCTTTTGATTCAATCATATGAGTATCCCAAACTTTCCTATATTCAGGATCATGTAGAACATCATATAAAGTTTCTGGTAAAACATCAGGAAAACGAGTTCTAATCTGTAATGATTAATAAGTAACACACATTATATAACATGTACAAATAAAGTATGAACTATGAATACAAATTAAAATTTTCAAAGATATGTACTTTCACCATTTTAAAACTAATTCCTGGTACAGATTTTGTCCATACTGACAAATCTGGTTTATTATAATCTAATTTCCATTCATTATTGTCATCATACAACTTCTTGAGTTTTTCAAAGTCTCTGTCTTCAGCAATTTTAACAACTCCAATATCCATTTTCCAAAATATCACTTATGAAGAAGTCAGCATACTAATTATCAAATATATTATTTCTGAAACAAAAAAGAACAACATAATAATGAACATTTTATATATTCTAATAAAACTACCTTCAAAATATAATATTCTTTATATTTTTTATAATAAAATTACCTGCTATTTGTGAAGCTTATAATGTTTCAATATAATATTTATACATGTTTAATTTTATTGTGTTATAAGTCTTACATTTATACCAAAGTAACTTTTGAGCAATCTTAATCATCATTCTGCTCTTACACAGCAATGAAATATATTAGCTTCAAATTTCACTTATACTATAAACGAAAATGAAAATTATATAAAGGAAATTCTCTTCTGCTTTCAAAACAATTATTTTGTCTTATAAAATAAAACAATCATTTAAATTAATTATACAATTTTTATTGTGCTAGTTAACTGCAGTTGTGCAAAGTATAATATATAAATAATGAAATAACAAAGTGTAATGAATTAAAGTGTAACTGTTATTCATTTGTAACTTTGGAATGAATATTTAAAAATTTAATAACTCTTATTAATTATTAAAATTTTATTAACATCATTAATATGTAACATAATAATAGAAAATTAATAAAAACAAATTTAAATTGCATGTATAAAGAGAATCACATATGAAGGGCTAATATTCTAATATTATAAATCTTGTACTTTCATGGAACTCCTTACAAAATAATATTTTGCATTTACTGCTTCCATTTAATATACATGTAGACATGACTTTATTTGTGAATTCAGTATATTTTAGATTTGCACTACTACAATTTTCAGTTCTCCATATGTTCTCTTCAAAAATAATAACCTGAAAAAATTGTTTACTCTTATACGTACCCTATATGTAATATTAAAATGATTACATTTTCTTCACAAATATTTTTACACATTGAAAGTAATTAATCTAAGTACATTTAACTTGCAAGTAGGATTAAAAATGTTCGTGAAACATTAGAAAAATCAAATTTCACCTAAGAGTTCTTATCTGACAGATCAACCGATCGCGTTACTAGCACGATATAAACAGGTTAGTCGGCATCTATAAATTTGATCTTTAAGTTATTTTCTCATAAATGACATTTCATAAGTTTTCAATATCTATTATCATTCTATAATCTATTCTATTTAAAAACAATTTTATTTTGCATTTGTGCATTTTTATTATCAATTCATTGTACCGAATTCATTGTAATGAATTTATTGATTGATGCTCTATAAATATACAAATTTTTTGTTATTAAAATTCGTCAATAATCTTTTCTGAATTTGTAAAATTCTTTTCTATGTTTAAATTCACTACTTTTTTCTGTTCTTGTTAATACTTTACATTCACTGAAGAAATAAGAAATTTATGAATGTGACAATGTAATAGTACTGATCTTATAATCAACTTATCTCTACAGATGTCGGCATTCATTTTTTACTTTTTACTATATATATATATACATATAATATATAATTTAGTTTGATTAGTATATCATATTTAGTTTAGAAAGATAACATTACTTGCTTTATTACATGTAAATGCTTATTTTCTAAACTCTCCACATCACATAGTACATTTTATATAGACTAATATCAATACTGAGTAACTAATATATGCATCAGGTATTTAATACATAATTATCGTATTAAATGTTTTATTCATAATTTGTACTTTCTTAGGTTAAGTGGCACAAAAAGCATTTTTATCATGGCTGTAAATTTTTCTGTCAATACCAATAATGTTGACTTGGATGATAAAATCAACGAGTGGTTAAAATGGAATAAGGTATTTGTTTTTAAATTAAAGTGTTAATCACTGAATATATCTATAAATTTGTGTTGTATATTGTAGGATCAGAATGCTGAACATAAAATTAGGGAACTTATTTCTAATGGTGATTATAAAACTTTGTCTAATTTATTCCTAAGGAGACTTGAATTTGGTACTGCTGGACTAAGAGGTCGTATGGGTCCAGGATATAGTCAGATGAATGATTTAGTTATAGTTCAAACTGGTCAAGGTTTATCTGAGTACTTACTTGATACTATTGCAACTAAAAATAGGATCATAATAGGATATGATGGACGTTATGGTAGTAAAAGGTAAATGAGGATTTTTAATAATTCAATTGAAGTAATTACAAAATTCAATATATGTTATATCTATAGATCATTAATATTATAACATTACCACAATATCATTCTAGGTTTGCTGAATTAACTGCTGCAATTTTTTTGGCAAAGAACATGAAAGTGTACCTTTTCTCAAAAGTTGTTCCAACTCCATTTATACCTTATGGAGTATTGAAATATAAGTGTGCAGCTGGGATAATGATTACAGCTTCTCACAATCCAAAAGATGACAATGGCTATAAAGTTTACTGGGAAAATGGTGCACAAATAATATCACCACATGATAAGAAAATTCAAAAATATATACTTGAAAACCTTGAACCAAATGAATCCTCTTGGGATACTATAAATGTTTATAACAATGATTTGTATACAGATCCATGGAATGATATTATGGAATCTTATTTTTATAATCTTAAGCAAACTGTTTTGTATCCTGAAGTAAATAGAAATACAATATTAAAATTTGTTTATACTCCCATGCATGGTGTTGGATATGAGTATATGAGTGCAGCTTTTAATGTTGCGAATTTGAAGGTACTATTATAATTTTCTAATATTTTTTTTAATACAAATTCATTCAATGTGTCTTTTTAAACTAAAAGTTAAACAATTTTTTATGTTGGAAGGATTGATTTCAATTTATTTCATTTTATTGCAGCCATTCATAGTAGTTGAAGAACAAAAATTACCTGATCCAGAATTTCCAACTGTCAAATTTCCAAATCCTGAAGAAGGAAAAAGTGCTTTAGATCTAAGTATACAAGTAGCTGATAAAAATTCTGCCACTATTATTCTTGCAAATGACCCTGATGCAGATAGATTGGCTTGTGCTACAAAAATGAAAAAGTATGTATTTAAAAACTTAATTTTTACATATTGATTTTATCTTTCTATTATATATTCTTCACAGTGGTGAATGGTATGTTTTCTCTGGAAATGAATTGGGAGCACTTTTGGGTTGGTGGATGTTGCATAAGTATCAAGTCGAACATGTTGATACAGATTTTTCAAATGTATATATGTTGGCATCAACAGTTTCAAGTAAAATTTTAGCATCAATGGCCAAACAAGATGGATTTAACTTTGAGGTATTGTCTATTTAAAACGAAATTCAATTATATCTACTGTTTCCACTATTATATATTATTTTTGGTTTAAAAGGAAACTTTAACAGGTTTTAAATGGATGGGTAACAGGACTATAGAATTGAAAAACGCAGGTAAAGAGGTTTTATTTGCGTTTGAAGAAGCCATTGGTTTTATGTGCGGTTCAAATGTTCTTGATAAAGATGGCATAAATGCTGGATTGTGTTTAGCCGAATTATCGACTTATCTTGAGACTATGGGACTTACTCTTCATGAAAAATTGAATGAAATATATGCACAGTATGTACTGTAGTTCATTTATAAAGTATTAAGTAGAAACACATTGATAATTTACATTTTTATTACTTAAATATATCCTTATTTCAAAAAATATATATTTATTTTAGATATGGATATCATGTGTGTAAAAATTCATACTGGATCTGTCATGAACCAGACATAATTAAAAACATATTTGAAAGATTACGAACATACTCAGGGAAACCAAATACAGTAAGAACATTGTATATAAAAATTTTCATGTGTACATTTATCAAGAATTTTAATTACTATATTAATTAAATTTTTTTTTTATTTTAGTATCCAACAGACATTTTAAAAGGAAAATATACTATAACAGGTGTTCGGGATTTAACAACTGGATATGATAACACAAAACCAAACAATAAAGCTGTTTTACCAGTTTCAAAATCTAGTCAAATGATAACATTTATATTTAACAATGGTTTAGTTATGACACTGAGAACTAGTGGTACTGAACCTAAAATTAAATACTACAGTGAATTATGTACACATTCAACAGAACAGTAAGTTTACTATTTTCTTTAGTAAAAGTAATCTAAATATAGTTTTAAGATAATTAATATTTTTTCTGTCTACCATCTTTAGAGATATCAAGATATTAAAAAATACGCTTGATGAAATGATATCAGCTATTGTAACTGAATTTCTTCAACCCGAAATAAATGGTCTTCTGCCACGTACAAATTAAATAATATTGTTATTTTAAATTATATTAGCTAACAAACAAAAGGTAACCATTTTAAATTTATTAAAATATGAATATTAGAATATTTAAACATAGATATATTCAACTTTTACACTTTTTTATTTTTCCATGTAACGTCAATATGGTAAAATAAATGTTTAACAAATAAATTTTTTAACGATGTTTCCATTTTACATAAAAAATATAAATAAACGGTTTTGAATACAGAAGTGTTTCTTTATTTACTTAGTTATATAAAAACATACAAAATATACCATTTGAAATATTCATAAAAATATTAATATTAATTAGAAGTTATATAAAGCAGTTCTTCAATTTATTAATAGATCTAACAATGTATTAACATAACTTTTCAATCAATTTCTTTTGCCTTTTTAATACACATGCACGTAACTATATCAAAATCAGTTTTTTTTATCTTTTCTATGTTTTGCTTCATTAAAATAAAACGTAATACACTGAAAGAGGTACAACTGTATTACATAGAAGCATTAAAAGAGATATATTTTATTATTATATTACAATGTTACCTGTTCATCTAAAAAATCCATAAGAGTATTCATCTTGCATTTGAAACCTTCTGCTTTCAATGAAGAATGTAAAGAATCAATGCATAATGGTTCATAAGCTAAAATTTTATTATGTAATACTTTATTGGTAGTAATAAATTTCAAAAGAATATCTTTCATGTTTTGTGTATTATCAGCTACATTTATAGATTGAGATTCATTGAATTGTTTCTCTTCATTGGTAATAGTTATTTGTGAATGATTACTTGTGACACTATAAAATTGCGATTTTTATATATTAATTTATCTTTAAAAATATTCATATAAAATTAAATATTATAATAAAGATTTTACTTATGACTAACGCATTTTTTATGACAAAAAATAAAATTATTTTAATAAAAAGAACAGTGTGATATCAATACAATTTACAAATGCAAACGTGTAGGAAAAACATACCTATCTGGTGAAAGCAGTAGTTCACAATCATTATCATCAATGGAATTAGTATCACTTTTATCATAATTTATTTTTTTCATTGGTGGTTCTTCATCTTCACTACTTATGTTTGTAAATTCTGATTCTATCCCTGATGTACTAATTGTAGGGTGTAATTCATTATAAATATATGTTAATAATTTCACAGCTTTTTTCCGTTTTTGGATTTTTAATCCATACCTATTTAATTTTTCCTACAAATATAAGCTCACATAGTATAAACTTAATTATAATATAAAAATACAGAAAATCAACATACATGCAATTCTGGTGTCTTCATCTCATTATAATTTGGTGGAGGAGTGTTACTATTTCTAATGATTACAGGTGATTTGGCTACTCTCGATATTTTTTTATGACATTTACATTCAGATTTCTTTAAACTATTAATGTTTGTGGCACTTTTTGTATGAATATTTAAATTTGTTTCTGAAATAGATTTTTTTTTAAATTTTCTATCATTTTGTTTCTGAATTGAAGACCTTTTTTTCAAGTCAATATTATCATTATTTATAATTGATGGAATCTCTTCTTTATTTATATTGCATGTTTGAACAGAATTGCATTTATTTAACTGATCTATATCTTCAATACTAGACAAAGAAATGCTTATGCTATTGTTATCATCTTCATCATTAATATGAACATTTGCCAAATAATTATCACGTTCAATAGAATAATTATTAAGAGATTTTTCAAAATTTGAATCTCTATCATTTTTATCCTCCTGAGACTTATACAAGTTTGAAACATCAAAATCGGATTCTGTACTAGAAGATATAGATATGGGAGACTTCAAAGAATTGCATTCATACATATCTGATTGTGTTGACAGACTTTTTCTTATTACTTCTATAGCTATATCATTTTCTGATTTACTGTATCTTAATGTAGTTACATTATTGATTCCTTGAACTTCATGAACGTTTTTTCTACTACTTATTGGGGATACAGCATTAATAGAAAAATCATTTTTATCTTTATCAAAAAATTCATTGGAGAGATCACATGAATTTTGAACGGATATTTGTTTATATGTTTTAGAACTTCTTTTAGTTTGAGTTTCATATTGTTCTACTGAATTCCCTTTAATTTCAGAATCTTTATTTATGTCTGAAGGTAAAGTAATATCATTATCCATATTCTCATATTCTAAATTAACCATCGTGTCGTTTTGTAATGCATTCCTTTTTATATAATCTCGATACTTTAGTATGCTATTATGTTCGTGTTCTTGTCTATACTTTGAATACATAGATATTTCATCTTCATCCGCAACAATTTCTGATTGAATGCTATCTTCATTATATTTTGATATAGAAGATGTATTCGCAGATTTGTTATGCAAAACCTGTAGATCTACATTTCTTTCTATTATTTTACTTTGATTTTCTGTTTCTACATTAATGATACTTTTATTTACTAAATTATTCTTTAACTGATTTTCTGTACAGTTTTCTATATTACATTCTACTGACTCTATTGTTCCAAAATTTTGACATATACTATCATTATTCTTTTCATGCAGCATTTTTGTATTTAATTCAGGACTTGTATAATTGTCAAATATACTCAAAACGTTTCTCCTTTCTTTATCTAATGTTTCTTTTATAACAGTGTTCTCATGAGATGTAGAACGCTGATCAGGACTATCATCATTCCTTACATTAAATGGATTTCTGTTTGGTTTGGAAAATATTGATAAAACTGAATTTTCAGGGTCAGAATCGAAGTCCGATTTTGCATTTTCTTTTTGAAATCGTTCAATAAATAAACTAAGATTACTTTTCAATGGTACTAAATAATTCTTTCGTTCTTGTTCACTTAAATGTGATCCATTGGAAATTGAATTTAGATATTTTTTAACTTTCTTAGAAGAGCTTGTATTTACATCAGTATTATTAAGTCTCACTTCATCAATAGAATTAAGTATATTCAAACTTTCATTGTTCTTTGACTTATCAAGTGCTACAGCTATTTTATTCTTTGATACTGTATCATTAATATCATCAAACATATCAGGAGACATGCTGCAATACCTACTAGTATTTACATTACTTAAACAAATATTTTCTTCAGATGATTCTTCACAGATTAAATCGTCCAAACAATTATTACTCAATTGTAAATTACTTCTTTCACTATAAGCTAATTCATTTTCAAATTCACTATTCTTTACATTATATGTATGAGCTTTTTTATTTTCAATTTCTTTTCTTTCTAAGTAATCAAACAATCGCTCTACTTTATATTTCCTCGCCAAACTTCTTAAAGAAGACAAATTCTTCAGTTCTTCAAAAATACAGAAATACTTTTCAATAATTCCACAGTAAATAAATTCTAGAAATTGCAAAGCAACATTATAAGATATATCTGTCCAGCTGATTTTTTCTTTGATTTGAGGATACACTGAACTATCATTAGGTGTAATGTCAAGCAAAATGTTTGGACATTGTACATAAAAAATCAATTTATGTGCCCAAATATGTTTGTTATCATTAACAAATATTATTACATCACTTGCAGAACTATTGTTTAATGCACTCCTCCAATTTGTTACCAAAGCATTAATGAATTGTTTATCTCGACAATTTTCACATTTTTCATTTATAAAGTTCAATTCTCTATCGGATGAATCATAAAGTACTTCCTTATTATTACTAATATTTGTTTTATATTGGCTTAAGTTTGTTTCCTTTAAGTTGCATGTATTTGTAAATTTTAAAGTAGTTTCATTTTCCTATAAATAGCAATTTAAATAAAATTGATAAATTTTCTAGAGATTAATACATATTTGTAATAAATTTATTCCTGTAATTTGTTTATTATATTTTATATAATATATAACTTACTATTTCTATTTCTTTTTCTTCTGGAATTATATATTTTGAAAGATTTGATACATAGAAACACTCCTGATTAGAGGATAAACTAGCTTTATTCCACAATTTTTTTTCCTTAAAAGAAATTTAAAAAACGATATTAATATTTTATAGTAAATATTAATAAACCTTATACAGAATTCATACCTTGTACAAAAACTGTTTTAGCAAATGACTTCTTGGAGCAATTTCTTGTTTAATTTTCTCGTCATATATTGTGTCATTTTTACTTTGAGTAATTGGTTCATCTTCCATTAAAATTTCTGAAATTCTCTCTGTTAAAATGCGATTTCTTTCATCTTGGGATCGTGTTTGAAGAAGAGTTACTTGATTGTCCCTCTCTATAAAAAAATGTATAATATTAAAACTTATGTATTCAATTTTGATGTAAATTAAAACTATATATATTTTAATGTAATCATACTTCTTTTATTTTTTATCAATGATGGAGGTTTGCTACTTGCAAATCCAAATCTCTCTAACTGTTTTTCCGAAATTGGCTCAACTATTTCTGATACAGATCGTGTTAAAGTTTTAGGTAATCCCTCAAGTTCATTAATTTCGTCTAGTTCTTCTACCTCTTGAAGAGATTTTGATAATGCTAACGCAAGTTGAAGATCAGATTCTTCATGTAAACCCTGTGTAAAAATAACATCTTCAATTTTAAATGCTGCTTCACAAAGATTATTTAGCACACTGAAAGATTATTTGAAATGTCCAAGATATCGTAATAAAATATTTAATTAAAAAAACATACTACTTTACGTGATGCTATTTTTTTTCTTTCCTGTACTATAGGTGCAGCAAGTAAACCTAATGATTTTCTTTCACTTTCTTGACGTTTTTGGAGTTCTATAGCATCTAATAACTTTTTTGTAGAGATATTATTCTTGTAAGCACAGATCTTCATATGTATTGCTTGAGAATTAAGTTCTTTGAATGTTTTAAAGCACAATGGGCACACAAGAGCTTCTTTGATGATATTATCATCATTTTTATTATCATTACTACTACCTTCAGACTTAAAAAATGATGATTCTATTGAAGGTTGGGACTTTAAGTATACCTTTCTCTCTTTTTCTGAATTATGTTTAAATTTTGTTTCCTTATGATTTTTCACAGAACCCTTAGATTTTATAACTGCGTTTTTTCTTTTTATATTATAATTAAACAATTCATTTAATTTTGCTTTCTGATTCTGTAATTTTGGACTTTTAAAATCTAATATACTATCATTTTCTGTTGCATCAGATTTATCACATAAATTTTTATTGTTTGATAATTCTTTATCCATTTTACCTCTATCTGAAGCAAATTAATTTCTTCGCTATTAAATGTAAATATAAAATCACGTCAAAGATATTATGTAATGAATAATTTGGTCAGTATACATAACATCTATTTCACAAATTTATTTTTTTAAACATTATAATTACATTTCTTTGATTACAAGTTTCACTATTTATATTATTATTAATAATCATACCTTTATACAAATATTTTTAATCATGACTACAATAATCAATTAATCAATTATTTGTTTTAAGTATCTGTAGATGTAGTACTGAAGAGGTTTTTTATCAATTTCTCTGCTGTACTACATGTTTCAGAAACCATTAAAACAATATTGTCATAGACTCCATTTTGCCAATATTCTTTTGTGCCCTGAAATTCATCAGCAATTTTGCATCCGGCAATAGTTAATTCAACTTCATTCAACTCAGCAATAAATTTCTTTCTTTTCACCATATAATTGCTGTAATATAACACACACTTATGTTAAAAGATATAAATAGTGTTAAACATTTAAAAGCAATAATATTTAGTTTTACAATAAGCATTGTTTCTCTAATAACCTTCAAAACTCATTATATGATAAGGTTAAGTTGTTGTATCTCTACATGAAAAACAATGCTACATTATATATTTTATTTGATAAATATAATATTTCAAGTATCTAATAAAATTTGAATATATAAATAATAAAATAATAAAATATTCCACGTATATTACAAAAATAGTTACCACACTAAAAATGCACTTCCGCAATAAGCCAAGATTTTTGAGTAAATTATAATTGCACTAACTTTAGCGAAAAGTGTCCCAGAAAGAGTAGCGGGTTTCTTTTTTTCTAAAATCAATGGTTCGTACATTATACGTAATGTTATTATTCGAAAATTTCTACAACAATGTGCTATTTTGTTTGCGTACTACTCTCATGACAGTGTTGCCATAATGAAACATTGCATAATTAAGAATGAACAAAAAAATTTATAAGTATCTATGATAATTTATAATATATACTATAATTATAAAATAGTAGTATATGTTTTTGTGATACTATAAATTATACATTCAAATTTCTATTATTCTCTATTGTTTGTTTGATAAAATAATACTTTATTTAATCAAACTTTACATTTTTAATTCAATGACTTTGTATACAAATGAATGTAATAACAAACTATGAGATTGTATGTTTCATGTATAACAATTGACATCTTTTTAAATCGTTTTCTAACATTCAATAAAGCGTATCACAACGATTTTAATAATAATTAATAATTACAAATTAATTTGATTATAAATGAGATATAATATCGTTCTCGTTGTCCTGTTTTGCAATTTTTTAATTTACAACTGATTAAAAAATATAATAAATATTTGAATACATTTTTTTTATTTTTTCAATATGGTATGCATTATATTTAAATTTAGTATGATTAAATTTAGGTCTGATTATATATATACACATAATGAATTATATTTTAGGCTTCTACTTCCAAAAAACAAATTAAGAAAAAAGGTGTACCAAAAGTGGAACTAACTGCTGAACAAAAAAATGATATAAAAGAAGCATTTGATTTATTTGATCCTGATGGTACTGGAAGGATTGCTACTAAGGAACTTAAGGTGGCCATTCGAGCCCTTGGATTTGAACCTAAAAAAGAGGAAGTGAAAAAACTCATAGCTGATGTTGATCCAGATGGTTTAGGCACCTTATCATTTGAAGAATTTTTAAATTTAATGTCTACAAAAATGCTAGAAAAGGATACAAAAGAAGAAGTTTTAAAAGCATTTCGCCTTTTTGATGATGATAATACAGGAAAAATAACTTTTAAAAATTTAAAGAGAGTGGCCAGAGAATTAGGTGAAAATCTTACAGATGAAGAATTACAAGAAATGATAGATGAAGCAGATAAGGATGGTGATGGAGAAATTTCTCAAGAGGAGTTTATACGTATTATGAAAAAAACTAGTTTATATTAAATTTCCATGGCTTGTATATAAAGTATTCATTATTGATCGTTTCTTCATAAGTTATCCATGTAATTTGAACAGAGATTTTGAAAATATCAATTATTTGCTATCAAAACATTCTCTGTTCTGATGAACAAGTTATAATTTTGTTTAAATTATTCTTTACATCTTATACATACTATAAAACATAAGCATAAGTTAATGGGAAGAATTTTATACTATATGATGTATTAAATAGGAAGCTATTTTTATAAATAATGTAACAAACAAAATAAAACGTTAAACGTTATAAAATAATGAAATAATACTTTATTATTGTTGTATGTTATAATTTCGTACAATTTTTCATTCTTTTAATCCTTCTTTTGTTGATACTATAGCAGTATTAATTAGTGATCTTACCAGCTCTGCTCTTTTTTTTGACTTTGTTAAACTTTTTAAAAACAAATCATATGAAATTGGAATTCCTCCTAAATAAAAATACTTATTATAATTTCTCCTAATTAACATTTACAAATATAGTAACTAGTTACAGTACAACATACCAGGTTTATGTATACAACAGATTTTTTCTTTATTCAGTACAATTGTTAACCTTCCCAAGCATAAATTTTCTTCTTCATCTGTAGGATCAGCAACTAATAACTGACTAAAAGAAATTACATATTTGTAATACTGTTTTTTTTATTATCTTAATTAAATAATATTACTTACTCATTAAATATTGCAAAAGTTATGGAAACCGGTAATTCTTTAATTGAAAGACTTATTTTCTTTGTCGAATGTACAGAAATACTTCCAGTTTGAATATTGTAAACTACTTCTGGTAAAGTTACTACAAACAAAAATGTTACAGAAATTAATTGAGTTATACATCAATATTTTTGAATATCATTTATAACATAATTATTCGAAACTTACATGTATTAAGTGCAGCAGTCAAAGCTCCAACACAAGCATCAATTACTGAACCATCATAATTAATGCATAAAAGATCACAGTATAAAACCCACGCTAATTTACCTTTGCAAATACAAAGGTCTTTCAGATCAATAGCTGCAGAATTTATTAAAATATTATTTATTAAATTTGATATAATTTGAGCCTGATCACTTGGTGGCCCTGGACGAAATTTTGGAGAACATAATGGTGAAAGTTCCACATTTGGTACAATATATCCATACTCAGGAGATTCTGTTCTAGGTGTAGTTAATTCCTATAACAAAAAAAAGTATTATAATATGATTTTTATGTATTATATTATTGCTCAATGTCTTGAATTTCTATAATATCATATTTCCATTTCTGTTGTATATATTATTGATGTAAACATGTAGAATATAAGTAAATGCCTTCAACAAAAAATACATACTGCTTTAATACCACATACAACTGTTGTACTACCAATTTTAAATATAGCTGAACTGTCAGCATGTGTAATTGATGATATGTTAACACTAACTGAACGAAAACTTAAAAATTGTCTACCATCTGGTCGAACATCTTGTGCCTAAAAATATAATAATATTATAAATTGCTGTATATAATAATTAAAAATTTATACATACTTACCAAATGATCTTGCAAATATTTCACAGGATGAATGGTCCTATAATTATATTTTTAGTTAAAAATATTTGAAAAATAATAAATGAAATTTAAATACTTTGTAACTGTATTTACAAATATGAAATTTATGTAATGTGAAGTATGTAAAAATGATTACTAGAAAGGTTAAGTTAAACTGCAGTAAACATGTTCCATATAAAATTTCCAATGTTATATTTTATAGTAAAATGTATGATAAATTAAAATAATGTACTGTAATATTAATAAAAAAATTCATCATACAATATTTATATTCTTTTAAAAAATACTGACTTATATTGAGAATCCATAATTTAAGTAACAGTAATCACTGTCATGTGGAAATTTCTGTATGCTTGTCGCGCATATTGACTAATTTCAGAAGGCTCTTCATCACCAATGGGATACTAATCTACTGCGTATCTCTTACTCCGTGGTCACGTAACAGGTGAATTAATCAAGTGAACTTTTCCGGACCCCATTTGACCCATATAGAAAATTTTCATTTATAAATTTAATGTCATTTATTGTTTATTTATTACAATTATTGCTTTTTCACAAAGATTTTATATAAATAACTAAACAAAGTTGAATTCTGTATGTTTAAAAATTTATTATATAATATACTTTTTCTAAAATTGACATGAAATTAGTATCAGTTGTTCCAAAATAGTACAAAAGAACAAATTTTCGATTTAGAAAGGCACAGTGTGGCATACATTCTTAAAATATTGTATCAACAGAAAGTAGTACTTGATCGTAGTAAATATTGAATATTACAATATAACAAGATAATACAAATATAAACGGATCGAAATTTCAAATCCCTCTTGTAGCGAATTATTTTTTACAAGATATAAAGAGTTAAAAATAGTAGTCTTATTTGTTAAATGTCTGTGTAAATACTACAGCAATGTAGTAAGTTTTAATATCGAAGATATTTTGAGATTATTCTCGTAAATTAGATATGCATATAAACTGTATTAGATTCCAAAATTCGATATAAAATTACACAAATTATTTATACACAGACATTTTTCTTACCTCTTTGCATAAATATAATTTAAAAATAGTTTCAACAATGTTTAAATCACTATAACTTTTAATATTATTGACAATTTAAAGTTAGTAATTTTAAAAAATATTGTTTTCAATAATATTCCAGTTTGCAGTGTTATTTAGTATAATATAATTATAGTCAACTTCATCGGGCAAGTGTAGAGTAAAATTTAGGCTGCAATAAAATTAAGATATGTAATTTAGTAATGTAACAAAATAAATATAATTATTACTGCAAATTTGTTTACCTCATCATGATTTTCTTCCTTATTTCCATCATCATCATCACCAGAACTATCGCCACCTGAACTATCAGCCGAATTACGTTGTTGATCCTTATTATTCAAACTATCACCAACAGTTGGAGAAGATGCCTTTACTTTACTAGCTGCATCATAACATTGTAAACATACTCTAACTGCTTTTCCGTTTCCTTGTCCAGGTAATAACAACTTTTTATTACTGCAAGGCCCACATACTACAGCCCCACATTGTCTACAATGGTGCTGAAAAAGTTTCATTAAAATTTTAAGTATTATATCATTTAAAAGTTGTAAAAATAATTAATATATGTATACCCGTCTATTTAAAACTGTAAATTGTGTTTTATTACAGTGCATACAAATTGTAGCTTCATTATCTGGAACCCAAACAGCTGCATGTACTTCAACTGGTTTTTTACCACCTATCAAAAACAGGATTTAAAGTATGGATATAATACAATATAAGAAATTCATATAATAATAATTATTTACTCTTTCTTAATAAATCTTCAATGCATTTTGTAATATGAGCCATCCATTCTTGCTTCTCTGTTGGAGTGGCAGCATAAACAGCAAATGACTTTGTTACTGTCTTAATGAGCCAACCATTGCGATACTCTATAAATAATAATAAACTATTATGCTGTCCTTGTATAACTCTATACATTTGCAATATTAAACATGTGTAATAATCTAAGTAATAAATTAATAATCAAAGAACTGGATCTAAAACTCGTTTAAACAATTTCTTAAACATAAACAAAGATATGTTTGTTATAAAATAATGAATTAGAAATTCTTTTTCTTCTGTATCATAAAGCTGAAAGATTATAATTTAGTTATATGTTTGAGAAACAGAACGTATTTATATGAAATACATTTGATAAAACATTTTAAGAAACTGAAAATGTAATTTGATAAGTGATAGAAATGTATATAACTTACGACCATCATCTGCTAAAGACTCAAGCTTGACCTCTTCAAGTGGTATAATATGTTGTTTGTTATACTGTTAACATATATAACATAAAATTGTTTTTTATAATTTAATAAATTATATTGAAGTATCATATTAACAAACAAAGGAAAACCATTTTTATCATTATTTAAATTATAATTTTTATATTCATACACAAATAAAAAAGGTATTAATATACCTTCTTTTTGTTCATTACAATATTTCCATAAACCAATATATCATTAAATAAAAAGAACTGTCTTGGTTTTGGCTTCTTTCTACAAATTTTTGTTAATACACCTTCTCCAACTAAAACTCTTCCAGGTACTGCGAGTGGCTGAAATATATAATATACATAGACTACTTTAAAAAAACCTTTCTAATTTTATACATTTTTTAATTTAAACATTAATATAACCAAGTTATCTCGAATTATATCACAAATAAATTAAAAAAAAAATGGGACTTAATAATATAAAATTAATTACTAATAAGTTTTACATATTAATCTCACCTGGCCAGAACTGCCAAAGCAGTTTTCGACCATAGCAATACGTCTGGCATTAGCCTCACTATTTACTGAAATGAATCACATAAAAAATAATCATCTTTCAGAAATCATTCATAAAAACACACGATGTAGTAATAAACAGAATTCAATAATAAATTAACTATTTCTTTTAAACAGATCACACATTATGTACTCGATTTAACTGTCAAAATCACAAACAATCGAATTACACCGTTATCTGATGTAATTTAACAAATCATAAAATATAGAATTTATAAGTTATTCAATTTTTTAATCGAAACAAGTATTACACGTATCAAAATCATACACGTAAAAACAATTAAACTTTTTATCGAAATTATGACAATAATTAAATGATAATAACTGAAATATAAACTAACCCAATCGGTCAACCATGGTCCTATGAATCAGGGCTGACAACCAGGAAGTATGAATCACGTATATGTTTTACTGTTTGTGACATTCACAGTAAGTCACATTTGTAATATTCACGTAATGGCTACTGTATTTGAAATAATCAGAAAGCATAATGTATTGTTTAATTTTAAATATAAATAACCTGAAAAATAATAGAAAATTAAACATATTTTTATGGATATTATTTCTTTATTGGAAAGAGAATACAAAAGAAAGAAAAAATTATATTAAATTTACTTTTGTTTCGTATAAAGGAATCTTCAATCTTATTTATTCATTAAAAGGTATTATTGATGTAATGATATATATACATATATGACATGATATTCTATGTGAATTGCAAATTTTCAAATTCCGGATGTACTATTTCGAGATATCGATGCTTATCATTCGTTCAACGAGAGATCATACTCATTTTGCGCAACTCGACTAACTTCAGTAGTTTAGTGTTGTCCCACTATTCCATATTTTCCACTACATCACTTATATATACTGTGGATAAAAAAAATATCAATAGGAAGAAAGTGATAATGTAAGGAATAGAGCAAATTTTTGTTCACTAAGTATATAAGTTCGGTGCCACGAACGTCGCAAGGGTGCATGCGCACTGCACTTGAATGTAAAGCGTGCTTATACCAATCAGAATCGACATGCGCAAATGAACAAAAACTTGTACGATGATAAGTATGATCTCCCGTTGATCGAATAATAAGTTGTTCCTAAATAAAAATCATATGATTATCGAAGGTGTAGCAAGTTAAGTCATACGATTCTTATCAAAAGTAGACAACAATCAATTTCTTAAAAAAAAATGAAGATATGTGGACCTAAATACGCCCTATGTGGCTTGATATTATCAGTTTGGGGTATATTTCAACTAGTAAGTCATTTTTTTAACCTAAATCTAGTACAACATCAGTATGTAGCAAATTTAAGTTTTGGAAAATGAATGTATTTTACTTAGAATTTTTGTTCTATGAAATAAATAATTGTTCCGTATCAAATGAAAAGATCTGTTTTAAAAAGTACAAAATTTATCAGTGAATAAAGTTATATGAATTTAATAGCTTCTTGTATTATTTATTTTATAAGCAAAATTTGTATTACAAGTTTGTAAGTGTAACTGTACATTTAATTTTCAGCTCTTGATGGGATTATTCTTTTACGTCAAAAGTGTAGCCTTAATAGAAGATCTACCATTAGAAGAGTATTATGACACAGCTACAGATTTTTATGCTGCAGCAGATAGGGGTTATAAACAAAATGCATATAATTGTTGGATTGCAGCTTGCATTTATGTTCTTACATTATTACTTTCAGGACATCAGTTTTATATAAATTCAAGATCATCTTTGAGCGTTTAAAAGAATATTTTTGATGTATTGTACATCAAATAAAAATATGTATAAATTTATAAAGTATTATTGTATGATAGTCAAAAGAAAGACATGTGTATGAATATTCATAATTATATTTAAAACTGTTATAAATTCCAATAATAATCGTACAAAAATAGTAATCGTCTTTACTGGGTCTTAAAATGGAATATTAGTTGTTGTGATATACAGTACAATTGTAACTGTTAATGATATTACCTCAATTCAGTATATATCATTTCATCTTACTATAAACATGTAAAAATATGCCTTAATGTGGTTACCAGATTTATTTTGTGTTGTAACATAAAACATTTAATTTACTCAATTTGTAAATAATAATAAATATAATCTAGCTATAATAGAAATTTTCTAATTTTAATATAAAGTTTTATACCTATCAAAAATAATATTATTCAAAACGTTTTATTATTAATAAAAACATAGATATTACATTGAAAAACTAATTATTATTAAGAACATTTATGTATTTAAGCAGTATATACATATTCATTTTAAATAATACATTTACTTATGGATATGATTCGGTTTTAAATATTAAACATCTCGAAATATTATGTATTTTAAATCATTGAAACAAAAAATTTTAGAAAGTTAGGTATATTTAACTATATTTATCATAGAATATATGGGAGGAACGTCAAAATCACGTGACTTGTATGTTATGTATATAGTATACACATTTCATACCATACAAAGTAGACTACAAATGTATTTATCAAATACTTATTTAAATTTCTTTTAAACGTAAAATTTTAAATAATTGTTTTAATCTAAATTTGATTTATTTAGCTTCAACGAAAATTATATATTGTTTATTTTTCAATTCATTAAACAAAATTAACCATATATTGACATTCCATTTTGGTTAATTGCATATATTAAAAGGAAAATAAATTAAATACAAAATGAAATAGTGTTTTAAAGAGTTTTAATAAATTTTAGAAGATATATATGTTATATATGCATATATAATGACATGTAACTATGGTTATATGAAACAGTATTTTTTATATAAATAATTTAATAACAATATTATATCCGTAATTTATTGTACAAAAATCATTTCAGAATACTGTGTTTTAGTGTATCATAATGGAAGGTGACCAAAGAAGTTTAAACGAAGATTATAGTGAAATAATACGTCTTCCTATTTCTTTAAAATTATCTTATGGAATAGGACATGTTTTAAATGACATTTGTGCTTCTATGTGGTTCAGTTATTTATTAGTATTCTTTCATTTGGTATTAGGATTTAACTCTACATTAGCAGGTACAATTTTACTTATTGGTCAGATAGCAGATGCTTTAGCTACTCCATTTGTTGGCCTTCATTGTGATAAAATTGACGATTTCTGGTTATGTAAATATGGAAGAAGGAAAACTTGGCATTTAATAGGTATAAATATGTTATATATTTTATTACTGATACTTTTAGACATGTTTATATTAAAACTTTTTAAATTATACATATTAGGTACTTTATGCGTACTGTTTGCATTTCCTTTTATATTTTCACATTGTATTCAATGTGAAACTGCTCATCAATGGGCACAACTAATTTATTATGCAGCATTTGTTATAATTTTCCAATTTGGATGGGCTGCAGTTCAAATATCTCATTTATCATTAGTGCCAGAACTCACACCCATTGAACATGAAAGAACACAACTCATAGCTATCAGGTACTTCTTTAAATAGTATCAAAATAATATTTATAAATGTATTCTAATATATGATTTTGTACATATAGATATAGTTTTACTGTACTTTCAAATATTTTTGTTTACTGTATTACTTGGGCAGTTTTACATATTATGAATAACAAAGACTCTCAGTCTCAAATTGGTCCTGATGATGTAACAAAATTTCAAGACATTGTACTTATAGGAATAGGAACAGGAGCCATAACATCTATTTTATTTCATATCTTTGTTAAAGAGAGATCTATGAATAATGTTAATGGTGAGATGAATTTTAGTTATAGATTTATTTATCTTTATTTAATAATTAAAATTTCATTGATACAAATTTTTACCTATGTATTTATCATGTCTATTTTAGGTTCATCGTGCACAAGTTCAAGAACAATACCTTCATTATTAAAAGATGTCCAATTATATCAAGTAGCTTGCGTGTATATGCCCACGCGTTTATTTGTAAATTTATCACAAATTTATGTTCCTTTATATTTACACAAGTCATTAAGTATGCCAGCTACATCTTTAGCTATCATTCCCTTAATAATGTTTTTGAGTAGTTTTATAATATCTTTAATTATAGAAAGATTAAATACAAAATTAGGTAGAAAAATATCATATTGTTTTGGTGTTTCTTTGGGTTTATTTGCTTGTATTTGGATAAAATTTGGTATTGGTATAATCTATACATCATATGAAATCTATCCAGTATCTGTAATGTTAGGTAGTATCATAAAACTTGTTATATATTTATTATCAGCTTCAGAAATATATATTTAAACATAAATCATTTTGTTATAGGATTTGCTGGATCTATTATGCTAGTGACTAGTCTTGGTATTACAGCAGATTATATAGGGCAAAATGTGAACAGTGGTGCATTTGTATATGGTACCATGAGTTTTACAGACAAACTTTGCAATGGATTAGCAGTTATACTTATTCAGTATTTGTTAGTACTAAATTTTACTAGTTAAAATAAATATATTAACATGTTTCATTTGTAATAATATTTTACAATTTTTTTTAGAGAAGGGTGGGTTAATTCAAAAAGTTTTTATCAAAACGTTTTAGTTTATGCTTGTAGTGCTTCCGCTATATTTGGTCTGTTCATGATAATATGCATAAAACCATTTCATAATAATGGAGGTAAAATTTTTAAAATATACTACTTATAAAATAATATTATATTATAATAAATATTGTGTATTTTTACAGCATATAGTACATTAAGTTCAGTGCAAACTACAACATTACTGGAAAATGAATCTAATGATGTATTTAATCAAGAACATGTTACGTAGCTAATTTTTTTTTTGTAAAATGCATTTCTTTAATTGACATCAAAAAGAAAGTTACTATTCAATAAGTATACTTTATATATATATTGTAAGAAGTGTATATAAAAATTTATTATTTTGTATTTAACTATATATACATGAAAGATTATAAAGAATTTAAGATATTTCTGAATAAATTTTGTTACACTAACAAATAAAATACATAAATAGAAGAAAAAGTTGATGTACAGGAAACATTTATAATACAGATGTTTCATAAGTGATAACATATTATACAAGTGAAACGTATATATGTTTATATCGCCACATAATATTTCTAAATTCCTATATTCCTGGTTTTCCATATCCTTACATTTCTAATTCCCTAGATTCCTACTTCATTTAAATACCTATATACCTAAGTTATAATATTTTAGAATATTCACAAATCCAAATCTAGTAAAAAATAAAAGATCACCGGGTGTGTATGTTCAGTATTAAAAGCATAATGGTCTTTGCACATTGTTTTTGATTATAAAATATATTTGGGCCGACATGCGCACAATGAATGGTTCACACCACGTGTAACCGTGATCAACGTATAACGATAACCTCATTGCTGTAAAGTTGAAATGTTATACATACATTATTTATATTACATAGAAAGTTGTAATTACGACATAAAATATTAAAAAAAAGTTTAGATTAGGATTACAAAGAATGTGAAAGAATATTGTAATGCACATGTATAATTGAATGCATTAAAGTGAAACTCAAAAGTATACAAAATGGTTTTATCAGTAGGTAAGTTAATATATATTGAATAATAATTTAAATATTTATAAATACTTCTGTTACATTTATGTGCATATATTTAATAGAACTATTGAAACGGCTCAATGCAGATGAAGAACCTTTATCTAAACGTTTAAAACTGGCAGAAAATGCGTTTCATGCTATTGAAATACCAATAGTACGCAAAGATGATCTTATTTTACAATGGGTTTGTAAAATATGTGCTGGAGATCAGCAGGCTTGGAGTTTGTTACAAAGCTGTTTGGAATCCAAATGTTTGGATATTAAAATTGATGTAAAAAGATTATTAATTAATACAATTATTGAAACATTGCAAAAAGATACAAAAGATATATGTAATGATCTGTTCAAATGTTGTGAATTATTAGTTTCTAATGATACAATGCAACAATATTTCATTAACAAACCACAAGAATTTGGACTTTTAATAAAGTCTTTATTAGAATGCACTTATAGAATTTTTAAATACAATTTCAATGCAGGAGAACAATTAGTGGATGAAATAAATACAGAATTCATTATTAAAAGTAATGATCTAACATCAAGAGCTTATAATACAGTAGTTATTGTTATAGAAATTATGATTCATATTTTTAAAACTAGTTATGCTATAAAGGATGAGTTAAGAATCATATTTATGCAAGATATTTTATATCCTTTATGTGCTATAATTGATCATAAATGTATAGATAATACTAACAGATTAGGTGCAGTGACATACAAATGCATTCAGCAATTAATTTTTGGGAAGAAGTATATACAAAATAAAGAATTCATAGAAGATGAAAATGCAAAACAATTTGAAGATTTATTATCTATTTTAGCAAAAAATGCAAAGACTGCAGATCTTCAAAGTAATTTGATGACATTTACCTTTTTCTTTCATGCTGCATTAAATAGTTTCAAGTTAGACAATGCCATATTGGATTTTATATTAAGAGAGTTAGTAAACTGTGCTGGGATATACAAAAAAGAAATTTTGAATTCATTTTTGAAAAATTTAGGTGATACAACATTTAATTTTGAAAATAAAATACATAATGTTACATTATTTAATTACTGTCAAAATATAATAGACAATATTTTATCAAGTGAAACTATAAGTAGAATAGATTATGATCTTCTAACACAGTTTTGTTATTTTAATCCTCTCATAATTGAGAAAAATATTAAAGGTATACTGAAAAAGGTATTCACAGAAAAATTAGAGCCAGAATGTACAAAATTAATTACCTCTATAATGGATGTTTGTATACATCTAAGACAGGAGGAAAAAATAGTTTCAGCAATATTGTTAGTTTTAAAAGATTGTTTAAATAAAATACCAAACAAAGAAATTAATATATTTTTTCCTAATGAATTCAAAGAAAAATTTTTGAAAGCAGTAAATAATATTACTAATTTGCAAAATATAAATATATTACGAACATTAATATATCATTTAAAAACTGATTGTATGGAAATGTTACAATCTAATGATACCTGTACAGGTAATAATTGTAATTGATTGTTTAAATTAATGTCGATATTTATATATATTTATTTTCAATTTTTCATTAATATTAAACATTATTTATTATAGGTAAAAATATTGCAATATTACAAGCAACTGTTGAATTACTCTGTATATATTTAGATGGTATATGTGTTTTTGAATATTCAGGAACATTAAATTTTCATACAAAATACATAAATAATCTTAATGAGTTAAAAAGTATTTTATCACTTTTAATAGTTCAAGCACTACGTTTGAATTATAATGAAGAAGTTACTGTAATATTATTAGCTGCTATATTTTCATGGAACGAAATGCAAAGGGCACTCAAATATTATGTGCCAAAAATTGTTCCACAAGACTTTAAATTTCCGATTTCGGAAGATCAGTGGCAACAATTGGTTCAAAGAATCACAAATTTTGGAAAAAATAATAGCAAAGACAGTATGGTATGTTAATAAAAGCTAAACATAAAAACAAATTTTGCTTGTACAATATGCACAACTATTATATTTATATACATATATTCTGTTATAATTACAGAATAAAGTTATTTTACAACAAGCTAAAGTATCCCAAAGTACAGTAAACGCATCTTCAGTGATGTGTAACAATTTAATAGGCGGTTTAGAACATTCTTGGCCATATATATTAAAATTTGACACAGAAATAATACTACTGTTGAATAATGAACAGATATTCAAATTAGCAAATTTATTGTTGATACAAATGTTGCACAATGCAGAGAGTTTTTGCGAATGGATAAAAGTGTTACATAAAGAGAGCATACAAGATAACAAGAGACTAGTACTGTCTATATCAAATTGTGTTTTCATTCAAATTGGACATTTTATAGCAGAAGGAGTAACAAAATCGATAAGTAAATATTTTCATACAGTGAGTGTAAATCTTTTATTTATATATAGATATTGTAAAAACTTATTCTAGTAATTAAGTAATAATAATCCATTATTTTTTAGGAGTTTTTGCTTGAAGCAGAAATGAATGATAATGAACAGATAAAGAATATACTAATATATATGAAGGAGGAGATGTCAAAGGAGAAATGGATGTATATGGATGACAAATCTTTAACAAAACTTAAAATGCATTTAGAAATATTACATCATTTGCCTATATCATTTTTAAATATTAAAGTCAGAACAGCAATGCTTTTGTTTATATTAGCTCTTAAGGTAGAGTGCTGCCACAACACTGAAATAATTTCATCATGCAATATAATACTTACAGGTATTTTTTAGTAAAATAATCTTTATACTATATTCTTATAAAAGCTAACTTAAACTTAATGACATCTGACCAGTTTTTAACTTACAGATCTTCTAGACAAATCTGATATTAATATATTCGAATATGTCAATCCTTCCTTACTCTTAAGTCAATTACCACATAGCAAAATTACCCAAAAAAGTATAGAACTATTTCTTAGAAATTGTTCATCATATGTAGTGCTAAAGAAGCTTATAAAATGTTCTGCTGGTTCTAAAAAAAATATGTCTTTTTTATTAAAATGTATGATTCATGTTAAAACAAAGTTAAACATTGATCAAAAAACAATTATTAAAAAAGCAGAAACAAAAATAACTAAAACTGTAATGAAAACAGTACCATCAAAAATAACAGAAATTGATGACATGAAGATACTAAATTTAATATTAAGAATAAATATTACAAATGAAGACATTGATGAAAAATTGAAAAGTTTAGCACAATCTACACTTAATGATATATTCATGGTAAATATTATAATCTGTTTACCATTATGTATTATAATTTATTGTATCTTTAATATTAAAAATATTTCACTCATAGAATGATGATAAAAACATAGTTACAAATGAGATGTTGCAACATGGATTACAATTAGCATCTATTGTCCTTCATAATCAAAAAATATTTCAAATTACGAATCAGACATTGAGAGAAATATGGTTTACCTCCTTCAAGCATCCATGTATCGATGTAATTTTACCTTTATTAGAATCAAGCGAACCAAAAGAATTTCAGGAATTGCTTGAACAGTTACATAATCAAGTGGTATGTAATTATCATGGCTTCACTTAATTACATTGTTTGTATAGAGTAATATTTAATTATGATTGTAAATATTTTATTACAGATCAAAATTCTTTCAAGTACACAAGAAAGTGATATGGAAAGTATTTGTATTATATGGAATTCTATACTAAAAACAAATATGTCTAACAATAGAAATAAATTACGCTTATTAGCTATCAATAAGTTAATTCAAACAATACAAACTGTAAATATACACGAAAATCTTTGGCCAAATTTATTGAAATTGATTCAGGACATTATTTCCAATAAGTATTTATATCTTCCTGGTTATATTATTGATATGTGCATATTTCTTGGATTGAAATCATTGCAAAAAGCTACCATAATAATTTGTAATGAAACATTGACATTATGTAATGTATTAATTAAAATGAGAACAAGTTTAGTTGTAGATAGATTACCTGCGTTGTTATTACTATACAGACACATATTAAACATTGTTGTACATAAATCCAAAACTATTGTTAATAGATCTGAAGAATATGTATTTAAATGTTTGGCACTGGATATTGAAAAGTAAGTTAACTATTTTTTATTTAATATAGATTATAGTATTTTAATTAATAAAGGAGCTGATATACTTGTTTTATTTTATATATAGGTTCACAAATTCGTTAACGAAACTAAAGAAAGAATTAATTCGTATAGGCCCTTATCTGCTAGCAAATTTGTTGGAGCTATTTTCAGAAGCCTCAATAGCAATTTTTATCAAAGTATTCTATTTAATATAAAAATTTAATGTTAAATATTACAGAATACATTACACATTTAATAAAATTTCCTTTTTTTATTTTAGGTTTCTTTACAAAATTGTATAAATCATTTAATAAGTATATGTGATCATCATGGAATTGCTTTATTAACTCGAACATTACCTGTTTCAATGCAAGAAGTATTTAAGGTACAATTAAGTGTATATAACAAATTTTATAAATTCTCTGGTAAAATTTAAATCATAATTTTATAATAATATTGTCAGTAAAAAATGTACTAATTGTTGAAAGTATTAAAACAGATTTTCTACAATAATATTTTATTTTTATTGTTCAAGATGAATCCATGAACTTAAAAAATATTAATACTTCGTAATTTTGTATTTTACTTTCTAACAGTAAAAATAATGTTTCATTATAATTTGCAAAGAATATTTGTCTTTTTAAATTTATACATTTTAATCTATATGAAACTTCAGTGTATACAGCTTTTAAGAATTTTTAATAAACTGTATATAGTTTCTCCAAATTTGAATTTGAATTTATCTACATTTATATACCTATCACTGGAGTTTAGATATATATGTATTACATAACATATATATGAGTTCAAAGTTTGATGATATATCTACATGATATCTGTTTGTTGATACATGACAGCGGTAAAATAGGCAGGAAGAAAATAATTGATTTAGGATACGCATAATTCAGTATAATATATATATTTTATTAGGATATTCTTTTCTTTCTTTCATTCTTGTAAAAGTACAAAAAGTAATAAATAATATATAGGTGTGTAAATAGACGAGATAAGAGGAAGGGGAAAATATGAGAATATCCCTGAATTAATTTCTACGCAAAAACGCCCTATATAATAAATAAGAGTAGCATGTCTGCCAATAGTAATCAAAGTCTCTGCTTAGTTAGAGAGCACCATCTTTCATGAAAAAAGAGAACTAATTAGAGACATTGATGTAAGTATTTTTCTCATTTTTACTAAGTCTACGATTTTATCGAAATTACAAAATTACATTAACAATGCGATTTCATTTGACAAAAGGACAATTTATTGTTACTTGTATATTAGGCGGTATTACTGGATATTTAATTTGGAATGAACCATTAAAACAATACGCGCAACAAAATTTTAATTATAACTCAAATAAAGTAAGTTTCTTTCATTATAAGACGTGACTAGGTTATAATATAGATAATATAAGTAATAATACCACAAAAATACAAGTTAAGTATATTTTTTCCTTATTTTAATATAATTAAGTATTATATTGAATATTAAAATATTAAAACACTTCAAGTACATTCTTAATGATCTTACAGGAAGCAAACAATGGCCAAGACTAGTCCATTCTTCAAACCTGCTCCGAAGATAATAATAGGTGTGGGTGTATTATTAGCTTGCACTTTAGGTTTCAAGTAAATATGATTTTATAACTTTTAGCCTATAAAATGCAATTAATTTTAAAATGTAATTACTGTGTGTTTGTAGATTGTATGTACAAGAATATGTTGCACTTTATAAGAAAAGAGATGCTGAACTATATGCAAATATTATTTACGAAAAACGCAAAGAAAGCGAACAGAAAGTTGAATTTACATAAAATTAAACAATTTTTATTATATAATTATACTTAATAAATGATGTATTCAATAATTTACATAGTACTAAGGTTTATTAAATAATACATTATATAATATCTTAAAATCTATTCTTGAAATTTTCCTCCATAAAAGGGGATATACGCAGCTATTACTTTCCAATCAGTAAAATAAACTGTAGCCAGGCCAGCCGATCCTCCATAAATCATTGCAGATGGTATCCTAAATTATAAAAAGATTATTTATCATCCACTTTGTAAAATATTTATATAACTTATACGCTACTATAAACGTAATTAAAAACTTCAAAGATATTATATAATAAAAATATTCAGTTGTTAAATGGTTATGAAAATATATTATATATTTGAATAATTTAATAATTAACATTCATGTAAAAAATTGAATTTAATATTTACCATTTTGTAGCTATTTCAAAATGTTTCTTTCCTAGCCGCATCTTGATAAGATTCTGTAAGAATTTAACATTGTAATCAAAATGTCAACTTTATCTACAAATTTAAGTTTTAACGTATAATTAATATTTTAACATTCAATGAATGAACTGCTAAAATGCTTAATATTAAATATATTGAATAAGTATTTTACAATTACGTACTTTCAGCGTTTTTTTTGTGTCACCAATGAAGTCTAAATTGCAAATATAAAGTACTGCAACTGTGCTTTTAATATTGTATGCACAGAATGAGCCCCTACGGGACTCAAGCGCCCTCTTCTTTGGAAGAAAAATAAAAACTAACTAACTGGCGCGCAGTTTCCACAGCTCAATAACCTAGGGAAATTTCTAATCATATATTTGATATGCCTGTACAATTGGTTCTACCTTTATAGTCATAAACAGAATGGATAAAAATATTATAAATAGTGATATTAACATGCTAAAGCTGATATTTTAGAATAAAATATGTAAATAAAAGATCATTAAACATTAATAAAATTAAAGCATCCATAAAATAATTGTTAAATAAATTAGATATTGAGTTGATATGCCCGGAAGAAGCAGACACTCGTAATTTATACAAGAACTGTACTTTCTTATCTGACATTTTTTTATGTAGGAATCATAATCAATATGGGAGTTCCCTGATTTTGAGTAAAATTGTTTCTAACTGTTCATAGTTGTTTGTACATTATCTCTCAAATATAATCAAATATATTCTTGGCAAAATTCTATATGTGCAAAAGTACACAAAATTGAAATATTTATTTTATTTATACATTTTTTAACTGTTTGGTTAATATCAAATACGTTAAATATTTTTATATATTACCTGTGTATCTCTTTTTACCTGCTGAAGATCATGGAGAGCAACACAGATAATTTTATAGCAAGGACATACCAAGTTGATCTATTAGAAGTAGCACTTCGGCAAAATACTATTGTTTATTTACCAACAGGAGCTGGAAAAACATTTATTGCTGTTAAGCTTATAGAAGAACTAAGTGCAGATATTCGAAGGTATTTATTACAATTTACTTCTTGAATTTTTATGATGTATTACATATATGTTAATGCTAATTAATTGTATATTGTTGCATAATCAATGTGTAATTTCAAATGTAGACAAATATCTTCACGATCATTATAATTATAAATTATTGGTATAATTGAAATATCTGAAAGTGTTAGCAGTAAAGTTAAAGACGTCTCTGCTCGTTGAAACATTATGAATTATATATTATAGTGTCTATAGATTTGCATTTACATATTAGATTCAAAAGTCTGATTATGCCATTGAAATTTAATACTGATAAAGAAGCTTCAAATTTCAGACCTTATAATGAAGGAAAGAAACATACCATATTTGTAGTTAATACAGTACCTTTAGTAGTTCAACAAAGTGAATATATTGGAAGATTAACTGGTTTACTTTGTTCACCACTCAGTGGTGATTGTAATGTTGATTTTTGGAAAGACCAAGAATGGAATCAGCAATTAGAAAAATATCAGGTATTGGATGTTAATTTTATTTGATATTATTACTTTAAACGTTATATGTTAGTTATACTTGTATGAATTATTGTATATAATGTATTGAATTAATTTTTTTTATGAATATTATTACATTCTAGGTTTTAGTAATGACGGCTCAAATTTTAGTAGATGCACTTTCTCATGGATATATATATTTAAGAAATATAAATTTAATTATTTTTGATGAATGTCATAGAGCTGTGAATGACCATCCTATGAGACAAATTATGCAATTTTTTGAAAGGTGCTCTAATAATGAGCAACCAAAAGTTTTAGCTTTATCTGCATCTCTGTTAAATTCTAATGTAAAATTAAGCAAAGTGGATTCAATGATTAAGGTATAACTACTAAACATTGTTCATAATGTTCATAATACTATAGATTTAAGTTACATGGTTTTAATGTGTACATTTATTAAATAATATTATATGTTAAATTATATTTTCAATCAAAAAAAAAATTAAACATGAGAATTCATATTTTAACTGAACTTAAATAATAATTGACTTTTATTATAGTCTTTAGAGATAACTTTTCAAGCGAAGGTGGCAACAGTAAATTCATTTGAACAACTTCAAAATTATTATCCAGTTCCACAGCAAGTTATTGTTGAATATGATTTGAATGTCATATCTGATGTTGAAAATCGTGTTAGAGCCATTATTAGTGAAACGTGTGACATTTTGAATAAATTACTGTTGAATACAATGATGAAGAACATTGAATCAGATGAAGTATTTAGACCTAAATCAGTCACCAAAAAATTAATGTCCATAATGGTAGATATTCAAAACCAATTTTCAAATGCAGGTATAACGGTGTTAAAAATATTTGTTAAGATAACTAATTAATTAAATATTTCAATAAATTTAATTTTTAATATAGGTATATATGGTGCAAGTAAATCTGCTTTATTACATTTGATTCAGTTGGAATGTTTAAAAAAAAATGCGGATGAATTGGTATGTTTAAAAAAAAGTAAATTTTGTTTTTTAATGTTATGTCATGTACATCATATTATTTGCAGAATACCATACACGTTTTAGAATACCTTATAACAGAAGTAACTAAATGTAGGAAAGTGTTAGAAGATGAAATGAAAGGCAATACAGAATTGGAGAAAATTTATAAGTAATGTTTATACTTACTAAGAATTTTTAATATTTTAAATGCATAATAGTTATATATAAAATAATGTTTTCAAGTAGTCTTATATTATTAAAGAATTTATGTTATAGATATTCATCAGATCAAACACGAAAACTTTTCAGTCTTTTAAAAGAATTTTATAATAAAAGAAGTGAGGGCCAACAGTTTTGTTGCATTATTTTTGTACAACAACGATTTACGGTAAATGTATTGTATCAGGTGTTAAAGGTAAAATTTAATTTTTATATTTAGAATTTAGGTCAATTTTTTTTCTATAATTATCTGAAAACTTGTTATTTTAGAATTTGGCAGAGCATGATGAAGAATATAAATTTTTAAAACCTGAGTTTATGGTTGGATTTTCAAACAATCCTTACAAAAATTGTATAGAATCCTTATGCATAGCAAAATGCAATAAGGCTGCTTTATTACGGTATGATATAATTTTTTTGCTTATATTATTAAAATCTACTATTGTCTTATTTATATGTTGATACAATCTACCAAAATCTACCAAATAGTATATATATAATAGTTAAATATTAAGTAAGTGATGGAAATAACTTCTTTTCTAAATTTAGGTTTAAAAATGGTTTGTCAAATTGTATTATTGCAACAGACGTTATAGATGAAGGTATAGATATTCCAACATGTACATTAGTTATAAGATTCAATTTACCAATGGATGTGAGGGCCTATATTCAAAGTAAAGGAAGAGCACGATTTGCTTCCAGCCATTATGTATTGTTAGTACCAAAAGGTGACATTGATTATTTAAAACGATATGAGCAATTTCAAATGGTAGAAAAATACTTACAACAGGTATATGTACATTTGATTTTATATTTATTTATATGTGTACATATACTTATATCTACATTTGATTTTAAATTTACTTAAACTTGTTCAATAGCTTTTAGTAAGTGAAAATAATGTTCGTACCAAACCAACAGAAAATGAAATTAAAAATGTTCTATATAAATATAATATAGAACCATACGCTGTTACTGATGAAAATGGAATAACATATACTGTAACAGAACAGTCAGCAATTGCTCTAATAAATAGATACTGTGTTTCTTTATTAAAGTCTAAATTTGTTTATTTAGTACCATGTTGGATATTATATACTAAAGATGATATGTATAAGGTATAAGACACTATTTAAAAATTATATATTTTTCAATATGCACGATCATATTTTTATATTACATAATTTATTCCAGGTTTCTGTTAAATTACCTAGTATATCTGTATTAAAGACTGTTATTTTTGGTGATTTTATGCCTTCCATTAATACTGCAAAAAGATCTGCAGCAATGAAAATGTGTATAGAATTACATAAAGTTGGTGGATTATCCGATAAATTATTACCAAATGTAATGAACGTCTTAAACCAAGATGTTAATTTTTTATTTCCAAATTGGATAAATGAAGGAAAATCAAAAGATAATGCAATAATTGGAACGTATAAAAAGAAACGACATTATCCGTTACAAGTAAATTTGAATATAAATTCACTACATCGAATTACATTATATTGATTTACATGTATTAATGATTTTAAATTTGTTTGTAGTTTCCATCGGCTCTCTATAGTGCATTTCCTCTTCCTGAAAAGCAATTGTACTTGCATCTTTTTGATGTTAAGCCTAAGTATCCTGTACCACACGATGACAATCGACATTTAGTATTTTACAATTTACTGCATAATTCTGCCGGTTTTGGAATACTTTCTGCAAAGCCAATGCCAAAGGTAGTAGTTCAAATTTCTTTCATATTTTTATAAATTCTGTTTTATGAATCATACTTTCTTACAGATACCATCATTTCCAATTTTCATGTCTGCTAATGAATTGAACGTCAGTGTTAAAGTAAATAATACAACATTGGTTTTATCAGAAGAAGAAATTGAGTATATAAAAATCTTCCACACTTTAATATTTAGTCAAATTGTACAAGTTATAAAGTCTTTCATGTTATTTGATAATTCTAACCGTGATAATTGTTTCTTGGTGGTACCGGGTAAGTGTTACATTTCATTTCATTACATTACAAACCATAATACATTTGCATAAACTTTTAATGCACATAATAATGTTTCAGTCGATGAAAACGAGAAAATTAATTGGGAAGTTATAAAAGAACATAATTCTGTAGAACGAATCCCACCATCAATTCCTTTTCGTTTTAAGAACAGTGATTATGAATTAGCATTAGTTATACCTACATATAGACCATCTCCAGATGTATATATAGTTACACAAATTTGTGAGGATCTTACTCCAAACTCATGTTTTCCAACTGATAATTTCTTTTCGTATGCCCATTATTATAAAGAGAAACATGGTTTAATAATAAATGATTTGAAACAACCAATGTTAGAAGTGAAAGCAATATCCAGAAAAATTAATTATATAAAACCTAGGTAATACGCAAGTTTGTATAAACAATCTAAATAAAACTGAATTTGTAATTGTATTTATTTTCTTTATTTACAGACGCATGCAGAATAATTCAAAAAAACGTAAAATAGCAGATGTATATAAAGATTTTAAAGAGCATCTGGTTCCTGAATTATGCATTAGAATTACCTTCCCAGCTTTATATTGGCTCAAAACAACATTGTTACCATCTATTTTGCATAGAGTTTCACAGCTCTTAATTGCAGAAGATTTACGATCTACCATTGCTCTAGAAACTAATTTGGGATTATCGTCACAGGCTAATGAATGGCCTCCATTAGTAATAATTGATGAGGAAAAAGAAGAACTATTTGATCAGTCATTAGATATTTCTGTCAGTGAAAATCTTGATATTTCACAAGCAGAATCAGTTTTAAGTGGCCCAGAAATAGATGGTACGTATTTTATCTTTTAAATCGCCAATTTTATTTACAAATACTAACTTACCAATATAATGGCAATTATATTTTCTTAAAAAGTATTGAACATAGAGACAAATCAGTATCCATGGTCAAAAGATCAAGAACCACCAGATTTATATAGAAACATTGAAGAAGTTCAATTAATCCAAATTGAACATTACTGTCAATTTATACAAGGAACATATGACCTAAATAATGATATAACGGTAATACTTCATGATCACAGTTCTAAAACAGCAATTTATTAAATATTTTGATAACATATAAATAATATTTTTATAGAAAAATAGTAAAACTATATTTGTGAATAGACCATCAGTATCAGCACCTGATTTAAACATCTTATCATTAAAAGATACAAAAGGACCTGACCCCGTTCAAGTGATGTATGTAAGTATATTATTATTTTTTTGAGCTGTAGCTATAATATAAAACGTTATATTATAAAAATATAAATTTTTATAGGCATTAACAAGTAAAATGGGATTAGATGCATTTGATTTGGAACGTTTAGAAACTTTGGGAGATTCTTATTTAAAATTTATTGTATCCTTATATTTGTATACAATATTTCCAAATTATAATGAAGGCTCATTAACAGTTTTAAAAGGGAAAATGATTGGAAATCGTAATCTTTATTATTGCGGTATTAAGAAAAATATTCCAGGACGTATGAAAGTTGATGATTTCATAGCATCAAGCAACTTCATTGCTCCAGCTTACACCGTATTTAGACAGCTTCAAAAGCAGTTATTAGAAAAAAAGGTACATGGTATTCTAATAATTATATAATTATAATATTATTACTAAAATTATTAGGGTAAATTAAGTTAAATTTTGCGTGAAGGTATCACCAAATGTTTTATATGAAATTCAAATACCTAAACACGAACAATTTAATGGGTCTATAAGTGAAGAAACTGGAATTAAAATACAAGAAAAAGTATTAAATTGGGAAACAGCAGAATCACAAACCGGTATGGAACATTATCTTGGAATTCAAACTGTTCCAGATAAAACAGTAGCAGATTGCGTGGAAGCATTAATAGGTGTATACCTTGAAGTAAGTTTGAAATTTCAAATATAATTTCTGTTACATATCATATTCATGCAATTCTTTTTATATTTATTTTAAAATATAATTTTATAATAATATGGTTAGCGAGTATAATTTGTATATAGTTGTAATTTTTATTTTAATAGAATTTGGGAATTAAGAATGCTATTACCTTACTGAAATGGTTTCAAATTTTACCAAATGAAACTGATGCTCATAGATTATTACATGATATTTCGGAGAATATTGTTGTGGATGAAAATATAAACCGTTTCATGCCTTGGGCTTCTGACATAGAAACAAAACTTGGATATAGATTTGAAAATCGAGCGCTTTTACTACAGGTATTTTAATTATTTTTTTTTATATTATTCATGTTAAGAAAAAAAATTAGATTCCTTGCTTTATCTATAAATAAATCTCCAAAAAAAAAACAATGTTAATTCTATAAATAAGAAATAGAAGCTAATAATGTTTTAAACATTATGAATAGAATATAATGCACTGTTTGAGTACTATTAAATGAAAGAAAAGAACAAATTATTTTAGGCTTTTACACATCCTTCATATACAGCAAATAATGTAACTGAATGCTATCAAAGACTAGAATTTCTTGGTGATGCTATACTTGGTAAGAGAATATTTGAAAATTTATATTAATATATTTAATGCAGTAAAACAACAATAAATAATATTGTTTTTATGCATTATTTTAGATTTCTTAATTACATGTTACATCTATGAAAATTGTGGGAACCTAACTCCTGGTGCTTTAACAGATTTAAGATCCGCTCTTGTAAATAATATTACGTTTGCATGTTTAAGTGTACGATACGGTTTACACACTGCGTTATTAGCTTATGCGCCGAATTTAAATGACGTAATACATCGTTTCGTAAAATTTCAAGAAGAAAGAGATCATATCGTAAATGATGAGGTATTTTACACTATTTTATTTTAATAAACTCTATATAGAGGTAATACTCGTATACATTATATATTAAACAGCTTTTGTGGATCTTATTGGAAGAGGATGAATGTAACATGGCTGAACATGTAGATGTTCCTAAGGTATTAGGAGATTTATATGAATCTGTAATAGGTGCAATATATTTGGACAGCGGCAAAAATCTTAGAAAAACTTGGGAAATAATATATTCGTTCATGCATAAAGAAATTGGTATATACCGATAAAATAATTGTAAATTAGACAATAGTTTACTGGAAATCGATATTCATTGTAATACGTAATTTTTGTTTAGATGAATTTAGTAAGAACATTCCAAAACAACCAGTTCGTGTATTGTATGAAACTCAAGGAGCTCAACCACAATTTTTGTAAGTAGATTTCATTTCAAAGAATTTTTGGAATTCTACATTAACTGATATATATTTTTCAGACCTGCGGCTCAGATTGAAAGCACGAATAGCGTTATGGTACCTTTAAGAGTAACTATCGCGGGAAAAGTAAAACTTTTTCACGGATTTGGTGTTAATAAAAAGCAAGCTAAGTGTGCTGCTGCAAAACAAGCTTTAAAAAGTTTGTTGTGCACATAAAACATGGAAATAACATAAGAAATATAATGAAATTTAAAATTATTTTATACAAAAGATTTTTATGTACTAATGTTATGTATACAACTATTATGTATTAATTATTTTTTAAATATATTATCTAATTAATCTAAATATTTCATAAAATACAACTAATTTTCATTTTTTCGTTTTTTCAAAGATGGCCGATCAAATATTTGTTTCATTCCAGCTGCTTGATTGTTATGGAATTTTAAATTTTGAGCGGTCTCTGAAATCCAAGGTGAATCAAACTGAGTAGTGTCTTGATCCACCAAATGAGTATATTTGGTTCTACCGCTACGGCCGAAGTTTTTCACTTGCATAACTTTCGGTAAAATCGTTTTATCGAAATGATCCTCCAACGTTGCACCAGAGAAATCTCGTTTGAATATATTATCTTCTTTATCCAAATAAAAGGCACCACGATGATAATATTTCTGTAAAAACTTGTATTTCCCTTTGGCCGCTTTATTCGTAATTACTTTCGGATTTAATCGTGCTTCTTGTCTGCGCTCTTCTTCCGTCATGTTACGTATCCTTTCAACTTCAAGTCGTTCTTTTTCAAGCCTAAAAACAATTGTTTAATAAAAGAAACAGCAGATACACATATAAACAGATTTTTATAATACTTACTGCTCTCTTTCTTCGCGATCACGTTTAATTCTTTTTAATTCACGTAACTTCCAAGCTTCATATTCAACTTCGTCGTTTTCATCATCTGTACAAACATCTTCAAGTTTTCCTTCAGTTTCATTTGTGTTTTTACCAACTTGTGCTTCTTTTCTTATTGCTTCTTCTACCATCTGTCCAATGAACAGAGTTAATAAAATATAAAAAAAAATAATTCATTTATATACAAAATTAAACTTACCCGCAATGTTTGCCGTTTCCGTTCTTCAGCCATTTTTTTGGCTTCAATTTCTGCTTGTTTTTGTTTCATGGCTTCTTTTTCTTTTTCCATTACTGTAATTCTATCTTTTTTACGAACAAATACTGGCTTTAATCTTGGTCCAGTCTCCTCCTCTGAATCTGTATATTCTTCATATTCTGAACTTTCTTCTGAACTATCACCTGATCTTTCATCTTCTTCTCCATGAATTAATTCTTCTTCATTTTCTTTCTTTGATAGGACTCGTTGTTTTAAGGCTTCCCTTCTTCTTTCAATTTCCGAATCTGACAATTCTTCATCTTCTGATGAATCTGAACTTTCAAGTTTAATTCTTTCTCTAGTTCGCTCTGGCTCAATTTCGATCAATTCTGGTTCATGAATATGCCTGTGTCTTTCTGCACGAATTTCTATATTGGATTCTTTTTGTTTTTCTAATCGTGTTAATCTTCTTATGCGTGGATCATCTTCATCTCGAATCTTAACCTGTGATTGTATTGGAGCATCTACAGAAGCTTCGTTATCTTCATAATTTTTATGTACACGTCTTTCTAAAAAATCTTCATCTTCAGATTCTTCTTCTGAGCTGGCTACTGGTGCATAATCAGGCCGTTTTCCAGAGACATAACGGTGAACTTTTACTTTTTTCATTGAAAGTTCCCCTATAATGTAAAAGTTCTGTTATCAGATATACATTATATTAACAAAGAATTCACTATCTAATTTCAAAGATCATTTTCATGTACACATTATATTTGTGTTTTTCAAGAATTTCGTAGCTATGCATTAAAAAGAAATGTAAATAAAAGTTAGTTTTCTTTAAAAAGAATTAATTCGTATTAATAAATTACTACTAAATATTAGCAAATATTTTATAATGAGTAAAGATTGAAAATAGAATATTTGATTACTAACCTTTATCATTTTTTACGGGTACTGCACCTGCTGTACTTTGAATTCCCATGGGTGCAGGTGCCAAAGAATTATTTGTAACAAAATAATCCATCATCATTTTGATAGTTCACAAGATAGTTTGTAGGAATGCAATAAAACAATAAAATTTTACGTATTTCAGTTGTAATTATTAGTATTCATTTTATACGTGGAATATGTACTTGACAGATATATAATAACCATGAGTGTTTATATGTATCATAGCGACATCGCATGGAAAATCGTACTTACTATACAACAAATCTTTGATCGAACCAGAACTCGTCGGATAATGAATACCTGTAGAACGAGAATTATATTTGGTGTTAAATCTATAAGAAAGTAGTTCATGACAGAAATCGACTTCAAGCGTTGTGTAGAATCTTGAGATGTTCATTACAGGTTGGCGCGAGCCTGCGATAGATACGTGGTATATGTAGTTCGTTGTACAAAGCTTGGTGTATATATAGTTATATTTTACGCGTATAAAAGCTTTAATTATCAATACTTTATTTTACTTAAACAGAAGTTAGAAAGTTACAGAATCAAGATGTTTTGGGGTAAGTAAATTTTGTACGAATTATATTATTGGTTTTCTAATATTTTTGCCGGTAAAGATTATTTCAGAATGGCGTCGCCATGTGGTTTCGAAAAGCTATTCGCTTCTGACAGTATAAAATTAAATAAAAATGCATTATTTTTTTTTCAGGTTTGATAATGGAACCGAACAAACGGTACACACAGACCGTTGAAAAATCATTCCACGTTTCAATGGCGAGTTTAGATCTTACAACTGCCGGTAAAATTAAGAGATCAATTTTACGTTATTTTTCAAATTTTTCAGTCATAAATGCTAGTATAACATGAAGTACTGTACCAATTCAGTTGAATAAACTGCAAATAAAAGTAGATTATACATATGAAATAAAATCAATTCCATGTAATAAATTAATTTATTTAAAATCCGTTTTATTACAGATGATAATTTGGTTCAAGTAATGTTATGTTATGATAACAGAAATTACTTATTATGCAGTTTAAAAAAAAATTCAAATTGGCAAGTACCACTTGATTTAAATTTCGAAGAAGGAACTAAAATTGCATTTACATGTAATGGTCATGGTCATGTACATTTAACCGGTTATTTAATACCTGATGAAGACTTAGATTTAGATGAATTAGAAGAAGAAGAAGATGATGACGATGATGAAGTCCCACAATTAGTTGATAAACAAATGAAAAGAAAAGCAAAGGATTTAAAGAGTAAAAAGAAGATCAAGCGGCCTAAGCAAGAAATTGAAGCAGAATCTTCAGACGAAGATATAGAATTAGATGGCACAAATGAAGAGAATGATTCCGAAGACTCTTCCGATGATTATCAAGCAGCAATGTTAAATCAGGAAGATGAGGATGATGATGATGATGAAGATGATGAAGAAGATGAAGAAGACGAAGATGATGAAGGAGACAAAAAAGTAGTAAAATCTCAACAAAAGGATAAAAAGAGCAAACAACAACAACAACAAAAGAAAAAAGAAGATAAGAAAAAGTTAGTAAATGGAAAGGAATTAAAACAGGATCAGCAAATTAAACAAAAGAAGAATAAAGATCATCAATCAAGTGATCAGAATGTCCAAAGTGATCAGAAGAAAAGAGTAGTAGAAGGTGGAGTCATAGTCGAAGATATAAAAGTTGGTAATGGTACTCCTGCAAAGAGTGGGAAATTCGTTTCTGTGTATTATGTAGGCCGTTTGAAAAATGGTAGGAAATTCGATTCAACGACACAAGGAGAAGGCTTCAAATTTAGACTTGGAAAGGGAGAAGTAATTAAAGGATGGGATGTTGGTATCATAGGAATGAAAGTAGGAGGAAAACGTCGTATTACAGTACCACCAGCTATGGGGTGCGTATTATTATTTGATTTACACATATTATTAAACATGTAGTTCATTACAAATAATGCTTTTATTGCAGATATGGAGCAAGAGGTTCACCACCAGTTATTCCTAGCAACAGTACGTTGGTATTCGAGATTGAACTTAGGAATGTACATTGAAAACTAAGAATCTTTTATTGATTTCTAAATATTTGTTAAACTATGTATAATGTATTTTAAAATAATAAACGAAACATCCTTTTTTATTGCCCATTAAACTACTAATTTTTTTTAATGTGGAGTTTGTGTTATACAATAATAATCGAAGAACATCTGTCGACTCTAAACATATATTATAATAAAGTAATGCATTCAATTAATAGTATTCACAAATTATGTATATTTTAATCTGTCTTTTTATTATCTTGATTTTTCTTCCAAGTTAATGTACAAATTCCATTTTTGCATTCTTTCACCAGTTCTGGAGGTTGTTCATCAGCTGTTAACTTTTGTTTATTTCTAAACTGCCACCATTTCATTAATAGTGGTTGTATTAAAAACCTCCATATAACGAGAAGTATTGGTATAGCTATGCATGGTATACACGCCATATTTGAAAAGCTCAAATAAAAATCTATAGTAAAAATACAATGATATATTAGTTAATAAGCACATGATAATATATAATTCACTTTTGGCATAATATATAATTAGATTCTTACCTTAAATTATATAAATATACCTTTTTTTAATGTTGTTTGAAATAATTGAACGAATAATTTAAATAACAAAGAGAATATAACCTCTATCTTTGTATGAAAAAATAAATAACTTTTTGTATTTATTAATTTGTCCTGATTTTTTTAGTAAAAAATAATTATAATAAGTTAACGACGTTTATGTAAGAACTGAAATTTTATATTTATTTCAAATACCACAGAGTATTAAATTTCTTTTAACAGCATGACTTTTACTTTGACATTCATGTTCATATAAGCATGCGCCATCAATTTCATTTGAAATACAGTATGTGTTCAAGTATTATACTTTGCGTTTAAATAATTCAATTATCGATTAATTTTAATGAAATTAACGAAACAATGTGTAAAAAATTAAAAAATTTTGAATGTAATATATCTTAGAAAATTTTTAACAATAACTTAAGTTTTATCACTTTGTTTATCCAGATTTTAAATTAAATGTTGTTACATTCCATTGTACATTTTATTCATTACTTAATATGATTTCATCTGAGTATACATAGTATATTAATATTCATACATAAGAACATGGTCACAGCCACATATTGCTAACAGGACCTTAATCCTGTTAATTTTACTTAACGATATAAGGTACTAAACATATATAAATTAAGTGTCAGTCAATAATTTTGTTATAACAAGTATCATGAAAATATTTCGATCGATGATACTAATACAGTATTGTTCTTTAAATTCGTATAGATTCATATGCTACCAAATATTTTACGACCTCTCGTTACAGACAGTGAAACAATGACGACACTTAAAATAAAAAAGACTAGTCCAAAAAAAGCGGTTAAAGTTCTACACCATTGTCGCTTACGCTTTGCCTTTGCGATTGCTCGACCTAAGCGTTCCGCTCGAGAAACATCCAGAGTGAAATCTAAATCTCCAATGAATCCTTGCATACGATAATCCCAATTACTTTTTCTGGATGAGAAGACCATATCTTCGTTTATCGAGTCACTGTAACCAGTCTCCAACTGCTGAAACATCGGTCTTGATACGTTGGTTACATTGATATTGTGAATACTGTTATTCACACCTAATGCTGTTATTATTTAAGGAAATTAGATGTTTTACAATCCGTATATACGACAGTAAATACATCCATTTCTAAATTTAGTTAACACGTTGACTGTTATAGCAAAATATTAATTATATTAAACTTTTTAATACTCGACTACATTCAGTGGTGATTCCTTATAACAGTCAGCGTGTCGACATTTATTCATATTTATTTTATACGTATATCGATTCAAAATTAAGTCGATCGATGGGTAGTAAGCTATTTTGAATTATGTTACAAACTTACCATCACATATTCTGATTCATTGGAAACAATTTTGTTTCGATTATTCTTAGTTCCCTCGTTGACGTTAATCGCTTTTTTCGTATCAATTCCAACATGGTGATTATCATACATGTTCTGCATTGTTTTAATGTAATCAGTTGAATGTTTCAAACATTCGCAAATATTCGATTCTGAAGTGTTTTTGTCATTTTCTAAAATTGACCATGAATTCGTTCCTTGATAATAATCGTTTACTAAAACCGCAGCAGTTGAACTTTCCTTTTTCTCCAGTTCATTATTCGTTACGACTTGATCAGTTTTCAGAGACGATACAAATCTATGATTGTGTCCGCAAGTACACAAGCAGCTGTACCACGCTGGGTTGTATATATAAAAATGTCGAGTATTGCTGTAGAGTTTTGAATTAATTGGGTTGATCTTGGACGATGTATTTTTATTGCAGTTTAATAGGCACGAACTTTTCTCGTTCGCGAATGACTTTTTAGGCAAGAAAGAGTTGTGATAAACGTACTCGTAGACTCCTCCTTTCGTACCAATTCCTTGGGCAACTTTATGCGAAATATTTTGCAAGATCTCTTCTGGTGTCATGATATTCTCACCGTCTAGCACGGAGTTTAGCGTTCGTGACAATTCAAGAAGAACCTCGTGCGCCGATGTGCCGGCAGATTTGTCACAATTCCAATCGCAATAGGAGGAGGTATATGTACAACTGCATCCCCAGCACGTGTACAAAGCTATTAAAAATCGCAATATGGACATGTTTTAATTATGTCAAGACAGAAATATTAATATACTGACCATCGTATTCTGGACTTTCGTCATTGTGATAAAGTTGACGCGGAGTAGGAAACGAGGACGGCCAGATAGGACGTGGAATTGCCTCACTTTCATGAATTACGGCCAAGTTCCCTCCAAATTGATCCTTCATCGTTAGAGGAACATTTCGAAAAAAATTTTGTCCACAAACCGCTGACGCATAACAAGAATAAGAACCAGTTGACAATGGCGGAGAATGACTCGAATAGCCAGAACTGGTCGAGGTCCGACATCTTCTCAGATAATTTCGTGCGGTAGTTGTTGCCGACGAATCGGTTACAAATCTTGAGATTTCAGCTTCTATCGAATTAGGCTGTGTCCTAAAGCATTATATTTTCTTAACATAAACGTAAGTAATCTTAGATCGCTATGTATTATATTGCTTCGCATTATTATCGTGCACTAGTATCATAACGCGCTGAATCGCCACTTAGTATCGTCATGTAATAATATCGCTGTACAATTATTATTAAACATTTATGGACTCAGAATATTATAAGCTATCGGTATTCGTTGAAGAAGGAGATCTCTGTACCATTCTGTCTCGTGTAGATCAGTTCTTGGCACAGCGTATAAGTTATCAGGATTACAAGTGTACCGTTCATTGGACAAATGCAAAGGTAATTTTGCACCATTGTCATTTAAACTAATCTGATTTCCACCTGAAACTGTCAAGGCCGTTGCGATTGCGGCACTGGAACAAAATTTCCCGGATTCCAGCATCACCTAGTACGGTCCAACAGTATCACCTATAATAAGTAAAGTATTATTTCGTGCAAATGAAATATTCGGTCATTGAATAATATATCGTACCCCGATGGTTCGTGGTTGATGATTGTGTTACCGCATGGGTTAGATGCAGGTTCGTCTAGGGCGAGTAACCAGCGCTGCATACTCTTTTCAGAATACTCGGTTGCGGACTAAATGCCGCACACTTTCATCCTCAAAGTTCTTGTTTCCCCTCAACATTTCATCATCTTTCTTTGTCTTTTTCGTGAAGTAGTACTGCGAAAAAAATTTAGGAATATTTAACTGATCAGGTGAACTGTTACACGACAGATTTTCTAAGCCACAAAGCTTGTATAATTTATGAATCCAATACGTATATCTACAAATACTAAATTAAAATGTCATAATATTTCTTTTCTGTTTTATGGAAATTCCTGTTGCATGATCACCTAATTTATTGAGTAGGTACTTTTTACTGGACGTGCCGTTTAGTATTGATGCGGTGGATGATCCAATGTTTCAAGGTTGCTTTCACATTTGTCATGTTCACGTAAGAAATCGGACAACGAGAAACAAGTATTACGTTATTCAGGACATTCCTTATAAGCTGGCGGAAATGTGAAATAATTGTTATATTTTTGAATTAATTACTTCTTAACACCGTACGTTACTTTCTTAAAGCAAGTCTAATATTTCGCATGTAATTATCTTCTGATCGACTCGAGATTATCTACTCGGGGAGAAAGGTGATTCGAATTAGTTTTAAAAGGTGTATGCGACTTTGGACCTCGGTATTTTGGAATCGTGATATTTTGAGATTGGAACTCTTTTCGGAATTTTGAAATTCTTGAAGAATTGGGATTTGGGACTTCAGTATCTTGAAATCGTGGTATTTTGAGATCTTAAAGTTTTAGAATCTTTGGACTTTTGAGCTTGAAATTTTTGTTCAAGTGTTTGTTCGAAAGAACATTAAAATGTTCTGGTATTTTGGCACTTAGGATTTTGGAATTATAGGAGATTAAGTAATCTGTTACGGGAGTTGAATACGTTGAGGCAAAGTTACCTTTCTTCATAAGTGTACATAAACGCGATACTCTAATTACCTAGTAGCATGGATCAGCGTACAGGTCGTAGGTGCCCAGCACTCCGCATTCCGCCACTTCCAACGGGTTACTTTCTCGTCGTTACAGCCCACTGCTCGATGTTCACGTATTACACGCTGCACCCTGGAATGTCGATTGACGTTACAAAAGCCTTGTGCTTAAAGAAGAATACGACACGAGCGAAAAGTTCGATGTCACACAATTACATAATAAATGAATTTCAATACCAGAATCTCGTAAACAATTATGCGGAACGGTGAAACGAGTGATTTATACATCGGAGGAAAGCTAAGAGCGAAAAGAGATTAATCGTTGAATGATTATTTAATACATTAACTATTTTTGTTCAATGTTTCTTGTGATTTTATTTTTAATTGATTTTAAATTCTGCAACATAGTATAGATGTATGTATAAAAATAAAGATGAGAAAGCAAATACCAGCGTACATAAACTTATAGGAAACCCGTATATACAAACGGTCCATAAAGAGAAGTCGCAAGAAATATTTAACTCGCAAACTTTCACTCGCATTCATTCAGGGCCGTCTTCTGAAAACATGTCACCCCATAACTCAAGAATGAACACTTCATTCTCTAATCCGTTCGAGGCCTATCGCATCTTAACTTATTTTTTAAATCGATTAATAGTTCCATAAGAAACAATCCTATCTTCATTTTCATGCCATCGATGGTACCACTACTTCACGTATAATTTCTTACGAGAGATCCCTTCTTTCTTCCTGTACCTATTCTAGCAAATAAAAAGAAGTAGGTTGAAAGTACTTTTAATTACTAATGTTACAAAGTAATAGCACAAATTATATGTTGCATGTTCAGAAAGAATGTTTCTCTCGTATCTTGTTACCCTCTTTAACGCTCGAAAATTATTGATATATGTAGGGCACAAATTCATACCAGGTGGCACGTAAGAATTTTCTATCAAGAAAGGCAAAACAGCCTCGGGCAAAGCACAACTTTCATACTTTATACATGCAGATTCATGTTTCATGTTATTTAACAGAAACTCTGAGGCTGAATGGCCACAGGGTAACATAGCTTTTCTTTTCGTCGGAGAAAGTAGAAAAATAACAATTGCTTTGTGGCGGTCAGTGTGTCTGATCCGACAGTCAAGTATTACGTCAGTATTGTTGGTCCATACGTGTATGTGTTCTTGTTGTTAACGTGCAATTCATTATCCACGAGCAACTTAACATCCTACAAAATCAATTCATTAAAGTTATTTATTTGTTTAAGACGTTGGGTACCACAGACGATGGATATCGTCGAATAAATAAATAATTATACTGATTTTTTGTAACAAAAAATAAACCACGTTCATCGATGACTATCAGTGATCTAACGCAGCGTCCAATACTCTTGAAAATAATGTTGATTTTTTTGCTTTGGATGCTGCAAATTCCAGTTCTTTAGCTTTTTTATAGTTTTATGCATTAATTACAAATCTTTTTCGGGAAATATGACGTTGACCTACAAACGTACGAAATGTTGTGATATATATTTCTTTTTTTAAACCAGTCATATACAAAATTTTATGTAGATAACAATAATAAAATAATGTTCATTTACTAACTGGTTGAACATCTGCAATTAAAACGATAAAGAAGATGTAATTAATTATTTGATATAAAAGAAGTGTTCATTACATTGCAGTGCAGATTATAATATTTCATAATCATATAAAAGATATAATTTACCACTCAATAAAAATGAAACGATAAAAGAAGGATTATTTGTATGTTTTATACACAGTTAATTTGTCAGGAAATTATAATTGTGTATTATCCCAAGACACAATAGAATTGAATTGAATTTCAAATCGCTAATTCCTTCTAAAGTTTGCGCATGCTCGAATACCTATGTCTCTCCGTGCGTTGATTAACTTCGTGCGTATACGGAGGAAGCTGGGCGCTCGAAAGACGAAAACTTTCACGTGTGTGCCAACGCAATCGTTACACTCACGTTGTTACACTCGCGGATGCCCAGAAGAAACTGAAAGTCTCGTTTCTTTGTCTCGTAAACTCAACTCCATCAACACTCTTATCCCACTCTATGCGATCGATTGAACTTCGAGTTATCCAAATCAATTATAAAACACTCCAATATTTGCATGCTTTCCGTGGTCTTCGTTGAATTCGATGAATCTCGCATGAACTACTTTATTTTATTTCAGCAATTTGAAAGGAACCAGAATGAATATAAAAAGATAATGTATGAATATATGAGAAATTGTAAAGAATTATGTTTGAATTTTGAAATACAGAAACTTGATATTTATTGTATGTACCATATATTAATTACCTGAATTAAACATTTTTTTCGACGTAGATGTTTTTAAATATCCTAAAATATATTTTAAAGGATACTAATAGCTTATAAAAATTACGGACTAAATTTTGAGCATTTCGTTTCTTTATTTTAAGAACATTTGATCCAGTGATAATCATTTGAATTATTCATATCGAGTTATCAAATTTATAATGAAACTGAACTGAACGTAGCTAATAATGCTTTCGATATATTCGATAATCGATTTACAAAGAGAGAAAGAAATATGGTCCTTGATGTGTGAATATAAATCAACCTATATTTACAAGAATCATAATTTGTAAATAATGGCAAATTTTACTGACGATTTATTTGATGTTTTCGAAGAAGCGGATGACATCTTAGAAATAATTCCGACTCCCGTGAAACAAACATCAAATGAGAAGTAAGAGGGAATTATTTTCATAACCTTTACATATTCTAACCTTATAAGTAAATGTTAAGAATATTATTACTTAGAAGATAAAATAAACTTTTAGGGAAACAAATGCAGAAGACGGAACAAAACGACAACTTGAAATTGAATCTGATGACATAATTTCTAAAAAATTGAAATTGGAACCAGTTTTAGAAGATTTGAAGTGAGTATCAATAATTAACGATCATGTTTTCATATAACATTTCATGTAACATTTTTCTTATAGCTTACTTTTAGTCGTTTAATAGTTTCATTATAGAAGCTATTTATATGTTTTTTTATTTCTGTAGTGTAGAAGATTTGGCACCACGTATTAAAATACATACAATAGAAACGATCGAATCATCCACACATGAAGTTGCTGTTCCACCTGACTATGAATATGTACCATTGGAACGGAAAGTAACCAAACCAGCTAAAGAATATAAATTTCTATTAGATCCTTTCCAAAAGGAAGCAATATTATGTATAGAGAATAATCAGTCGGTTCTAGTTTCTGCACACACATCAGCTGGTAAAACTGTTGTTGCAGAGTATGTATTAAAACATAAAATAGTAATAAATTTTTCAACAAACCTATTGGTAATTATACATATTATAGGTATGCAATAGCATGTTCATTAAGAGACAAACAAAGAGTGATCTATACAACTCCTATAAAAGCACTAAGTAATCAGAAATATAGGGAGTTTTATGAGGAATTCAAGGATGTTGGTTTAGTGACTGGTGATGTGACGATTAATCCAACAGCTAGTGTGCTTATTATGACTACTGAAATTTTAAGAAATATGCTGTATAGAGGATCAGAGGTTTCTTAGGATTTTAAACTATATATTTATGTATACATATTTACTATTGTATTATAATTTTAATAGGTACATATATTATTTAGGTAATGCGCGAAGTTGGTTGGGTAATTTTTGATGAAATTCACTATATGCGTGACAAAGAAAGAGGTGTTGTATGGGAGGAAACATTAATATTATTACCAGACAATGTACATTATGTATTTCTTTCTGCAACTATACCTAATGCACGACAGTTTGCTGAATGGGTTGCAGATTTACATAAACAACCATGTCATGTTGTTTATACAGATTATAGACCAACTCCTCTGCAACATTATATATTTCCTGTTGGTGGGGATGGAATTCATTTGGTTTGTAAAATACAATAAAGTAATTATTTAGTGTAAAAGAGGAAGCTTATGTGTGTTAATTAATCTGTAGGTTGTAGATGAAATGGGACAATTTAAAGAAGAAAATTTTAACAGAGCAATGGCTTGTTTACAACACGGAGATGCAGCTAAAGGAGACACTAAAGGTCGTAAAGGTGGTATTCGACCAACAAATGCTGGACAAACAAATATCTTCAAAATGGTAAAGATGATCATGGAACGAAATTTTGCACCTGTAATTATATTTAGCTTCTCAAAAAAAGATTGTGAAATTTATGCAATGCAAATGGCTAAATTGGATTTAAATACGTTGGAAGAAAAGAAACTGGTAGATGAAGTTTTTAATAATGCAATGGACGTACTTAGCGAAGAAGACAGACGTTTGCCGCAGGTTGAAAATGTATTACCTCTTTTAAGGCGAGGTATAGGCATTCATCATGGTGGTCTTTTACCTATTTTAAAAGAAACGGTAGAGATATTATTTGGAGAAGGATTGATAAAAGCACTCTTCGCGACAGAAACTTTTGCAATGGGATTGAATATGCCAGCACGAACAGTTTTATTTACAGCATCACGAAAATTTGATGGAAAAGATTTCCGTTGGATTACATCTGGAGAGTACATACAAATGTCTGGTAGAGCTGGTAGAAGAGGATTGGATGAAAAAGGAATAGTAATATTAATGATAGACGAACAAGTTAGTCCAGTTATTGGAAAGGCAATCATACAAGGAAAACCAGATCCTATCAATTCAGCATTTCATTTAACTTATAACATGGTTTTGAACCTGTTGAGAGTTGAAGAAATTAATCCAGAATATATGCTTGAAAGAAGTTTTTATCAATTCCAAAATCAAGCCTCTATTCCCAATTTGTACAATAGTAAGTAAATTTTTTATTTAGTAATTATATATTATAGTTTTGCACAAAATAGTTACTATTTCAATTTAATACAGAGGTAAAAGAATTGCAAGCTTCGTACAATGCAGTAACTGTTGACAAATATAATCATATATCTTCCTATCATGGCATACGTGAACAACTTGAACGCCTTAGTACTGAATTTAGATCCTTTTTAACAAAACCAGAATATTTACTTCCATTTTTGCAACCAGGAAGATTGGTAAAAGTATGTAGATATTATTTATACATACATGTAAATATGCGCGTTTTTTCCTAATAATTGTAAAATTTCAGGTAAAAAATGAAAATGAAACATTTGATTGGGGTATTATTGTAAACTTTAAAAAGAAAAACCCTAAAAATCCAGTAAAAGAGAACACTGTTATTATTATTGATATCTTGCTACACATTTCTAAAGAATCTACTGAAGGGTGTCCAATACCATGTCGTGATGGGGAAGAAGGTGACATGGAAGTAGTTCCTGTTTTACATACACTAATTTCTCAAATCAGTTCACTCAGGTTATATTACCCGAAAGATTTAAGGCCTTCTGATAACAGGAAAAGCGTATTAAAGACAATACAAGAAGTCAAGAAGCGATTTCCGAACGGACCACCATTACTCAATCCTACAACAGACATGCACATAGAAGATGAAGGTTTTAAAGATATAATAAAAAAAATTGAAGTATTGGAAGAAAAATTATATGTCCATCCTTTACACAAGGTAAACAATTATTTTTTATTTTTATATATTATTTCGTATTTATTGTATTTAAAGTAATAATGAATGTTATTTCATTCCAATATAGGACCCGAATGTAAATACTCTGTATGAACAATTTCTTCATAAGGAAGAGTTGGGAAATCAGTTGAAACAAGCTAAATTGGAATTGAAACAAGCTAAATCGATACTTCAGATGGACGAATTAAAATGTAGAAAACGCGTATTACGAAGAATGGCCTATTGCACAGCATCAGATGTTATAGAATTAAAAGGTCGAGTTGCTTGTGAACTTAATGGGGCTGATGAATTGTTGATGACAGAAATGATCTTTAACGGATTATTTAATTCTTTAAACGTGCCTCAAATGGTAGCGTTAATCAGTTGCTTCGTTTGCGATGATAAATCGAATGAAATGCCTAAAATCACAGAAGAATTGAGTGGCCCACTCAGACAAATGCAAGATTTAGCTCGAAGAATAGCAAAAGTATCTACAGAAGCTAATTTAGAGTTAGATGAAGATACATACGTAGAAAGATTTAAACCATATTTAATGGATGTCGTGTATGCTTGGTGTAAGGGTGCTAGCTTTTTAAAAATTTGTAAAATGACGGACATATTTGAAGGTATATTGAAGATAATATTTTTTCACTAATTCGGTAAATATTTTTAATATATTTTAAATTAATTTTAAGTTATCTATTCTAGGTTCAATTATACGATGTATGCGACGTTTAGAAGAAGTTCTTAGACAATTATGTCAAGCAGCAAAAAACATTGGAAATACAGATTTAGAGAATAAATTTAGCGAAGCAATCAAACTTATAAAACGTGACATTGTCTTTGCTGCATCTTTGTATTTATAATAAAAATTTTTAGGAAAAGTTCCTTTTATTTAAAATATATTTTTTATTACAAATACCATTTATATTTTGTACAAGTTAAACTCCTGTCTCGATGAATCTTTAAATGCTTGTTGCAAACATGGTAACGACAAACAAAAGGCTACTTTTGTTTGAGGTTTCTCGAAATGTAATTTATTTTTAGGAATTTAAAATATACAATGCACATGCATGGAAAGGATTTCTTTTTTATAATATAAAACTACATTTGATGTACGAATGAATAGTACGAAAAGACCAGCATAAAAATGTAGTTGCTTAATAAACAGAACTCATTCTAACTGATAACTATTCGAAAATTATTAAATAAATAACATTCTCAGGATATTGCAATGCTTAGTTTCTACATTTTTAATTTAATTACAACAAATCACTTATCGTTCTTCTAATATTACTGTTTCTTGAGGACAAAATTTAAGATCCATAAGAGTAAGTTTTGAATCCATAGATGTTAACTGCAACAGATACAAAATTCATTTCAATGTGAGTTTTAGTAACACTTCCGAATCTATTGTTATGAATTGAAAATATGTATATGAATAATTATTTGTATCTAACTCGATGAAGCAATACAGTAACAACATAGAAAATATCTATATAATAAGAACTCAAATGCTTACATCATCTACTTACATCCCTTCGAGGCCAACTACATAAAACTTTATATTCCTCTGTTGGATAACCCTCCACAATAAGAAAATTGAGGAGTGTTTGTAATGTTGTATCAGATTGAAATCTGCGCTCCAAAAATTTGCCAGCTGGTAGTCGCACTCGTACTTTTAGTACACCATCACTAGTTCCTTGTTGTGGTTCAGGAGGTAAACTTGATTCTACAGCTTGTCTATGAGCTTCTTTTCTTGCCTCTTCAGCCAATCTTTCATTCTCAGCTTGTTCTTTTCGTTGCTTTTCTAATTCTTCTTGCATCTGTTTTGCTTCTTCTTTCGCTCTGGAATCATATTTTCGATTAAAATGTTAAAAACATAATTTCGTCAAAATAGTACTTTTTATTTTACCTATCTGCTGCTAAACTTTCTTGATATGCTCTATCTTGTTCTTGTTTTACTCTTTCTCTAGCTTGTCTTTCTTCTTCAACTCCGATATCAGTACGTCTCTGTTCCTATTTTTTAAATAAACATTTTAAATATCTTCCACAATAATCAACTTAAAGTAATATGTTTAATTTCTGTACCTGGAACACTTCAACAACGTGAATTAAACTGGTTAACAATTCATTCACTCCCACATTGGCATGTACTATTGTAAATATTTCTGTATTAGATCTAGTTCTCATTATAATTACAAGAGCCGGTAAAGTATCAACATCTATATTCTTCATAGCTAACGTTGCAACTGAACCTAATGTTTGTTTCACAGAGGAAAGAAATCTGTAAATCAATAATTTATTGAAAAACAGAATGCGTATCATAAAACAAATAATTTTTTGTAAATTGATGCATACCTTTGCTTATTGGATTCGCATGTAATGTCCCAACCCCACACAATAAAATTTGCAGATAAAACTTGAAGTACCGTTTCGCAACTCAGTAATTGTGTGCAAAATACATTGGCTAACACACTGTTGTCATGATGTAAATATACAGCCAATAATTTTCTCTGTAATAATTTCAAATATTAACGATTTATATCAATTTACTACTTAAAGATCTTTCCGATTGTATGAATTATAAACCTCTTTTGCTGGTTTCAAACAGGATTCTTTAACAGCATCTTTAAATCTACCAGTAAAAAATTCTGGATGTGCTGGCCCATATCGTTTTTCAAATTCTTCTGCAAACTGCACTGTACCTATTGTCTCATCCGTTACATTTTCTGGCACTATAGCAAACCGTTACTTTTTAACATTTACTTAATGAAAAAAGAAATACATATACCTATGTATTCAGAATTCAAAGTACTCACTTAGACGTTGAATTTTGGTAGATATTACATTATCTACGAAAATACCATCTTCTATGTCATATTCATCCACAGAACTATCACTTTCAACCAAATCTATAATATCCTAAAATTAAAAAAACGTTATTTTTACTATTACACACATTTGCAAGTAATTAATAATACCTTTTTCTCTTCTTTTGTAGGAAGTTCATTAACGGAAAGGTCATGCTCTGGATGAGAAATTCCACTTTGTGCTAACATAGTACTATCATTTTTTACTGAACTTGGCCAACCTTTCCATTGCTGATTTCGTACTGGAACATCTATTAATGCATAAATTCCTGATTTTACATCCAAGATTGTACTTGTTCCAGAATATTTTAAATTATATGTTTTCTTGTGTTTTTCATCTTTAATATTTAAAGTATATGTTTGAGTCATACGATTTGATAAACTGGAAGGATAATAAATGTATTATAATTGTCAATATTTTTGTGCATTTTTTAGATATAATATTTATGGATATATAAATACACAGACCATAAACATACTACTTACATATCAGTTGTTAAATCTACATCCTCAGATACAGGAGAAACATATAGAGTATTTTCCTTAGGTAAATCCAATGATTGCAATGATGTATTTAGTGATTCTGGTTCTTTTTTCCATCCATAAAGGCGTTGTTGACAAGGTAGAATATTAGTTTGTTCCCATATAAGCTGTTTGAGATCCTCTAAAAGATACATGCACATATACATTAATAACATATTAATATTTGCAGATTAGTTAAAAACAAAAGAACTATTAATAACTTACTTAATGATGAAAGTTCAGATAAATTTATTTCATATTCATTGTTTAGATAATTAATATGGAATGTGAGCATTCTGCCTCTTACACAACTTTTAGGTTTACTTGTTCCTGGTTTTGAATTTTCTACTATATCAACTTTTGAATTATTTTTTGGAGCACAAGCAGTTTGAGATGATAATGTAGATGAATGAGGCATTCTTTCAATTTCCTCTATCATTTCTATATCTGGAGTTATCTCAGAAGGTAGTTGCTGAGTACCGCGAGGCATAGCTTGGTTTACTGCTGCCTATACGATATAAAATATCTTTAGAGTTCCAATCTATTTTAAATATATTATCCAAGTTAATATATTACAAAAATTTACCAATAAATCCCAATTTGATTCTTCTAAATATTTAATAGCATCTCCAACATCATCAATTCCTGTACATGCCTAAAAAGAATATACATTTATTTACACTAATCAAACAGATTATGGAAGTATTAATAGAAAATTATTTTTCAAAATAGATTAATCATCAGTTGTACTAATTTCTGATATTTGCAATTTTACAAACTTTCTTAAATAATTCCATGACTCATAAACACAATTATATGAAAACAAAGAAACTAAGATTCATACAGAAAAAAAATATTAAAAATTCATGTCATGGAATACTATAAAATAATATTCAAACTTTTTGAATGTTTTAGGTATTACTAAACATTAACAAGTTTGAACAATCGAAAAATATGAAACTATATTCGCAGATTTCAACTACTGTCAATGTCATCTATGCATACACCATAACCTAAAATTATATTTATATTCGAAATTAACAAATAATCAAACTCTGAATAAATCACCTGAAAGTCAGCTAAAATTTCATCCCGTGTTGCGGCCATCGTGTTGTCGTTCACTGTCAAACTTAAGCGAATATACAAGCTACAAAATCTAATCAGTACTTCCCAATCGTTATAAGCAATATGAACAACGAACGCAAGCCATTGACGTCTCAAACTTTACGTTAACTTGAAACGAACACTGAACCATCTACGTGTGTTTATATATTTTCTCTTTCAGCCTTAAAACAATTATTCGTATATCGGGCAATGCCCGAAGGAAGATATTATCACTTTTTTAACTAAAGTTTTCTAATATACGATTGGTAGGAATTGAAATCGTTACAAGCGTTCTCCAATCATCTTTAAAAGATATAGATATTTATATATAAAACATTTTTTATACTTAATTTTTTTATATACATCTATTGTAACGTAAAGTAAACGTTCGAAATTTTACAGTTTATTATTACAATTAATTCTTCAGTTTCCGAATAAATTTTATTTACTTATATAAAAGATTACAATAATATGTATGATTTTGATCATACATTTTATAGTTTGAAAATATAATTTAATTATTATTCCAAGAAATAATAATCAGTAATTCATGATTTGTATTAAAATATTATCGGAAGAAATTATTATTTTAATCTCAAGCTATTAGATATTTCACTGGACTGATTTCAGTAGAAAATACTACCATGAGCATGTTAAGTTAGTTTAAGTCTATACTCTGTGTAGTTTGTGATAATACGCAAATACAACATGTACTCAACGAACATGAAATTTCGATGGATCCTCATTTTTTTTTTATTGTAGTATGGTCCATTCATTGTACAAAATACGCATTTTTCTGAATATATTCATATATTTTATAAAGATATTATAGCAATTCAGTACAATATTTCTTTTATTTTGTACATTTATTATATCATGACCAATACTCGCTATTCGTTTATTTTTTTGGTACCGTGTATATGACCACAGAAGTTGAAACAGGTTATAGAAGGATATCGCTCTTATAACTAGGAATTTTCCTATGCTGTCAAGCTGCGTAAAACATCGTCTACTTAGTTCCTTCTGACCTGAAATAGAGTATACATACACGCATAACATAAATGGAATACGGACTTTAACTTTTCACAGTATGAAAAATAGATCTTTAATACCGTGACAGTAACAAAAACGAATTCTGCTCCGTCCACGTGAAATCAGTCGTAAATTTATAGTAATTGTTTCCATTGTCAAAAAGAGTTTTGTTGCCTGCATTATAGTTTGTGCGCGTGGCCGATCGAGGAAGAAGACTTTTATGCCTTCCACGCCGGGCACCGCCACTTTATCATGATCAAATTATTCTCGTTAAAACAAGCGAAAAAGGATGGCGAATCGCCGAAAGCTGGTACTCAAAAGAAGGCATCCGCAGCACAACTGAGAATCACAAAAGGTTTATTGACGGTCACTCATTGTTCTTTTCCTAATTTCTTTTTACTGTTTATTAGTTATGATTTTCTCTAATACATGAAAAACAGAACTTGACAATTAGGAACTTTTCATCATAAATATTTTAAGATGTTCTGTATATTATGTCTAAACTATACAGTAATTAATGTCCATTTATTTTTATCAGACCTATTACATTTATATATACGTTATTCTAAAGCACTGTATGTGTTATACATTAATAAATTAACTGAATTAAAATATGTTTAGCAATATATAAATGTAAGAAGCTATAGACTATTTGTAATGTCTAAAGATTTATTATGATGCAATATTTTGGAAGTTCTATATACAATTTAGTTCAAAACATGTAATAATGATAAATAAATAATTAATAGTAAAAGAATATTTTAAAAACTGAGTTCTAGAGCATAATATACATTTTTTGTGTAGATATAAATGAGCTCAATCTACCAAAAACATGTGGAACAGAATTTCCTGATCCAGATGACCTTCTCAGTTTTAAATTAATTATTTGTCCAGATGAGGTAAGAGTTTTGCACATAATAGTATTTTCTATGTAAACAAAATCTGATTCCATAATTTTTCAGGGATTTTACAGAGGAGGTAGATTTGTTTTCAGCTTCAAAGTTGGACCAAATTATCCACACGAGCCACCTAAAGTAAAATGTGAAACACAAGTTTATCACCCTAATATTGACTTGGATGGCAATGTGTGCCTGAATATTTTAAGAGAAGATTGGAAACCAGTTCTCACAATCAATTCTATCGTCTATGGACTACAGTATCTTTTTCTGGTATTTTGCATACTGCATTAATATTGCAATATTTTTATATGTTTTTAAAAAAGGTCAGAATAAGAAAGTATTATATGTTTAGGAACCAAATCCAGAAGATCCATTGAATAAAGACGCTGCAGAAGTTTTGCAAAATAATAGGAGAGCATTCGAGCAAAATGTAGCAAAAGCAATGAGAGGTGGCTGTGTTGGTTCATTTTATTTTGAACGGTGTCTTAAGTGATAGCGCTCGTTTCCTTTGAGGACACATTGAGGAAAGAGGTTGAGAATTAAACTGTTTTATGCTTTGAACATGTTCTTCGCATCTATCTCGTTCATTTATTAGCGAGCCTCATTGTGTCTTCTGGAGTGCTTTGTAACTTTGATCAATACACCATCGGTAAAAATGCCATTGATGCGCTGTTATCCCGGAATTGTGGGATACTCTATTATTTTCCTTGTTTTACCTTCTTTTTAAATTTAGCAAAGTATCAAAGTTACGTTTACGTTTGCAAGTTTCTTAATTAACAGCCCATTAATGAATGTAATTGAAAAGAAAAATTTTTTTAAAAATACATCTGTGATTCTAAAGTATTATTACTTTATTAGATATATTTTCACCATAATTACGTACAAAATGATCTTGAAATGAAATTTATCATATTTAATATGAGGTTGTTTTCAGTTACAATGACCGAATTTCGTTTTAAATTTAAAATACCTGTAATTACGATTGTTGCCTATTGTAATAATAACAAATATATATATGTACTTTTACGAGATTTGCAAACGTATATGTGATCGTGATTGTCGCAATTTCTTTCGTAAATGTATCTCCACACTGAAGGCTGTTCTGCAGGATATAAATTATTTTCCATAAACTGATATGTATCCTGCTATGCTCTTCATTTAAAATCGTATAACTTAATTTATGTATTAATCGAAAGTGGAATATAAGGCTGTTAAAGAAAAAAAATTCTATATTTCACTTATCAGTTATCCTATCCCTAATAATATGACAATTTTTGATTCTTCCCATCAAGTTTGCTACATTTTAGATTTTAACAATCTTTTAATTAAAAAGAAATTGTACTATCTTTATATAAAAAATACTTACTGCATCTGTACTTCTATAAAGTTGTAAATTTATAATAAGAAATCTTATTTAATTAAAATATATATATACAAAACAAGATATTCTACTATTTAATTATTGATTTAGTTAATTGTTACAATTTTATTTATTACAATTTAGCAAGAAACCAATTTTAATCAAATCTTGAGGCTGAAAAGTCTTGAATAATTGTTTCTTTTTATTAGCATTAATTTATTATACTTTAGTACAGTGTTTACGGAACTTACAAACTAGAGAAGCGTCCTAGCCTCGATCCAATTTTACTGTCTTTAAGTTAGGTCCCATCCGCGTCGAGCATGTTGAAGGCACTTTTTCGAGCGCTTCAAGAGCGATCGAAATATTTCTCCCTTTCCACCTTTTTTTTTCTTTCATACACTAGCACACTTGCATGCATTCTGTCTTCTTTTTATACTTTCATTTCTATTTTCACGTGTAAAAAAAAGAAAAAAAAAAATAAAAATTCGATCGCGCTGGACAATGGATTGACGTGAGTTCCGCGAAGAAGCACGGCGATTTGGAAACGAGATCAGAACTTATTCCCTGGAATCTGGAAATCGAAATATACAATGATAACAAATATTTTTTATACGACAAAATAAAGATTTTTTTCTTTATTTACGTTAAATATAACATTCTTCTATTATGAAGATTAATTACATTTTACTATTGCGTTGTAAAAAGAAACGTGCTTCTCCGCAGATTCCATCGTGGAATGGATTTCCAAACGCTCGAAAGGATGCTACCATTGTTGTATGTACCGAGCTATAGTCATGAAAAGCCACAAAGACGTGAAAAAAGCAAACAAAAAAAGGACGCTCTCGTATTTATTTTGACTCGCATATAACTCGGTTTTAACGGAGTGGGAACATGTATTGCATTGTTAAGGATACTCGACTCGGATGCTTCGCAATTTATTTACTTACTTAACATAAAAATATAAACGATCAGGAGTCTTTATCGGCTCAGAGGCGTTCCACCAAAGTTAAACGACGTTGGAACAGTCTGCGAATGAAAAGCGTAACCTGAAATAAAAATTTCATTAATATAGTTAATAATGACGCAATTACAACAAGAAAATTGTGTTATTATTAGTATTAACAACTTTGAAGTGGTCAAATTAAGAAAACTTACCTCCACTTTGTTCAATTCTTTTACTTTCAAGGGCTGCTTTACGTTGATCTGCCAGAAGAATAATTTCCTGTAATGCTTTCTGCTGTTCTGAAGTTAAATGACCGGTTAATGCCCTATACCACACTGTATCTGTTCTTTCAATGTCTGAAAACAAAACACATATATTCATTTCGTTAAATGATTTTCAAATTCTTAATCAGCACCTATAGTGCTCGTAGTATAAAATCATGAAAAGAGGTATAGTGTTTACTTACTTTGCATTACTTCTTTGAAAACAACGTATTCATCTTGATTCGTATCTTCTGAATCTAATAACGTGGCATAGCATTCAAGTGGAGTTTCTTCATTGGCATCGTATTCTGAGTCATCGCCATCAACGTCTGATCTGTGATCTCCATGACCATCTTGAATTGAAGCTGATACATTAAAACCGTGTTGAGTAGATGACCTTGTCACCTTCTCTTGTAACTTTTCCAAATATTCTTGACTAGCATCGTCGATTTCGTCTTCGTCCGATGATAACACTTCTATTGAAATATACAGCAAAATAAGTATCATTTAATGAAATCAAATAAAAATGGGGAAAAATAAATATAGAAATTATTACCTGTGTCAATATCGCTATCATCTTCTTCATTTTCTTCATCATCAGTATCAGATACTTTAGCTGCATAAGCCCTTTTCAAACCATCGAAAAGAAGAATTAAAGATGGTATAATTTGCTGAGCGCATTCGTTTACTGCTGGCGGTCTTGCTGGGCCCATGCTAATTAAAGTACACAATCCAAGAACACAGAGTTTTCTGTCATGCAACCTACACAATATTGAAATGCTTAATTAATTAATAGCCAATTTTAAATGACTACTAATAGGTACTAATAAAGATTTACCCTAAGAAACAGTCCGTATCGTGTATCCATTGTTTAATAAAATGTGAAGCAATTGGTTCTGTTGACTGTCCAAAACTTCCTTGTAATCTATCCATTGTTTCGAGACACAGTGCCGGATTATAATAAAGAGCTGCGATTACTACTTGTAAACACATGGTTCTTAGTTCAGATGTTTTAACCTCGCGCATCAAACGTTCTAACACCAATTGTACAAGTGAAGGTATACACTAAAAAAAAATATTTTTTTTTACGCGTAACATGTTCAACTTCTTTTTTTTCCAACAAAATAATACTGAATAAATTAAAAGTAACATATACCTGATCAATATGACCTTTACATTGTAAAATTATTATTTCCAACAGTTTGGCAGCATGACACTCTGGATCTTCTCCGGCATCACCAGTTAATACCTGATACATAAGAGATATAAATTTTATTAGAAAAATAACTTTTTACTTTTAGAACAAAGGGATTATAGACGTACAGCTTTGCACATATTAAACATAGCTAGTATGTGATTTTCATTAGAAAGAAATGCCGGAGTATCAACTATGATGTAATTATGAAGAGCAGGCATCATATCAGTAAAATATTCAAAACCGTCTTTCTGGAATAACTGATACATTAATTCCAAGACTTTCCACATATCTTCTGAAATTGTGGTTTTCGTGAGATCATACACTAATGAAAGAGCTTCCTCGTAGAATTCTAAAACACAAAACCATATTAAATTAATAACTTTGTCACTTCAGTTATTTTTTATAATTTAACTTACCCATAACACTTTCCCCAAAAATGTGAGCAACAACTTGAAGCACTGTCGGTTGTAATTGTGCCATGATTTGTGGTTGTTTTTCCATGACAGACAATAAGGTTTCTATTGTACTTAACAATCCCATGGCAGTTATAGCTTTTTCATCGCTACCTTCGTCTGTTTCGAGTACTTGGCTAAAAGTTGTAGCCTGTAAACAAATAAATTTCCTAGTTCGATATTTTTTATTTTGCTTCGTTTTGCAAACAACGAGACGAAGAAGTAATACTTACAAGATGTTGACACATTTCAACTGCGATTGGCATAAGCTGATCTGAATATGTATGTACCATTTTTTGAATAACAGTTGTTAAATCGTCGTTTTCAGTTTCTCGTACGATGGTCAATAATTCAAGCGTTATCGGTTTGATTAACGGTTCTACATATTTTTGTGCTTTTTCTTGAGCAGAAAGAAGCATTTGTAAAGCAATAGCAGCTTCTACTTTAACCGGCAAGTCTTGGTCCGTAAGAAGAGCACTCGTCGTTAGTCGAACTGCTTCGACTAATATTTGTTCTTGTTTAAATTTTATTTCGGAAAAATAGTGTAATACCCAACAAGCCTGAAATAAATAATCACCAATAAATAATTTAAAAGTAAGCGATTGATTGAAATAAATTTTATACCGTTAGTATATTTGTTAAGATGGTCTATTTAATTAAGTTTAAAGTAGCATATAACACTTACTCTTGCTCTCATATGACCATGAGGACTATTGAATTCAGGAAAGACATACTGTAACAACATCTTATCCATTTGTTCCTTATAAACTTTCTTTTTCAATAATACATCTGCCAAACTTCCAACCTAAAAAATAACTCTCATTTTAAAGAAATTCGTATATTTTAATTTAAATATAAAGCTTTATTTACATAACAATAATTACCATATGTAGTGCACCATCCTTCTGCCTCGGATCTGCATTTGGACTAGTTAATACTTCCACACAGAATTGCATAGTTTCTTGAAGCATATCTTTACGTTTTTTACAAGCAGAATGTAATAAAGTCTGTGCCGCAGTCACTGGAGATACAAAATCTTCAAATATATCTGAAAAATAATAAAAATTTTTATTTAATATAAAGTAACACGTAAAAAATTTTTATTTACAAATATTTTCTTACCAAATTTCAGTCTAATATACTCATATGGGTTATTAATCCAAAGCTCTTCATCTGCAGCGGAGTATGAAAGTATTGGAAATAGCACGTCACGAATTATCTCGAACATATGTGGTTTTAAGAACTTCCATGAAAATGCATGACTTACTCTATAAGTTGAAGTAGAAAATTAAAAAGAAAAAAAATTTCCCAGACCAAAAGTAAAATTTAAATAAAGATTTGATTGAAGCTATTAACTGATAATTGAAAACAAATAAATAAAAAACTCAAATATTTAAATTGGTTTACTTTATTGCTTACCCTTGATTAATGTAATTAATTGATTGTTGTATCACTCTAGGTGATACATATATCTTTCTTCGATATTGGTCCAAAATTTTTAAAAGGACTTCAAGTATACCTCCACTGAAAGTTCTCAGGTACCATTCAGCAAACTCCTGATATTCTTTGGTTACATTTCCGGGACTGCCATATCTCTCGAACACTCTATGAAGAATATGAAGTGCCCATTTTTTACATTTCCACCATGGCAGTTCTGCTCGGTCGTCGTCATCTAAATCTGGATTGTTAGTCTCAGGAGGAACAGGTCTATCGGCAACTTGTCGTACCACGTCCATCCATTGTGAAAAAACTTCTTTTGAAATCAGATCTAAAGGAAGTGTATACTGAAAAAAGAACAGAGAATCTCAAGAGTAATTAAAATCATAATGTAATATTAAATAAAAACCAAAAATGTAAAAAGCAGGCAAGCAAATAAAATGTTACTATTGCATACCTGTGTCAGGGCAAAAAATATTTTCAATATTTGTTTTTGAAGCAACACTGATTGTTCTGAAGAGTCTGGTAAAAGTCGCAACATTAATTGATAAATCATAGGAAATAAAAGATTCATTGCTTCATTCAATGGTCCTCTTTCCTCTGCCTTTTTATATCTATAAAAACAAAAAATCACTCTTTTAAAGTTTTGTTTTATAATTTGTAAAGTATATTTTTTATATACTCTACATATTACTTTATCACTAATAGTCACAATATGCTTTCTAAGAAATATTTGCAACGTACTCGAAATTTTTAACAAGCTGATAGAGTGCAAGTAAAACACCTGGCCAGCAGGAGGCATCTGAATTCTGTAAATATATTGTAATTTTGTCCACTATTTGTGTCCATCTTCCAGGAAAATCATGTTTCACAATATTGTTAATACAAACAGCCAACTGCGCTCTAAAGAAATAAGAAAACAAATTTATTCAAACTGTTTATGTGGTGCATCAATAATACATATAATATTTAAATCGACTATTACAAGTCTATTTGTATAAGCATAATTCACCTGATAAGTTCTGGAGCATGCACAAGAGCATCAACAATTGCATCACGAATCATTGCACGATCTTGTTCATGAATACTAAACTCAACAGGACCATTTTCACTTTCTCTATCAGCCCAATTTGTTGTAATCAGATTCTTCAAATATATAACACCTAAGTTGATATTAAATTATTATTAATTAATTCTTTCTATTTTGTATAGTGATTATGTTTGTCAATTACCCGCTTGTCGTACAGGCATTTGCTCTGCAGTCATTACTACTTGGAGAAGTGTTGGTGCAAAACCAATAATTTTATGGATCTGAAAATATCAAATACGTTACATATCCATAAACCTCATATAAAAATGAATATGTACATTTATTTGCATTTAATTGAAACTTAAGTAATTTGATGTTACATGAGAACATATGATTAAATAAATTTATACATATAATTTATAATTTTTATTTTGTATCAATATATGTTTTATAAATTTGATTTTTTATTATATGTAAAAATATATAAAATACATTAATTAATAATATTAATTCATATATATAATAGGTATTAAATATTAAATAATTAAAAACAGGCAAAGTTATGCTAAGTGAACAATAAATTAAAATATTGTATAAAGTGATTGTATAATTAAGAAATGAGTTTTTGACTACAATGAACATGTAGTGATTGCACAAAAGTGGAAAAACTTTCATATGTTAAACAATTTGCTAATATGTTTTAATATAAAAAAGAGCTTGCATAAGGTGTAAGTTGTAAATAAAAAATGGATTTGGGAGAACATAATGAGTAAATTTGGTTAAAGGTCGTTTATGGAAAATAGAGTAAATAGATAAATATTTAATGTTAATTCTACCAAACATCGAAGTAAATCTATCTACATTAATCTTTGTTAAAAAATTAATTGCGCATTATGAACAGTTAAATGGCAACGAAGAAAATATGTGGTAAAAAGACACATGTTTCTATCCAAGTGTCGATCATTCGAGCACGTTTTTGATCAGTTGACCGACCTGATTTAACTGTTCTTCAGCTTGCTTCTGTTGCGCTGGGTCGATCGTGGCACGCAACAATTCTGTCACTTTTCGTACATCCATCTTGTAATTGGTTTGCTCAAAGTCGATAGTGTGAAAATTTTTGACTCTTCCTCACGAATTCGACCCGGCGCATTCACCTCGTTACTCCCCCGTCACGTGACACAACAATATGGCAGCTAAAGCTGATGTGCGTTATATCCGGCCATGTATCATAGGAAAATTAGAGAGGAAACTACTAATTTCATTCAATTATTCGACTGCACTGTAGAAATATCACACAAGATATCAATCTACAATCTATTTCTTATTTCATGGGCATACATACGGTGAATTAAAATATATGAATAAGGGAAAGAAATAATGATATAAAATGTTATATCAAATAAATGATCACTAGATATACAAGTTTCTCATCACGAATGTCATTAGAACGCATGTGCGTTACCCTTGATTACGGAGCGCATTGGAACCAATCGGAGTAGACATGCGCAACATGAATGAAAACTCATCTTCAACCTTACGGTTCTCTAGCGAAGTACAGAATATAAAAAATGTAGATGGTGAACTACGTTGTAAATAGATGCACATGCAACAACTATATTTGTTTATAGGTCATCGGTCGGTCAAAACATTGTAATCATAATTGTATGCACCATACTTAAGAGTGCACTGTACTTGCAATATTGCGTTATTGTGAGAAAAGGACATAAATTAACATTAGTTTCTAAATTTGTATCAAGTGAAAGTATTGTAAATTCAATTACAACACAACTTGGTAGTGATATGTTGCAATTAATAAACCTTCCTGACATTGTTCTGGAGACAATCTTATCTAACCTTACATACGATGAAATTTCTCGATACAGAATCGTAAGATTATTTCTGTATTTCTTACGTTTTACTAATTATTTGTTCAAAAGTATATTCTTAATATTTAAAAAAATTACGACAGGTTTGTAAGCAGTTTGATAGGATATGCAAAAAATTACTGAACCGTGGTTTCAATTTGATGGAAAAATATCATGCACAATGTTTGCGTGCAGTAAAAAGTCAATTACCACGAAGAGAATCAGAACGAAGAAGTCATCCTTTGGCACGTCATTGTGATATATTAACAGCAATTGAAACTAGAATATCTATGTTATCAATGACTTTTATAAAATATGTGGATCTTAATTTGTGCTGTTTTATTCCTGGAAAGGTAAGATATTATTCACGTTGAAAGATGTTATAATATATTTAAATTTGATATGTTTCATATGTTAGGTAATTGATGAAATCTTTCGTGTACTTCGTTTAATCCGTGATTCTAAAACTCCACCAAGAGCTCATGAAATTCTTCAAGAACTAAGGGATATTAGCAGTATGGCTATGGAACATTTTGATGAGAAAATTTTACCAGATTTAAAACACAGTATTTGTACAACTGTTGTTAGTAATGTAGGTTATGAAATCCCAGGTACAAATTTGATGATTTCTCATCATACTATGAGTCCAAATAATGCACCACTGCCACACAACTTTAGTTCAGAAAAATTAAATCAGACTTTTAAAAAGATTTATAGTCGTACTAAAAAAAATAAATTATCTGTTCTCTCCATGAAAGGTCAAATAAGTAAAATGAAACTTAGAATGAAACGACAGGGGTTTCAAATGCGGTTGCAAAGTTTAAAGTTACAAGAACAGGGAAAAAAAATACATGATCAAGATATACAATTAGCTGAAATGAGAAAGCATCTTGAAGAATGGGAACAAAAAATGGTTGATTTAACAGCTGAGTTAAGTCGTGCCAGAGAAGAGACACAGAAACCTGATTCTATAGAATCTTGTAAACGAAAACACATAGATATTATTAATCAACGAGAATCTGACTCGTTGCAAACAAAAGACTTACAAACCAAAAAACGTAAATTGATAGTGGAAAGAATATCGTCGAATGATGCTAAAGATGTCAAGTTTAAAAAATTTATGACTGATCTTCTTGCAGGTAATGCTATAGAAGGATATCCTTCAACTTCGCATTAACTTCTTTGTATATAATGTGACTGTACATGAAAAACGAAATTAACAAAATTTTGCATTTTTTATGTTATAATTATATAAACTTAAATGTTAAAATGTTTCATATTTAAATTTAATCCATGTAATTATTTTCGCAACCATAACTTAAACTTATTTTAAAATATATAAGAACAATCTTTAATAAAAGCATTATATAAAACAATCAAGATTTTATTTCATTTTAAATTAGCAGTTTCGGTTCATATTATACAGATTACAAATTTTATATTGCTAAAAAGTATGTGAATAAATATAATAAACTGTATAATAAATTATTGTATAAACTTGTAAGGCAGTTAATGAATGTATTAAAAAATATTATTATATACAATAATGTAACTTATGTATTATTTTAAGTACTGAAATATAGAAATTAACTAAAACTTTATAAGATCTCAAAAACTTTATACATATTTAATTTACAGAACAAATTTCGTTTGATACTAATTTAAGTATCATGTAAAATTGCTTGTAAAATTAGTGACAATAAATCTAATAAAAGATGTAATACCAAGTGATAGATTCATACCTAAATATATATATTTTAATTTTTAATATTTAAAGATTTTTTAAATTATGTATAAACTAAAGCGCTTCACGTGTCAGAAGAAGATACGCACATAATGACAAGATAATTTAACAATTTTCGTCTTATTTTATCATACATTGTAGTAAACTAATTTGTATTTTCAATAGGTAATAAATCTAATATTTGCTTATATATTGCTGCATGCGCATTTTGTAAATAGGCTTGTTGCTTTTGTCTTATATTTTTTCGTATAGTATTTTTTTCCACTTCGGGTAATATGAAGTTGTAGATCATATTAGCTATCATTTCTTCTTCTGCTAACCTTGTTGTACTAAACGGAAAAAATATTATAAAATGTATTAATTAAAAGTAATTACTTAAATCTAATTTTATGAAATATACTTGTCCTGTGCATATTTTGATAAACAGTCCACTTTATCGCATAATTCTAAAATATATTCTTTGGCTGCTTCATCAGATATCCATTCAACGCCTTCTTTTATAATATCTTCTAAATATGTTTCTACAGACTCTTGATTAACTTTCATGGTTTGTCTGAACATTTCATCGAATTCTCGACGACGATTGTATTCTAACTGACGTCTTCCAGCTTCTGCTGCTTCTCTCATAGATCTTTCCCGTTCAGCTAATAATGCGATGGCATGTATTCGACGCTCATCTTCCAGTCTTACGAGTTCCTTAAAAAAGACAAATATTGCAGAAGAAGATGCCAAATTGTTTATAATAAGAATATTACAGAATGAAACTCACTTTACTAAGAAAATCTAACATTGCTGAGATAGTCATTCCTTCTAAAGAATTAAGAACTTCGCTTAAATGATCTTCTTGCATAGATTTTTCATTCTGCATATACTGCAAATTCATCATCCACTCTTTCTCTTTCTGATGTTGTCTTTTAGTATTCTGCTCCAGTCCATGAGATGACTGTAGTTCTTGAATTAATTCTCTACATCTATTTCGACCTTCATACATCTATAAGAAAAATATGTTGAATATAAAAATTGAATTAATATAATATTTCTTATTTAATGATTACCATGCATTGAACAGCTCTCCCTCTAACTATTTTCTGAATGAGAGTAGACAATTGATCTATGCGCATATTTTTTACATTTTCTGTAATTGTTCTATATGGAGTAGGAGGAAGAGATGGCTGTCGAAATTTGCGTTTTAATAATGTCGGTGTCTCTACACGCTCGTCATGTAATCTAATTGTTTTCAAATCGGAATGTAACTGTTGCAGTTTCTTTTCTGTCCATCTTGTTTCTCTAATACATAGATCAGCTGATTTTGGTCTAGGTTTTATCATTTTCAATTCCTTATGTGTTGGAAGATGTGTCGGTAATGTATTTATATTATCTATATCTAAAACAGTAAATAATTAATAAAATATAACACCAAACATTATTAATGATATTACTTTTAAATACTCTTCACATATTACACTAACTTTGAATATAATTTTCTCCTAATAATTCTTTTTGTAGTACTTCGTGCTTTCTTTGTGGTGCACCTAATTCAGATGATAGTTTATCATGTCTTTTAATAAGATCATGTTTATGTGGTTGCTGATTTTGCTGATGTTTCCTATATAATTTTCTCAGATCTCGTTGAAGATTATATTTGATAGCACTTATTTCTTTATCTCTACGTGTAAATAAACATTTTTCCAGTCTGTCAAAACGATCTTGCAATTTTCTTTGCTTTTCAGACTCAAACTGTTTAGATATTTCTTTAAAAAGTTCAAGTCTATAATCCTGTATTGCTTGAATCTCCTAAAGTTAGGAAATTTACATTTATAATGCATTATATTTTTAAAATAAACATATTTTTAATTCATCATTTATATTTTAGTAAGAAAATACTTATTGATTCTCTAAATGCCCACTCTTCTATCTCTAACTTAGTTAATATAGTTTTTCGCTTTTTTATGTTTGCTGGTGTATCCATAGGAGGAAGAACTGCTTCCCATGCTCTTTTAGTTCTCATTCTATTAATAATTTCTATCTCGTGTATTCCAGCTGGTAATCCATGATTCCAAGTTAAATGAGCTATTGATAATATTTCAGGATTGTGCCCTAAAACGTTAATAAGCACATTAAAATATAAAAAATACATTATATCTATTACTTTTTACCTGATTTAATTTTGAATGATGGTTCCCAAGGAACAGTTTGTGATTCGCTATCTCTGTAATCTGTTTGAGTTCCCACATTTCTATGTAGCTCTAATTTATTTGAAAATGTATAACATTGTTTTTGTGTATTTAGTACTATATTATTCAGAACATCCTGATTAAAATATATGGGAGCATTTGTGTCTTGTGTTTTGGGTACTAGAAATGGTATAATAGGTCGACGAAAGTATTTGGAACTATTGCAACATATTATTTGATTTAATTCACAGTTTCCAGCCATTGTTCTATATAACAGATACAATATAAATCATAAAAATGAAGATAAAAATAGTCTACTTTTATACAGAGAACCTTAAATTATATTTGCATATTTAAACTTACTTGAACACTGAAATCCAATGTAAATTTTTTAATATTTATAATATTTTTTTATAATATATCTATAATCTCTTGTTTGATTTTTACATATAAATATAATACTTCTCCATAAATTATAAATGTGAAGTACTTTTGATGGAAACACCTAAATACACTAATGTTTGACACATTAAATATTTTGAATTTTATTACATCACTAAGTAAACATAAAGAGATTTTTATTTGCAAGAAATGTAAAAATGTAGAAACTTATTTAAAAATGAGAAAGTACACACATATGTATGTTAGTAGTAAAAATTTAAGGAGCAAATGAATATTGATCAAACACTGACTTCAGAATTTTTTAACTAACATAGCAGTTTGTCATGTTAGTAATTAAAGGTACTCATAAATTTGAATAACATTATATCAATTACAATATTTATTTCATAAGTCATAAACATTTTACATATAACATTATTTAATAATTTACTTTCATTAATGTATGTAATAAAGAATAAAGCAATTGACTCATGATAGCGATCAATTTAAAAATTTAAAATATATATATATACATATATAGGTTATATCATTTTTTAACATGTAAATATATTCTATTAATATAAGTCATCTGATATATATACTTATCAAGTATAATGTACTTAGAATATTAGTACCAAATTGTATTGAAGTTTAGTAATGACAGCTGTCATTACACGTGTAAGGAACAGTTATACCCAATTAGTATACGAATTCAATTGAACCTACAAATAATGAAATTTAAATAAGAACTGTAATATGTACTTCTTAAGTAGCTAATTATTTCAGTTCAATTTATTAAACAATATATGCAGTAAAATCGCGTTAACCAATCACTATTCTGGTCGGGACGTGATCGGCTACCGTCAAAGCTGGTTTCAAAGGGTAAACGTGATCGGTTAACGCGATATCACTGTATGTACTTTGTTTTCCATATAGTGAAAACAATCAATTTTTCACGTACATTTTATAAAAGAATAAGGAGACAAAATAGTTATCCAAAATTTGCTTCGTAAAGTGGTTTAAAATATCCGTTTCCATGTGAACCTAAATATTCAGACCAACTCTGATGTAATGAAATATTTTTGCAACTTTGATTAGGCAACATATCCTCTGGACATACACATTCTAGTTTTATTCTAAATACTATCATTTCTTGATATGTATTGTAATCAACACCCCGTTCGTTTAAACATTCTTTGACAATATCATCATTTTTTATATACTGCAATTTCTTTTTTGAAAGAATTTTTTTCCTTTGAATACAATCTAAATCTTCCTGAACCAGTGTTACAGGTATGTCGTAAGACGGTAACGAAAATGTAGAAAATATTAAATCTATAGAAGTTGATTTTTTTGATTTTAAAATAGAAGGCAATAATAAACCAGTTGGTGGTTGCTTTTGTACACCATACATTGGACAAATTCTATTATGTTTGACATTTACTTCTCTTTTTGTTTTCTGTGTTTTAAAATTATCCTGAAATTTATTTACTTGTTCTATTGTCGGTTTTTCTTTTGTATTTATTTCCTTTATTGTTCTTTTACTTGTTATCATAGTTTCTACATTGGCATTTTTTATATCTGCAGTTGTATTTGTAATATTTGATAAATTATTTAGATTTTCATTGAGTTTCTGAATAAATATATTGTTGGTGTTATTTTTTCTTCCTTGTACTTCATTTACTTGTAAATAATCTATAGACCGTTCTTCTTTTATATTAATATTATTATTACCATCATATATCATGTCATAATCTTTGTTTACTTGTGCATTTGTTTTCGTCCATTTATTTTCATTTTGTAAAATGTAGTCCTGATTAAAATTATTTACATTATCATTTTGGCTATCAATAGAAGAGGACTTTTTATTAGTAACAAATTGTCCATAAGTTTCATAATAGTTATTCATATCATCAGATTTATCTTGAAGATCTTCGGTAACGATATTTTCTTTCTGATTTCTATCAGTCTTTGGTGATCTTTCAGATACAAATGGCATATCCGCATATGATTCCATTTTAGAACTCATAGAGTTATTATATCCCAAAGAATGTTTATAGTCTATCGAAAAGTATAACGATATACCAGGTGGTCCAACATGCTGATTTAAAGCATATAAAGTTGTAATCAAAGTGGAATTAGACCTTAGTTTAGAAAGATCAATGTTCGATTCAGGTATTAGACCTTCACTTTTTAAAAACTGATATTTTTCTTTAATCCCTTCATAGTTTAAACAATCAACTGACCAGTGCAAAAACCAATCATTTCCAAAACCTTCAACGGTAACAGATAAGCCAGACATTTCTTTACTTAAACTATCTTCTATTGGTTTCTCTAACAGTGGTTTACCAGTTTTACCATCTATAATCGTTGCTACTGTATAATAATACGTTGGAAAACCTGAACCTATCTGATGTTTCACCATAAAATCTGGTATATTATCATCATTATAATATCCAGGAATAGGTATACTTATTACTTCAGAATTAGGAATAGTATAATTCCAAACAGGCTCAAATGTTAATCCGTTATAAACTATTATTGTAGAGTCAAACATTGTAGTAACAATATCTTCAATTCCATCTAATGTTACATCCACCAAAATGGGTGGCAATAAAGTTCCTTTTCCTGTATCATGATGCAGTTTTCGTAAATTCTACAACACATATATTATTAAGTAACAATTACTTATGTATTTATTTTTACATTAAAATGGAAGAAACTCACCAAATTGCCATACATTAGATCTACTTGAGGAACTATGTACAGCCCTCCTGATTGTTTCTGACTACTAGTTACAAGAACAAAAATATTTTCTCCATCTGGATGTATTAATTTTTGAGGTGCTAAATATAATTGTTCTGTATTTGGTACAGCTGAACTGTGTATTATATTTCCATTGATTCCTGATATTATAAGAATTTCACTTGAATGAATTTCTCTTGACTGTATAGTATGTGATGCAATAATATCTCCAATTTCATCTCCATCAATATCAGCAATAAATTTTGCATCATAAATATCTGAAAGTTTCCATTCCTCTGAAGCTGACAATTCTCTAATTGGGATTTCCCAAATGCTGGACCCATCATGACCATTGACAGCATGAAGTATCCCCCCATGTCCACATATAATACAATCTTTAATTTTATCCTTCGTTATATCCAAGCTACAATCAACTGAAAAAATTGCACGAGTTGTCCAATGTATCCAAAGTACATCTCCTGTTTCACCATTTAAAGCCAGAACTCCACCAAAACATGGAATTTGTCCTTCAAAATATAGAGCACAAATATACTCTGGAGTATTTATCACATCCAAACCTAATAAAATAATATTAATGCTTTATGACAGTTTCATACAAATATTATGAAATAATAAAATAAAAATGTTGTACCTCATTTAATAATTCATAAAATAATAAGCATAAGATCTGCAAATGAGAAAATAAATATAAGAAAAATGAAATACTGAGGACAAAATATAAAAACTTAAAAATAATTAACACCTTCATAGTCCCTGAACTCATATACCAATCAGTATACTCCCTATTCATGGACATACAAGTAGGGAGTCTGTTTGTACCATGGACTGTGAACATGTTACAATAAAATACCATTTTCATTATAAACAAGAACCTGTACTAAATCCAACGATTATGTCTTCAATTCCATCACCATTAACATCAGTACTTCTTAATGGAGATTCAGGTGTTAACTTGGGTAAAGATTTAATCCATAAAAGTTTTGTTGCAAATGATGTACATGGAGCTATATTAGATTCTTTTGATGTATCTCCAGGATCGTGTGATAGCCAATTTTTCAGAATTGATAATGGCATAGGAATTACATTTATGATATAAATACATAGTGTAATTAAACTTAATAATATCACTAATGCCATGAATCCAAAACACAAGGGTACATAAAATGCTTTTTTGTATCTTCTACGAGGTGTCATTAAAGGCTGTTTAACACCGCCATCATCATATAATTTTAAACCATTCTTTCCATCTCTAATGAACACTTCATCATCAATATCTGTCAGATCATCATCATCATAACCATCCTGTACAACTAACTTTGGCAATATTGGATAAACAGCAGACATTTTTCACCTGTAAAATATATTTACATTTAACAATAAATAGAAAATTTTTTTAAATGTATATTTAAGTATACATGTACGATCATATTAGACATGTAAATATAATATGAACATATAATAAATAGAAATTCAATATAAAATAAAATGAAAACATGTAATAAGCAATTTCTATAAAATACAAAAAAAAAAAACAAATAAATGTGGAAAACATGCAGTAGATTATATTACAATTACATTTTTATAATATTTTACATGTTATTAAAATTTTATTTTTAAAAAATTTGATGTTACTGTTTAATTTTTATTAGTAAATATGGTAACAATTGCATCGCAAATAATGATTATATGTTTAATTAAAATGTAAACCTTATTTATGTGCCTTAGAAGTTTTTTAAAAAAAACTGTCACACTTTCTATAATTTACAATGCATCATATCAGAAAAATACAATTATGGTTTGTTCATAGATTTATAGTTTATGGTTCTAGTGAATTTTGTTTAAGAAATTTGATGAACAAAACAAAATATATACATATATATATGAAATTTTTATATATATATATTTATATATATATGCATAGATTCTTAATTGTAATAAAATGATACAAGAGAAAAAGGAAGAAATATTATTTGGTCCATGAGAGATCATAATCAATTATTCAACGTAGCTAACTTCAGTAAACTAGGGTATTAAATATTCATGTGTCTCTAGTAGTCTCTAGTTAAAAGAGACTATTCAGTTACCAACTATTGTTGATTGGATTTACGTTTCTTCCAGCACCCGGCAGCGTGTATATACGGCACCGGTGAATATTATTTAAAATAAAATGTCGTACGCTAAATTCAGTTTTTCCTTGTATATTACATTCTCTTGCTTAATTTTGAGTCTTGTAAATGCAAGTATTCAGACATCGTCAAAAACTACATTTGCGGAACAACTTACTGAGGAAAATTGGGATCGTATGTTAATTGGAGAGTGGATGGTGGAATTGTAAGTTAAATTGATTCTTTGTCATGTAATTTGATGGCGTGTACAAAATAATATTAAAGAATTCTTTACATGCTTAGATGTTTCACTTGAAATTCTATATATTATTTTGTTTAAATTATAAATGATCACTTAAAAATTGTAGGATATTATTTGCTGAAAAATTTAATGTAGATAATTTTAATTGAAAATTAAAGTAACTGTGAATACTTGTAACATGAATTATTTTTTTGCCTTAGTTATGCACCATGGTGTCCTGCTTGTAAAGCACTTGAACCAATTTGGGAACATCTTGCTTCACAAAAGAAAAATCTAGACATCAATGTAGGAAAAGTTGATGTGACAGATTCTCCAGGACTTAGTGGAAGATTTATGGTTACTGCTTTACCAACAATATATCAGTAAGACTTCTTGTGTTTTATACAAAACTTTAAATTGGTATTTATAATATTTTCAAGTATATTTTAAAATAATTGAAGTATTTCTTTAGTGTTAAAGATGGCATATTTAGACAGTATAAAAGTCCTAGAGACAAAGATTCGTTAATCGAATTTGTATCTGAGAAAACTTGGGAAAAAATTGAACCAGTTCCTGGTTGGAAGAGTCCAACTTCTATTCAAATGTCTGTTATTAGTCAGTTTTTTAAAATGTCACAAGTATTAAGGGTAAATAATACTATTATGAAATATTAGTTATAAATATCGTATACACATTGTAATATTGTATCATTTTGTTTAGGGAATACATAATAAACTTATGGAAGATTTTGGATTACCTACTTGGGGTAGTTATTTGATCTTTGCTATTGCTACCATTGTATTAGGTGCAATATTGGGATTGGTAAGTTTAAATGATACAGTGCAAGTATTTAATAACTAATTATCTATTTTATTTTACAGTGTATTGTATGTCTGATCGATTTTATATATCCACCAAAACCTGTAATGCTTCAAGATAAAAAGAAACATAAGGAAGGATCAGGTGGATTTATGCAAGAAAAAACTATACAGGATGAAGAAATTGTTGAAAATGTTAAAGATGATTTAGTAGATGAAGATTCTGAGCAAGAAGGATCTGACACAGAAGGAAAAGAAAAAGATGTGGATAAAGATAGCAAAACTGAACCAAGTAGTCCAAATGTTCGTAAACGTAAGCCACGTAAAGCAGATTAGACATACTAATTTGTTGTATGTAAATATTTAACATCCAGAACAAATGACAAATAATATTTAGCAATTTGCAATGTCAATTCATTTTGATAAATGAATATACTGACATTACTACAATAACAATATTTGATGAAGTATTGTGAAAATTTATGTGAAATGATGAAAATATTAAACTTTATTGACAATTTGTAGCCATTTGGGATTTCAACTTTACATAAAATTATTTTAAATGCAAAATTAAATCTTAAGTATTTTAAAATATTTTTCTCTTCCAAATTTATAATACTGTAATTTTTAAATGTTAAAAAACTTTAATTACTTCTTCTTCGATATAAAAGTATTGACTACCAATTGTCTTACCACTGCATTAATTTGATTTTTTTCTTAATTTATGTTAAAATTATTCTTACTGAAAATTACGCTGTTTCGCATGAAAAATTTGTATGCAAATTAACAATATTAATGTTTAATGTCATAGGTGATTATAAGTAATTAATATATTTTCCTGTATAAATCTTTTATTTATAACTTTTGTACGCAATATTCAAAAACGAATTAACACTTATGTATTATTTATATACACGATATTTTTTTATAGTGCGCTATTAACCAGCTTTAAACATTTTTTACATAATTATACAATACATTTTGATTTTATAAAACTGTAAAATTTTGTATGACACTGAATACACATACTAGAAATGAATTAATCGATGAACTACATAATTTATGAAGTTATGTCCTAATATATTTCTAATATTATAATAAATTTTTAGCAAACTGTATGATTGAATTTTTAGTAAATTTCATACTTGCAACTAGTTATGTTTGCTTTTTAAGTATTTTAGAACAAGAATAAAGATATTAATGTAACAAAAATGTTCGTAATTGTAAATAACTTTTAATGTGTAATGTATGAAATTTTTATAACGCTTATTTGATACAAGTAAATTCTTTAGGTTAATGTAGTCGTGATACACACTACATCATACAAAATACATATGTTAACAGAAAAAATGTAACATATATTGCATTTATATTTGTAATTTAATATATAGAGTGATTATTTAACAATTTACTAAATGTCTTCCATATGTAGTACATATTTTTCTTCTACAACTTGATTTATAAAATTAAACTATGAACTATTAACATGGTATATTACATGTTTTATTATGTTTAATATATATAGACTGTTAATTTAAGTTTTAATATCACAGAAGCTATAGTTTGGAGTAATTATTTCTTAACATTTTTTGAAGATGAAATTATATTTTTGCAAAAAAGTTATGTTTAATAATGTAACAGAATTATTTTAAACTGAGTAATAAATGACCTGTAAAACTGATTGAATAATAAATATAATAAATTAACAATTGTATCCTTTATTTTTAAAAGTTATACTTATTTTAATTTTTTTGTTATGGAACATAAGAGAAATATAGAGACAGAATCTGGTCATGGTATATTTTTATAAATGGCGCCATATTTAATGGCTACCAAACTATGCGATATTTCCAAAATAGTTTAATAATAATATTAGTTAACTAGATTAGTAGAAACATATTACATATTTAATTACATAGAAATTTTTATAATTATATAGATATAATATACTAAAATGTTAAATTTTTTGCATAATTCTATAAAAAATATGAAACAATTCAGTATGGCGGAAGTGACGTTAATAGGATATTTTTCAATTATGAATTTAACATATTAAAGGAAACTTACATAATATATATTTTACTTTCATAATAATAAAAATATTTGTAATTTTTCTGCGTATTGTGTTTTATAAAAAGATAATTCAGAAAATAAAATTCGGAAGAAAATTGCAAGTATAATTTAATGCGCATGCGCAAATAAGGAAAATCGAAATCGGAACTGAAACCGAAATACTAGCATCAGAGACGCGTGTTGCAGTTAACCTCGAAAGTTTAACATCCAACCACGTTTAACACGGTATGTAAATGTAAGTAGATTTATAAAAGTAATTCTATATTTACTGTATAAACCATTTATAATTAAATAATTAGTATATATGTAATCATTGAATAGAGAATTTGAATTATTTATAATTAAAATCAATATTAAGGTAAAAATAACTACATAATTTTTAAGAGTAACATTTTGGGCAGTTATTTTAGTTTTTTGAATTGTTTGTGTATACATTTATGTATATATCATGAAAGTAATTAAAACATATTGTAATGTACTATTTTATAATTGCAACAAACATGTTACAAATTATTTTAATATAATTAAGTTGTAGCATGTAGCATATAAATGTAGTGTTTTGTTGCATTTATTTTACATTTCTTGCTATAATTTCTTTCATATTTCTGTTGTAGAGAGTTTATTATTCATATTACATAAAAAACAATCATGATTAAAAACGCAAAAAAGCGTTCAGTTAGTGAGACTGAGGTAACTGACAAAAAAGCTGAAGCAACAGGCAAAAATAAAGTATTTAAAAAAAATAAAACAGAAAAAACTGTGCAAAATGGGCAGCCAGATAAACAAGCTAAAAAGGATATATCTAAGAAAGTTAAAGTAGGAAGAAAGAAGAATAAAGATGTAAACGCATCTCCTAAAAATGATGATAAAGGAAAAAAGAGGTTTAGGGATAAAGACACTTTCAGTGCTGAGGAACTAAAAACAAAGATTGAGGAAATAACAAATAGAGGTGAACTTTCAAAAACGGCAAGAAGAAAATTAGCTTTTTTGAAAAAATTATTACGAATAAAAGAGGGAAAACCTGTAGAAAGTAAACAACAGCTACAAAACACAAAAAATGCAAAATCATTGGAAGTTGCAAAGAATAAACAGAACAAGAAATCGAAAGGACAATTAGAAACAAAGTCACAAAATCAAAATAAAGGAAAGAATACAAAGCAGCAAAAGAAAGATGAAGATGAAGATGAAGATGAAGACGAAGAAGAAGATACTGACTTAAGTGAAGATGAAAATGAAAGTGATTTAGAGGAAGAAGAAGAAGAGGAGAATGAAAGTGGAGAAGAGGATGAAGATGATGAGGAAGAAGAAAGCGAAGATGATGAAGATGATGAAGATGAAGATGAAGATGAAGACGATGAAAATGAAAACGAAAAAGTTAAAACGAATAATGTTCAACCTAAAAAAGGAAAGGAAAGCAATACAAATGAAGGAGAAGCAAAGAAAAAAAGATACGTCGTTTTTGTAGGAAATTTACCATACACGTAAGAAATTTTATCATATTTATTGTAATATAAATTATTTAATATAAATTAATATTTATGTCTTGTAACTTTTTTTCAGCATTACTTCTGAAGAACTTAAAAAACACTTTTTGACCAAAGTCAGCCATGTTGTTGATATTAGGATACCTACAAAGGATGATAAATCTCCACGTGGATTTGCTTATGTTGAATTTGCTGATAATGCAGATTTTGAGGTAATTTCTTTGGTTGAAAAATATTTGTTCAAAAATCTATGTTAGTACTTATTTTATATTTTATAACACGTGATTTATTTGGTTGCAGAAAGCCTTTACATTACATCATTCAATGATTAATGGCAGAAGAATAAATGTGCAATATTCAGGAGCCAACAAGAAAGAAGGAGTTGCAAAAAATTTTAAGTTACAGGCCCTCCAAAAAGCAGGAAAATTTGGAGGTGGCAAGAACAAGCCGTTTCAAAAAAAATTTAATAAAGGAAAATAAAGTAGATAACGAGATTATAATTTTTAATCAATACAATTAATTTGAAATGTACGATTAAATGTCATCTTAACTATTTCCACATTCTGACATATAGAATAAGTTTTTTATGTAATTAAGTGTAAAGATTTATGTGTTGGATGATATAGATAAAACGTTTATCTATTAAAATGTGTAAAAATTTGTTTACATTATTACCCTGATACATACATAAAATTGTTTTACAATATCATTGTTTTGTTTTAATTATTAAACACACATTTATCAAAATAGGATTAATTTTATATATTATGTTATAACGAGTTCTATAACATGTATGTTGAAAACTGTTTTCTAATGATATCGGTAGCGCTGAATGTATATAAATTTTTATTAACGATATACATTAACAATATGTTATAAATAAAATACGAATTTCAGATTGTTAAATGGTGAAGGTTAGCTAAACAAAGAAATTTATAATTTATTACAAAAGATGTCTAATCCAGTAACAAGAATATTTGGAGATGAAACTAACGATTCCTTAAGTTTTGAAACAATAATTCCTTGGAAAAATGAAGTAACAGAGGTATAGCATCAGAAAGTGTAATTTATTTTTAATTATGTTTGTAAATTGTGAGAGAAAGGAAAGTAACATTTTTAATACATGTTAGGATACTTTACCCGATCATATTATTTTTCCGAAAGAGTTGAATCTATTTTTACGAAATCGAATTCAAGTAAGTATAAATAGCCATTTTATAAATTGATCATTTTTGAGGTACTATTTCCATAGTATGTTAGATGATACAAAAGTCCTAAATTCTGTACGATGAAACTACATCGAAATTAAATATAAAATAGGATTTAATTGCGGAAAATGGTTGCTTACGTCGAGCGTTAGAGGAAACGGAAGAAAAGATTCGAAAAAGGGAAGGGACCGCAGGATCGGTACAAACAACAATTTTAAGAAAACCCAATGAAGTAGCAGCCGCGAAAATAATCGAACTTAGCAAAAGATGTAGAGAACAAACGGCCGAGATCGAAGTTTTAAAATCCAAATGTAAAAACCTTGAAAATAATTTAGCTAACAAAGAAATGGAGTTAGAGAACGAGAGGCAGGATAAAAGATGTTTGAAATCCGATGAATCCTCTCAAAAAAGTGAGTTATATTTAATATATTCATATCCTACGCGCTCCTTTATAAATCTTTATTTACTCTATTGTTAAAAATAACATGATCGAGATCCAGGATAGTATCCTTGACAAAGGTACCGAAAATGATAGTCAGACAAAGGAGAAGGATGATCAAATTAAATGTCTGACGGAAAAGTTGCAGCAAACACAAACGAAACTATACGAATCTAAAAATACTTGCACCAGACTTAAACAAGAGATTAATAAATTACACAAGGTACTCGTGTAAATATACCGCGTATTTTACGGAATGGTCATTGTAAAATTATAAACATATAGTTGCTATGCAGCGAAGTCGGCGATAACGTGAACGTAAATAATTTATTGAATCAATTCGGTGGATGGCGAGGAAGGGCCGAACAAGTTCATTTATTGCAACAAAGAGTAGGAGAATTGCAGTCAAGATTATCGGAGTACGAAGGAACCCAAAAATCATCAATTGGTATAAAAAACATGATTTATAAATCTAAATTTTCGTCACTGTGAGACATTTTCTCAGCGTCTATGGAGCGGAAGAATCTTGCCAGTTTTCGAAACGTCGAAAAGGAGAGACGGCAGCAAATAGAAAATTCAGCGAAGGAGCTTCGCCAGGCGGAAATAGCTATTGAAAGTTACAAGCGGAAGTTGGAGGCTTCGAAAGCGAGAATAAAAGTGCTGGAGAATGAGTTGAACGCGGCGAAAGGAAATATCGCGATATTGAACGAAAAGCGATCTCACGATGATCGTTTAATCGAAACACTGAATGTGAGTATAATAAACTCGTCGTATCATCATCGGGGGTACACATGAAGCACGTGGCAAATGAATCAAATTACCAACTCCTTCCTTCTGTTTGAAATTTGTAGAATCGACTTAAAATTGCCGAGATAAAGCACCAAGAACGCGAAGCAGATATGAGAAATAGAGAAGAAAAAATTGAACACGAATGCACGAATTTGAAGAACGATTTACAGTCGGCGCAGCTTCAAATTGATCGGTTGCGGAGACGACTGGAAGAACGCGAGATTGAAATCGACAAATTAAGGTTTGGGATTGATTATTGAATTACCTAAAAGTCTGGATCGATTTCTGAGTAAACATGTTATCATTTCTAGAAACGGAACGATTGCAAACAGTGAAGACATTAACCAAAAGATCCCACAATTGCCGGCGTTCTTAAATAATTTTAATTGTAGCACTCCTCTACATAGTTTTCGAAATTCATACGAACCCAATGAATATGTAACTTTAGCTCTTGCCGCCGAAGCCGAAAGGGAGAGACTACTAGAATTAATAACTGTGCTCAACAGACGACTGGACAAAGAGAGAAGCGACGCTGATATTCTTTCTGTCAGTGACTTATTTAAATTAATTTTTGATATTAATGAATTTATAATAAAGAACTTCTTTTTCCCCAGAACAATTTGCGCAACGAGAGAAACAAATCGGCCAAATTAGAATCGAAAATTCGGAAATTAGAAGTCGAAAGGGCGGGACTCGTTAAAATCGACACTGGATACAGAACGAGATTTGCGAAGTCGTCGAAGACCAACGACGTCGACGCAGAACAAATGCGCCTAAAGTAAATTTATACAATAGATTTATACTTAAATATTACCTAAAGTACAATTATCTTTTTTGTTTTCATCACAATAGGATGGAATTATTTCAAGAAGAGTGTCTCACATTGAAAGCTAGATTAGATACTGTGCAACAGGAAAAAGCATCAGATCTTGCGGCCTACAAACAGATGTACGAACAAATTAAAAAAGTGTTTCAGGATGCGTGCAGGTACTGAAATAAGTATTTGCACATAAGTATAATACTAAAGAGTAAAAAGAAGAGAAGTCTAGCACACTAAACAGTAATAATTTTATTTTCAGAGGTAAAGAACCGTGTACCGTTGGCAATCGCTCTACGATAACAGTTTAACACGAATTATTATATTCTACAATATAATGTATACAAAATTTCCAAGATTAATAACAACCATACTCCATAAAATACTCCCAAAGGAACTCATTGAAACTTATTATAGTAACACCTTCCCGATACGAATTGTGTAAGAACTACAAAACCGACTACAATGATGTAACTGGAACACGAGATAAGGTACAACGCTCCACGTAAACGCGCGTGACATCGTCAGCACAACGGTTTCGTTTCTATCTTTCGTTAGTCTTCCTTCTTTTTTGTTTTTCGTATAACCTGTGCTTCCCCTGAAACTACCGGGTTTACTCTTGCTATTGATATCGTTCTGTGCCCTCAAAATTTCAACGCCACATGCTTAGACATTTATTTCTTCATTAAATTGGTCCCGGAAATTTTGTATAGATTTTAGAGCACATCTTGGCGGAATTCGAAGTTCTTGGTATCTTCCGATTTTTTTATCTCTACGCATCTTTATCTATAAGTACTGATATGGAGTCGTAAGGACAGAAGGGTATAGGGACACAGGATCCAGTAAAGATCTATGAACGTAGGGATCTATGGACTTAAGAATTTAGGAATATACAGCTTCTCTATATCTTCAATAAAACATATTTAGTTTTTAAACAGGGAGTATTTCTAATGCTTTTAATATGCCACTTATTTTTGTTGCCACAATACGGTGGAACGGAGCATGCAGAATCCCCCCATTGGTTAATTTTAATCTTAAAATCGGGTAGCTTCGACAAAGATGATTATTGTGACGTGATGTAAAATGAAGTAATAACAGAATCAGTGGTAAATTTCTTCAGTACGAAATTTCAAGCCCAGGGCAAAGCTTAAATATACAGGTGCAGGCTTACCAGGTATTGGGGCTCCTTCCTGATAAGAGGCATACCCGTGACGTCAGATCGGCGCAGGTAGAGTATATGAGTCGCATCAGAGAGACATCCACGTCACTCGTTCTTGAACCTCTTCGTTCGTTCGTTCTGCAAAAGTTGTTCGTCAGTTTATAATTTTACTTCTGCGTTACCCATTTCTATTTCTTCAGTATTCCTCTAGTTCTTCCTCCACGATAACGTGCACCGAGAAGAGCTGTTACAATGGAATGCATATCCATCCGGAAGTCTGCCATGATCATACCTTGTTACCGGGGGGTACCAGTAAGTAAATATCGAAGATATGCCAAACTTTGAGTAAAGTAGACATTTTTTTTTAAATCAATTACGAAGAAGTTTGAGAAGGAGTATAAAGATTTTCGAAGAGAAGCGAATGGCGAAGGTGCGCACTTCCATCATCATTGGATTCCCCGCAGTCGCGTGTGTTCGCAGCTGGAATTCTTGTTACCGTAACCTTTTCATGTGTAAATTCGAGGGATATAATTGCTACTAGAGAACACATAACATTCGCTTCGCGCTTGAAAATGACGATTATGTAACGTGTTCGAGCACATGAAACTTTTCTTTACGACTGCCGCCGATAACGTTGTTGAATTTTCAAGTATCGAAGGTATTTCGCTCGTCGTGATAGTATTTTATAACGCTGCACGTTAAATACGTACAAAAAATTTTCTTTTGTACCCTACGACTTTTGTAAAAATTGTGTGAACTAATTTCCATTACTTTCGTTCTCAAAAGTAAAATTACGCTAATGAAAAAAGGGCGGACACCATAATAACAGGTTTTGAGTTTGGGTTAATGTTCATTTATAGAATTAAAAAATTTGTAAGCTCTTCCAGAACGGTCCTTCTGAACAAACTAATTTTATGGAAAAATATGTGAATGTTGACTCTTGTAGAGATAAGTTGCACTAATTTATGTTCTTTTATTAAAAATATTGAAACGCCGCCTTATTTCAAAGTTCATGATAGTGAATGCAAACAATGTTTGTTACGAGATCCGATTATCTGACAAAATTTTGCTTCTTCATCGTGATAACAAGAATTTGGTTGTAAATAACATCGAAATAGAACGCATATCCGAGTAAAAGGACCTCGGTGGATGTTTGATTGTTTTAGCATTAATTAGCGAGCGTGTCAAGAAATACGTTGACGTTGATAACGGAATTATTACGCGATAACCGTAACAGAAACGTACGTTTACCTACTTTTTTATTTTAATCTCTTTCGGTTGATTTGCAACGATCATTCGTACAATTTAATTCTCGCGTGTTTGCTAATATCCTCGACTTTTCGAAAGAAAGTGTGCGGAACATATTTTATCTGCTGGCATGTTAATGAAGCCGTGCTTTTCGTAATTAAGAAGTTAACGCGAAAATCATTGAAATTGTACAAATAGCTTCGAATATAGCAACAATTGTTCGTAAATTTTACGATGACATAAGAGAAATATCAAGGTCCTTGATAAAATTTCTGGAAATTGATGTTTTATAGATTACGTTGTGCGTATTGTTACTCGAAAATTAAGAAGAAAAATACTACTATTACCGGAGGATTTTCGATAATACCTGTACAAGCCAACTCGTTATCGCTTTATCGTATCGTCTACTGATAACGCGTAATCATTAGCTTCTCTCAAAGATATTCGATATTTGTAGTCAGGTTTAACAAACGAATGTTTCTATTGATTCTTCAGGTAGAGGAGTATAAAAAGCGTGATATATTTTTTTTCGTAATTGCTCAAGTCATCGTAAAGAACTTCGTTGCATAATACTTCATAAAGAAATAACGGGAAATGCATATAAATTTTGTTACGATATTACGCAAACATAATTTATGATGGTCTTTTGTGATTTTTAAACAATTCGTATGCAATCGAAGATAAGTTTTTAATTATCGCCTACGCGTTAGATTCATTTTGACGTAGGTACTTGTCGATAAGATAATAAATGTTACAATAATGACTTTTTGCAATCGAATTACGCGACGAGAAAAGAAAGAAAAAGCAAGTAAATGTTTAAGTTCCAACTTTCGAATAAATCAAACGCGAATCTATACAGTTGGAAAAAATTCAGGATTTGCGCTTCTCAGTTTATTTGGGAATTAGTTACTGTCCGTTAATTATAACTAGCGTACAGCTGCAAACAAGCAAAATGGTGATTTACCATCTAACTGTTCACATTGAAAGTGTATTTTAATATTTGTTCTGTGTTTTTCGAGAACATTTTTTGATTTGTTCGTCACGATCGAAAAATCATAAGAGTTGTTACGGTTCTTGTACCGATTAATGGTATCAGATAACAGTTATCAGAGAAACGAATTTTCTTCAAGTTTATCTTCGATCTGATATAATATATCGATGAACTCAGAGTTCATCTTCCTTTATTAATTGCTTATTGAAATTTATTGTCAGCGTTGTATCTTAATCTTTTAAATATCTCGTAAATCATGATCTGCGAAAAACATGTATATTTTCAGGTTCAAAGGTTTAAACGAGTGCATATCGGGACACAGGAATAAAGGAAGTGTTAACGACTCACGGCACGAGCTAAAATACTGAGGTTATGTTTACCGCGCAATCAGGTGGTAGCGCTAAAGAGGAAGAGGTTGCTCACACCTTCCCGATAACGAGGCAGAGTTGCTATACTTATGCTGTACTGCGGTTCAGCGACAATTTCTACCATTCACTATTTTCTTTTGAATGACTGATTTACTTTGTTCTGAACTACAAGTACCTTGACAAAATTATCCGTTGCGGGATAATTTTATATCCTCGTCTATTATAATGCGACGTGCGTAAGACACGGATTCGCCTCATGTTCAATTAAAATATAATTGATATTATTTTATTATTTCAGTATATCCACATTTCTCATTTCGCAATACAAGCTTGACCTTTAGAGTATAGTCAAGAATTTAGGATCCTGTAAAATTTTTTTTCGTAAAAATAAATGTCAATTTTAATATAGAGTATAATATATGATATTAAAATAATAAGGTATACATTAAAAACTATTTTAATAAATATTTAGTGCAGAAGTATAGCAACCTCACTTCACTATTTACATTTTAAAAATAAGTTCGTATTCTAAAGGTTAACAATTTACAATCATTGGTACACATTTTTTATAGTCAGTAATGCGCATGTTCGATAATTTACAGTCAGTACTGCGCAGGCTCGATAATTTATTATCAGTAATGCGCATGCGTGAGAGTATGTTTGAATGAATCCCTAGTTTCTCATAGATAGTACAGTTATTACGACACAGTTTGTTTAATTAGCCTATTTTATTTAAAGTGGTTAGTCCTCGAGATAATTTGTGTCAAAATTAGGGAACGAACAAGAGGAGTAAAAGAGGCGTGCGCTATGAAGAGAGCTATCCATCGACAGTATGGCGATAAGAGACACTGTCATGGGGTTGCTCTCTTTGTGGATGCCGCTAAATTCAACGACTTATGGAAGTATAAAGAATTTTCAATCGGGTAAGTGAAAAGTAAAGTATAGATTAAGCGAATTATAAATTTGTATGTTATAATAAACAGTATGTATTATTTAAAATACTTTAATGAATGCTCTAGTGTTTTTAAGTGTCCTTTCCCCCATAGTTTTCCTTATGTACATTAATATATCCAGGATTGTCTAATAGGTTGCGAAATCGTATGTAATTAATGATTTCACTGCTACGAATGATCTATAAAGCAGATAACAGGCACCAGACAGTAAATAGATGTTAAACCTGTGATATATTAACTGCGATATCGTATAAGCTGATATAACACGAAGAGTAAAGTCATTCTAATTTTAAAAATGGAACTGCGAATCTAAATAATATTTCAAAACATCTTTTATGCATGTAAATTTCGATATTTGTAAAAGGGTTTTTTAAATAAAGATATTAAAAAGAAAAATATTGTTGGGACCACATTTGTCACACCCATGGTTTTTGTTATTTCAAGTACCCAATGATCCCTTACATATCGCATCCTACTATATCAACTGGAAACGGTACTACAAGTCGAGCAGAAACTCAGTCGGTAACGGCTGGTAATACAGATATTTTATTTGCGAATATAGCAGCAATTGAAATTGCATTTTAAAATTTATACCAATATTATCAAGAAAATAACTACTTTCTCGATTTAAAAGTATCTGCAACTTAAAAAACAGAATCATTATTATTTCAATTTATTAAACATGACAGAAGTGCTAAGAGTAATTAGATTTATGATGACAATTTTTTATGTAAAGTAACTTGAAATAATAAAGTTGTCACACCTAGGAAATTTTTGCAACAAAGTTTACATGTGGCTACATTGCATTATACAGTATCATATGAAGTTGGCACAAAATGGATGCTGCTTGCAAATACATCAATTTTAACTAAATATTCATTTACAAAATGGGAAATCAATTAGTCGGTATTGCGCCTAGTCAAATATTTCCAGTAGAACATTATTTGACAGATCATAGTGACTTATTATTCGATGTAAAGTAAGTAATTCGGTTCAATATTGCGAAAGTGAAATCTTATTTTCTATACCAACCTATACTCTGTCAAAGTTTTGCTCAACATATTAAATGTAAATCTGAATATTGGCATGTTTTCTACGAAAAGTATATTATACCCTGCTTTTCGAAGTTATTGAGTGTAAAAAAATACATTGTATGAAACAGTATTTGTAATACTGAGAACTCATAATATTTATATTTTTCTGTACTTAATTATTATTCCTTATATATCTGCAGCTTAGGAAGTACTAGATTTTTTAAAGTGGCCCGAGCCAGAAGCCAAGAGGGTCTTATAGTTGTTAAGGTATTTGCTATTCATGATCCAACGCTTCCACTATCTGCTTATAAAGACAAGCTCGAAGAAATTAGATCTAAATTAGCATCTGCTGTAAATTGCCTACCATTTCAAAGAATGATTGTAAGTATTTTTGTTTCATACGTGTATTATATGATACATTATATACTTCTATGTAATTAAAAATTATGTATTTATATTAGCTTACAGAAAAATCAGGGTCTATAATGAGAGAATACGTAAAGTATTCTTTGTATGACAGAATTAGTACTAGGCCATTTTTGACAAGTATAGAGAAGAAATGGATTACGTTTCAAGTTTTATATGCTTTGCATCAAGCTCATAAGGTGAGCTGATATTCAAAGGATTTCAGAATGAAATCCATTGTCCATTAATTATTTAAAAATATCATATTTGGGAATTGTTTCATGTGTAAATATGTTATGTTATAGAATTTTCATTGTTCATATTTTGAAATCTAATCTTTAGCTGTTAAAAGAACATGTTAAAATGCCTTCCACAGCATCAAACTGAAAATATCTACAGTCCTGTAGTTCTGAAAGAACATTCAATAGACTCCATTGATACAGTTTCACAAAAAAGAAATTAAAATATCACTTCTCATTTGACTGTAGTTTGGAGTCTGCCATGGTGACATCAAATTAGAAAACATTATGATAACCAGTTGGAATTGGATTTTACTTACTGACTTTGCAAGTTTTAAGCCAACTTATTTGCCCGAAGATAATCCTGCTGATTTTTCATACTTTTTTGACACTTCTAGAAGAAGGTATATGATAAGTTTTCTATTAATTACAGTACTGTATTACACTATAATACTGTTATTATGTTATACTGTAGTTTGTTCAAATATTTCAGAACATGTTACATAGCTCCTGAAAGATTTGTGAAAACATTATCTTCAGAATTAAGCAATACGTTATTATTATCAGAGCAAGAGCTAAAGACAGGTGATTTGCATCCAATGATGGATATTTTTTCAGCAGGCTGTGCTTTAACAGAATTATATAACGAAGGACATCCACCATTTGATTTTTCTCAACTATTAGGTGCGTGTAATATGTATATATATAATGATTATGTATAAATCATATGTGAGATATTACTAAGCAAACATTTAAAAATTATTTTATTATGATGTATTAAGCATATAGAAACAATGAATATTCGGTAAGCAAGCATTTGGATACAATAGAAGATCCTGGAATACGTGAATTGCTTGCATCTATGCTAGAAAGGAATCCAGCAAATAGGAAAAGTGCTGAAATTTACTTAGCTCAAGCTCGTGGAACAGTATTTCCAGAATATTTTTATTCATTTCTACAATCGTACATGCTTATTTTTTCTGCTGCTCCAATTTTATCACCCGATGAAAAAATAAATAGACTTAAAAAAGATATTGGTAATATAATTAACATTTTGAAAGAAGAAGATGAGAAAATGAAAAGTGATACGAAAACCATAGAAGTATCAAAAAGTCAATGTGAAAATAATGTAGAGTCTATTAAAGACGATTCTGGTCATAGCGAAGAGAATACCATTGTCGAAGGCGACAGTGATCAGAGTTTCGATAAAAGCGATCTAAATCAAATCGATTTAAAAACAGTTCCACCACAGGATACCAAATCTGATAGTCAAACGAATAATCAATTAAAAAAGAAAGTTGGAATAGAAGGTGAAAAACAAAATTTATCTCCAGAGCCACTTGAAGGACTAGTTATTATAACTCAGCTTGTTACTTCATGTATACGAGGTTTACATCACTCTCAATCTAAACTGCAAAGTTTAGAAATATTACTTGAACTCGCTGAGAACACATCAGATGAAACGATATTAGATCGAATTTTGCCTTATATTGTAAGTATTGTAGCAAACGATTCGCGTATAACGTTAATCATATCAGCATGAAATTTCTTCGTAGTTTCATTTAGTCCATGATCCTGCTCCACGAGTACGGGTGTCAGCCATACACACGTTGACGAAGTGCTTACACCTTGTAAAATCAATTCCACCTTCAGATGTGAACATCTTTCCAGAGTATATTCTACCTGGTTTAGCACATATCACGCAAGATGAAGCAGTGATTGTTAGGGCTGCTTATGCGGAAAATATTGCGCATCTGGCACATATTGCATTACGTTACTTGGAAAATGCTCATTTATCTAATTTAGGTAATAAAGAAGGTCCAAAACCAAGTTACGATAGTGAACTACAAACTCTGCACGAAATGGTAATTAATTAAATAATTTCATAAAATATGTACTTATATTGTATACTAAACTTTAGTATTACTAGGTGCAACAATCCGTGTCAATGTTATTAACAGATCCTCAAAATTTGGTAAAACAAACGTTAATGGAAAGTGGAATAAATAAATTATGTGTATTTTTCGGGAAACAAAAAGCTAACGATATTCTACTCAGTCACGTCATTACTTTTTTAAACGATAAAGAAGACAAAGAATTAAGGGGCTCTTTTTTTGAGTGCATTGTTGGTGTAGCAGCCTATGTTGGTTGGCATAGTAGTCCCATACTTATGCCTCTTCTTCAGCAAGGATTAGCAGATCCTGAGGAATTTGTAACAACAAAGGCTATTAATGCAATGGCAACTCTTACAGAATTAGGACTTTTACACAAATCTGCGCTTTATCAACTTTTATATGAAACTATGGTTTTTCTAGTAAGTTACATTTTAATGATAACAAGTAGTGCTAACTCTCAGCAACGGTTAATTTGAATATAAAATTTTATATAGGTGCATCCAAACTTGTGGATAAGACATGCAACTGTTGGTTTTATATCTGCGGCAGCAAGAACACTTAATTTGGTAGATGTCCAATGCAAAGTTCAATCAATGATTCAACCGTACTTAAAACATTCACTGATCCAAATAGAGAAGGAAATTTTGTTGTTGGAAGCTTTGGTATCTCCTATACCAAGAATCGTTTATGATTCCGTCGTCAAACATAATGATATAGAAGAATTGTTTCAAATTCTTGAACAGAGACAAACAGCGCGAGCTAAAGCAGCGACAGGAATTGTACCGCAATACAGTGAAATGAGTACTTCTTTACGAAATGTAAGTTACAAGTTTCTTTGTGAATGTATCATGTGATTTTCTTCAAAAACAAAGTCAAATAATGAAATGATATTTTTATTTTTAGTTATTTAGACGTTTAAGTTCAGAATCAATGACTGAAACCGTCGAAGACCATTTACTAGTAATGAAACCACACTTAATGAAAATTAATAAATATCGTAATTCGGTGGACGCGAAACAAAATACGGCCAAATCAGTAGATGGAAAGTTAGAATTAAGTTCTATGAAAGATAGAATACGACATCACATAGTAATATTGTATCCTGATACAAAAGCTGATCTAGGTCTTCCGCCATTTAAGCGATTAGATCGCAGAACATCGGATAGTGTTGGTACATATGCAACAATGAACCAAGAGTGGCGTACTATGTTTGCAGCTCAAGATAATGTTCAAGTAATTTAACAACAATTAGACTTATATTCGGTAGTTGAATTTTACTGAATAATAAGAAAAATTGTTTTCGTACACTATAGCATACCGTTAAAATGTCAGATATGACTGGAAGTAGTGGAAGTCCCAGCCAAAGTTTACATGGAGGAGATATACATTTATCGCCACAACATAGTTTATCTGACATGAACAGTATAAATGATCATTCTCTTCCTGAACGTTCATATATTCAATGTATGTGTCTTGAAATAGCGCTTCGGCTTTCATTTAAACCTATTACGAAACGCAGTTTTGTATAATTTTTCAGACAGGTGTGCACCTTGCAGACTGGAAGTAAGACAGCTAACGTATAGGAAGCAAGAGCAACACGCTGCTGCGTTAAGAGCACAGCATTGGGCTGACAACATTGCATGGCAAGCTGGTAATTGATAATTACCATATTCCTTAGATATGGCATGAATATTTATTACAAACTATGTTGTTATGCTTAAAAAAGGTTCGAGACTGTTACCAAGCGGTTGGAGTCCTAGAGGAGTACCGGTCGCACATCTTCATGAGCACAGAGCTGCTGTAAATAGGCTAGTTTCTATACCAGATACTAGTTTATTTGCTAGCAGCTCTGCAGATGGATGTATCAAAATATGGGACGCTAGTAAAATGGAAGGACGGAATATTGCTAATCGTTCTAGGTAAGTCATTTAAAAAATGTTCATAATATGAAATTTTTTATTAAACGAATACTGTACAGTCTATCTTAATTCCATCAGACAAACCTATATGCATAGAGGAGGCCCTTTAGTTGGCTTAGCTGTGTGTGATCAGGGACAATCATTAGCAAGTTCTGCTAGTCAATCAGGCACAGTATTTGTTCTACGAATTGAATCAAGTTCTAGTAAAATGAGTGTTATTGGTACCAGACAATTAGACCTTCAGGTGACTATAACTGTTATGGTGTTTAACGACTATCTTCATGTTTGATATTTTTAATAATTCAATATAACTTTAAATAAACCCATGCAGGAAGAAGGATGTGCTGTGGACCTGCAGTACTTAGACTCTGGTTCACAATCGGTTCTCGTGTATGCTTCATTATACGGATCGTTAGTGGGCTGGGATTTGAGATGTCCTGGTACAACGTGGCGTTTAGAAAACGATCTAAAACATGGAGTCATTACTTCATTCTGCGTGAACAATTATCAGCAATGGCTGACTCTTGGTACCAGTTCAGGAGTACATACATGCTGGGACTTAAGATTTCAGTTGCCAATAACCAGTATTAAACATCCTACGGGTACGCTGATAAAATAAAATATTTTAAATTATTCTTGGAATTATGCAAAACCTTTTTTGATCTTAGGTGCCAGAGTCAGAAAGGTGATAACACACCCAACAGAACATTCATGGATAATTTCGGCTGTGCAAGGTAACAATGAAATTTCAATGTGGAATCTTGAAACTGATTTCCGACAAATGGTTCTTTGGGCGTCGAGTGCACCTCCACTTAGTCATTCGCAAGGTGGCCACAGCGTATGCGCCATATATTCGGGGTGCATCGATCGCTCAGGCTTCCTGTTGGCTGGTGGTACCGATATGAGATTACGTTTTTGGGATTTAAATACACCTAATGAATCCTACGTCGCACTGCCTGCCGCTAATGACGTTACTCCTCCAAGTTCATTAGCATACGAGTTAGTATTTGTGACATATACCAAGGAATATAAGGATCTAGGGATCTAAAGACTTGATATGACATACACTCACGTTAAAAATTAAATTTAATATGACCTTCTTTTTCAAAAATTAGGCAACGTTTGATAGATGGAACAAACGTGGTACAAGAGGTTCTAGCTGGAGGTGGTCCCGTTTCATCGTCCGGAAGTAGCAGCGTTAGAACAAGAAATTCTGAAGAGGGCGGTCAGGGACCGGAAACTCCGCCGTCTGGACATCACGACACGATATCCGCCGTAGCTATGTCGAACACATGTATCCTTACTGGCAGTACGGACGGATTGATACAAGTTTGGAAATGATTGTTCTCTTTTCTTATCGTGTGATGTTCCAAAGTTACGCACGGTGTACAAATTTTTCTAACGCGTCACAGATTTATTCTGGCGGAGAAAGAATTTTGATCGGACATCGAGATTTTTTTATGAATGAACCTCACGTGCTACAGTAATTCTGTGATTTTTATTTGTATATAACGTGTAATATATATACATAGGTAGATACGATATTTAAAATCATCGATAGTCATGATACCGATGACGCATTGCATTTCTTGAACGGAACTTAAAACCTAAGTTACTTTAATACAGCGATTTTTGTGTAATATAAATGATTTATTTTTCTACCTAAGAAAAGAAAAGAAAAAGAAGAAAAAGAAACGAAGAAAGAGCTTGCTGACTGTAATATATTTAAAAAAAATTAACGACAATTTTAAATAGAGTAAATAGCAACGAGTAATTGTGCGAACATAATACAATCACTGTACAAAACAATGTATCATCAACAAATTTAATCCTTGATACATCATTTATATCGACAGATATACTTTTATGTCATTAGTGTAATAGTAAAACTTGTATACCGACTGAAATACTCATAACCAGCGGATATCTTCGTATTCCCTGATATTGTTACAATAAATTCATATTTTTAACGCAACTTTACAGTCCAATTATTGAACGCGTTCGATCACCAAGGACACACGGGCACAGAAGGGTAAGGTGCACGGCCTGGAAACGCGAAAGGATCAGGATTCGATGTCCGACAAATCTCCTTCCATCGTTCTTTTCCTGCCTTTCCTTGTCGCCGTCTGAACTGATTCTTGGGAACGCGATAATTATAATCAGGTTGTCCAAAAAGAATATCCACCCACGGTGCTCCAGACGCTGCAGCAACCAGCAACAATAACAGGAGCCAAATTCTCATCTTGAATGCACTGTTTTGAACGTTTCACCTTTACAGACTGACGAACAAGCTAAAAAGATGTAAAAGAGTATGACAGCTGGAGAACAATAGGAGAAATGGTAAATAAAGTTAGTCTACTAATTAGTAGATTGTCGCGACATACGTGTGTATTTTTACTTTCGAACTTCACACTGTCTGAACACACCGGTCAATGAGACTTCTTCCTTTAAGTTACCTTTCTTTTAACAATCACGTGAACTGGTACCGATCGTTTTTTATACGGACATCCGGCATGGTACTCTTTTTTTCACGAAACTAACATTTTGAGCTGTTACTCACGGCACCAAGTACATTCTCGCAATGGAGAGATGCTGGATGCTTACCGCCTGTTTTATATACCAACACAGACTTGCCATTCAGAAAAAATACATTGGTATAACATGTAAACACGTATATATCTACCTCCAATTATTTATTAGATTCTTAACAGTGTGAACTCGGAACTTCCCGTTCATTATTGTTAACTTCTCGATTAAAGCGGTTCATTTTGCATGATTTCTCTCGGGTTAAAGAATGATTCCTTTGTTTGAACAAATAAATCCTTAAGTGTAAAAGTGAATAGCTATGACAATATCCTTTTTGTATGAGATCAAGAATTATTTTGATTGATCATGATTCGCTTGCATGAATAGCTAATTAAGTATCAAATTAAAGTTGGGGAAGGCCCTTATTTACTTATTGTTCGATGAAGATCAAAAGATACGAGCTTTATATGCGAAACGCATACGCATCTTGTTTATATTCTATGTGCGTTGAAATTCTCCCAGCAGAAAACACACGGTAAAGGATATAATTATATTTATGTATCAACGCGCAGTATTTGCTTTTATACATACTACCGGTTTAGTAGAAAATGCTTCCTCGTATAAATTAAGCGTAATTATTCAAGGAATAATTACTATACTTAACTGTTTTTATTTTTCAAAGGTCTCATTCTTATAAAGAATATGATACGATAAAAATTCTGCTTAAATAATGTCCACTTTGATTATTTCACTATTTTCTTTCTTGCATTAATCTTAGTTTTCTCAGTTCGCAGACAGTGAAGAACTAGAGCGGCGAATTGTAAAATGCTTAATGACAAAATTGACTACAAATTACTCTAATTTAGGACTTACAAGACTCACTTTCGAAAATGCTAATTTTTCGCGATCCACTTGTTCACAATGCATTCCAAACTGAAGACTCAAAAATTCTCAAGGTCTCAAAATTGAAAGTTCAAGGTTCCAATCAACACAAAACTCAACTAGCAACTAACTTGGTCAGAGTCTAACGAATCTTCGCTCTAATTTAAAATAATTTCGTGTCAAGGTTGACCTTTTGATTACTGTTTACCATGAATTTAATCTTGGCCCACTTTGATTAAAATTTATGTAAGCGTGTATATGTATATCAAACATGAGTTTAATTATTGGTAATGAACATATTCGATGTTGCAGTATGCTGTTTGCCTCGGATGAGCCACCAATTATCCTTCAAATTTGCTGTCGATATTCTGCGAAGCAGGTAATCGTTTTCATTAAAGGTTTGCTATGACTAGCTGTTACTATTTCCTATTACCGTAATAGCACATTTCTAGACTGTCGAACTATTAATAGCATTTGGCAGAGAAAGTCAGCTTCGCTGTTTTGCGCGAAGGGGTTCGCGATCCTCAAATGGTTTTCGTTTATCGGCTAGTCTAGTCAAACTTTCGTGATTGCAATATTTTTAACGAGAGTACTGTAATCAAACGATAAGAATATTGAGGTCATGGTGAACCAGATATAATTATGTCTGTTGCTTTTATATAGGCCTTTTGATGAACGGCGTATACGTTACTTTTTACTTCATTTCTGTTTACTTGCGTTACTTCCTTTCTTAGCAATCTTTTCAAATTTTCAAACGCCATTTAGCGGTGTGGGTCGCACTATTAATAAAGTTATGAACCGATAAATAATTTAGCCACTGAGAAAAAAGTTCTCTTGAAAAATCGAGTACTACGTGGATGTAAGAGGAGTAAATTGCGTTTTAATATGTGTCTATTAGTATTCCCAAAGGAAACGCATATGAAAAACAAATGAGTAAGAAGTAGTTTCTATAATAAGATATCCAGTCGAAGAATAGGATGCGTCAGGCGATTGTACATGTTCTTTGTCTTTAGACATTTTTTTCGACTGCAGTTTTATAGGTAAAAATGCGAAGAGAATGTTATTTGAAGGTCGACTATCTTTTTAGTTAAAACAATCCAAACTAACTGAATGTTTTGTTAAAATGCGTTCGAACGAAATTTATCCTTCAGATTTTCAACAACCATCACGCTAAGTTGTCTAAATATTTTGAACAGCAGCTTCCTTGAAACTGCTCGTAGAAGTCAGCTGCACCACATGCGTCAGTTCTGTTTCACTTCTGATTGAGAAAGCCTCTACATTCTATATTTTAGTTTCCGTGACTTCTCCATATTATTCCGTTACCACTTGCACGGGTATTGAAGCAGGAATGGAGTCCAAGTAACGTAACCGTCTTTCTTTCGTTTTAAAATGAACAGATACCACTTTTTATATTTATGTCGTAAACATTTTTAACGATTCAAATTTTGCCAGATATAATGTCCAATAGCTTCAATATTCATAACAAGGGTAATTCAAACGTTCAAAGTCGAGTGAGTCTCTCTTCAAGAATGCAACAGAGTTTTAAAAAAATGAAGAGGAGCATTCAAAAGATAACCGGTATGTCGATAATAAATTACAGTTCTTTAAAATGTATGCAATTATTTGTTTGATGTTTCCTGGACCAGTAACCCACGATGGGTATGTACAGTCTTGGGCAACTCGGGTTTCTTTTAGTTCTAAGGAACGTCCTACCACTCTTCTTATTTGCGTATATTCTTAGAAGATTCTACGCTCCTCCCTAGATTCCTTTTAGGTCAAATGATGAAAGGTTCCTCCTCTTGCTTTTTCCCTTAGAGAAACCTAAGTTGCTCGTGTACCTTTTCACGATACGAGTATCTGAAAGTAAAGTTTACGCGAGAAATTATCGAGAGCATTTTGTGCAGATATTTGCACAATACACTGAACTTGCAAAAATGTTCCCACTAGCTTCTCACGAGTTTTGCTCTCACCCCTACCCCTTGGTTCGACGCAAAAAATATACCTCTAAAACGGAATTGAAAAATTATCGTATCAGACTATTTTCAATACTTTTAGAAACTCCGACGAGTGTTCAAGCTCACTGCGTTTTCGTAGAGAACATTCAAGAGGACGAGAAGCAACCGAAATACCTATTTCCGGAACGGCTCTCCTCTTTAACGTGTCGAACAGGATTCACGAAGGACGAAATACGAAAGCTCTATCGTGCTTTTAAGCAACATTGTCCTAGAGGAGCCGTAACCACGAACGATTTGAAACCAGTTTACGCGAAATTATTCCCATTGGGCGACCCAGCGAAGTACACGCAGATCGTTTTTAATACTTTCGACAGAGACAAAGATGGTATCGTTAGTTTCGGTGATCTTCTCACTGAAATATCTTTGATCATCATCGGCGATACGGATCAGAAGCTCTCCTGGATCTTCAGGTGATCAGATTTTGCTACCGGTCGCGCAATTATATTGTTACTTTCTACTCTTTATTTCTCATTAGGCTTTACGACTTGAACGGGGACGGTTATATCACAAGAAAAGAAATGTTGGTCATAGTGTCGGCGATTTACGAGATGCTACATAACGGACAGAGCGTTCAGCGGATGGCAGACAGACACGTGGACAAGATTTTTAAAAAGATGGATCTAGATAAAGACGGTGTCATATCCCAAGAAGAATTTATGAACAGCTGCAAAAATGTACAATTATATAATATTATGTAATATTCATTTTCGCGACTATGCTTTCGACCTAGTTTACGTGAAATAGAAACTATTTAATGGAAGTGATTTTGTAACGTTGCGATGAAGATCTTTACTTATAGTACATTTGTGTTTCAGGATTCTGTAATCAAAAGTCAACTGGTACTATTTAATCAATTTTGGTGATCGAAAAATTGTTTAATTATTTTTTAAAGGATAACAATGGAAAAATGTATTTACAGTATTAATCACTCTAGATGAGATAGTTGTAAGTGTGTGTAATGTATTTACAATTAATATGTAATCGATGTTATAAATTATTATATTATTGTGCGTGTACTAATTGATAATTATACACCCTAATATTGTACAAGTTTCATTTTAGATCTCATATTCATTATAGTTTTTAAATTTGGTATCAAAACGCGCATTGAAAATCGTATGCTTGCACCATCTGGCGGTAAATGGCAAAGCTAACCAAATAAAAAATGACTTTTTCTTATAAAATAAATAATTTTCAATTCTTTTTATTTTCATAATAAAAATTGTATTTATAAAACAGCTTTTGGGTTTAAAATTAAATAACAAATATCATTATAAATAAAGAGATCAATATCTGAACTGTGTCTTCAAATTATGATGAGTAATTTCTGATTCTCAATTCAATGCTAGAGGCACAGTGCTCAATTGATCTGCCCATCACCGCTCCAGAAAATGTTTCTCTTTGCATGAAAGAATAATCATACAATTTTTGTACTTTTAGAACAGTCTTTTTTGTAAAATATAAAAGACACATGCAAGGAAAAATGCAAAAGCTAATGCTACTAATGCTTTATCAGTGACTTCTCTTCTACCATATTTGCCTAAAAGTTTTCCAGATTGAACTATAACTTGTTGCTGATGTTCTAATTCATCTTTGGTACTGGTAACTTTATCAGATGATGTTACTGAAAGAAAAAATTAATTTTATAGAGCACAGAAAGTTAGATAATGCTATGTAGGAAGTTCTGTTAAATTTTAAACACATACTTAACGTATCTAATGTATCTGCACTTCTTTGAGTGGTTTCTGCTAAATGCCTAGCTATACTTAAAAGTTTATCGGATACTTGACTTGATGTATTTGCTATACTTTGCCTATCACGTCTTCTACGTAGAGCAGCCTGTTGTTCTTCAGGCAATGAAAGTAGTTCTTCTTTAGCAAGTTTGTCTATTACACAGACACTAACAACATTGGCCTTACGAAATGCAGCTAAAGAAGTATTAAGTTGCTGTTTATAAGTATCTATTTCTGTTAATAATTCTGCTTTTCTTTTTTTTGACAGTTCTTTCTCTGCGGCTGATGTTATTTTATCTATCAATGATTTTAATGCTGCTATTTTTGCTCTGCCTTCTGCATTCAGTTCGTTGAGTAATTCTAATGGACCAGTACATTGTTGAATATCCTGAAAATTATAGATTATTTAACAACGACATTTAAATAAAGAGATAATTATTTGGTTAACTTAACCTCTACAGAGTCTACTGTACATTTATTTGTTGCTGATATAAAAATTTAATTATGATTCTTAATTAAATCACAAATACAAATTGACTAATTCTATAAGTAGTACCTTTCAATTATCGTATCTAATAATACTATAATAATTTATTAAGTATCATACAGTAATTAAGGTTATGTTATGGTTAGTATAAAAAATGTTGTTTTAAATAATACTTACTTGTATTAAAGCTGTAATTTGAAGATGATTTTTTACGATGTCTTGACGAATAAGATCTAGTGCATGGTCCCCGGTGTCCATCGAGACACGTATGTTTTAGCAGTTCAATTATACGGTTATGCTGGTACCTAAAGATGGAATGCCATTTTAATGCTAATTGACAGATTCATGTAAGTTCAAAACAAAAATTTTAAATGTTACATTTTTATATTAATTGTTTATTGAAATTTATATACATATATAACATTTATGTTAGACTTGTGAATCTATATAACACTTAAATATTCATAAATATTAATACTAAATTGTTATAGAATAAAAGATGAGAGTAACTAAATTTTTTTTATATACACATGTATTTTTATTACTTCGTAAATATACATATTTTATAAATTGCAAGATATTGTAATTAAATATATAACGAGGTTATGTTGTAAAGGATAAAAAATACATATAAGACTATATATAATTTATTAACAGTTCGAGTATTTTGCTAATATTGTACAATTGACAAAGTGTTATTACACTTTTTAATTAGAAATACCGTGTTACATGAAAACCATAAATATTTCTACTCACAGAATGTAATTTTTTTAAATAAAATTTCGTTGTTATAGTTCAGATTTAAAGCAAGTTGGGTATAGTTTGTGATGAGATAATATTATGCTATTTAACATGCTCATCTTTAAGATTTCTTACAACGTGAAATGAACACAGTACTCCTTTTCTATATCATCCTATGTTACATAAGTTTTTTAATATTAACAGAGATCATACAAACATTAACGAAGATGATTTATCACAGCAGTAGTGAACTCTGTTGTAGAACTCTGTCCACCTAAATCTTTTGTTAATACTTTTCCATCATTTAAAACACTATTTAGCGCATCTTTGATTTGCTCAGCATAACGTTTTAAGTTTACATGACGCAGAAGTTTTACAGCACACAGAAGCATAGCAGTGGGATTTGCTACATTTTTACCAACAGCCTCTGAATATGTGTGTCTTGCACCCTGCATCATACATAAAATTATTATATTTTACATTATTTTTAAACGAAGTTAAAGGTTTATAATAATATGTTAATTATTGTTACCGGTTCAAAAACAACACATTCAGGGCTGTAGCTAGCACCTGCAACTACACCTGCACCACCAACTAATCCAGATGCAAGATTGTCCAGAATATTACCATACAAATTTGGTAATACCATCACATCAAATTGGTGTGGATTAGATACCATTTGCATAGTACAGTTGTCTACAATCATTGTTTCAAATGTGATCCTGAAATAAGTTCATAAAATATTATGTTAATATCATCTATTAGTACTTGCTAGGGAACTTAGATAAATATCTGCAATTACCTAGGATACAATTTTGCAATTTCATGACATGATTTTAAAAAGAGACCATCACCAAGTTTCATAATGTTGGCTTTGTGAACACAAGTAACTTTCTTGCGGTTGTGCTTTACCGCATAATCAAATGCAAACTTTGCAATCCTCTGACTCTTAGCAGCTGTTACTATCTTTAAACATTCTACTACACCTTTCACTGATTCATGCTCTAAAGCAGAATACTCTCCTTCTGTTTGTTCTCTGATGATAATGCAATCCACATTTTTATGACGGCATTTAACACCTGGCAATGATTTTACATGAACAACGTTTGAGTATAAATCTAGACTTTTACGTAATTTCATGTTCAATGTTTGAAGTTCTCCAGTGTGGGAATGATCTGGTGTTGCTAGAATACCCTATTATTGAATAGTTAACATTTAAAACTACATATTTGGTACTATTAAATACAAATAGTTTAATGTGATTAATGGATATACAATACCTTTAAGCATACTTGATTCCTTGCAATACTATTGGATACCTGCTCAAGAGGTGCACTCAAAGTTGGATTTACTTCAGAGAGGAAGAAAGGTTCAAATTCAACTGGTACATTTGCAGCTTTGAAAACATTTTGTACTGCAACTACTAACTCTGGCCCTACACCATCTCCTGGTATGAGGGTACATTTTACTTTTCCTTCCTGTTCAACTATCTGAAAGAAAAAGCTGTTTATAATTTGTAACAGTAATTTTTTGAAGAAAATTTTATACGTACAGATTCTTGTAAACGCACAGCTCCAACATGTAGAGATCTAACAGCTCCCTTTTGAGCAGTCTGTAAATAAAAATGTTTGAACTGTATTTTATCAAATTTATAAATCTAAGTATTAAATATAATTGAATATATAAAAGTAAAGTTATATTGTATATAAATCTAATTTACTTTAACCAAATTAAAAAGTTATATTTATAGTAAGATATGAACATGATGATTGAATAACGTGATTATTTAATCCATTCTACTAATTCAATTTTATTTTGGCAAAATTTCTGGTTGCTCAAAAAATTTCAAGAAAAGATTCTGTATGTTATTCAATGCCCTTGTAATAATGGTTGATATCTCCTTTTTAGTAACTGAATAATTCTGTATGATTTGACAATATTTTAAGATGGGAGGATTTGAAAAGTTGTACAAGTTTTATAAAATTAGAAATTGTTTGATTTAACTGAATATGTATTACCTGTGAAAACACTTTGTAGATGTTTCTCGCTAGTAAAGCCATTTTCACGACCTTAGGTGTCGATCTCACTCTTACGTTTGTATGTATATCAGTAACGTATCATATCGCAAATAAAGGGGCCACTTATGTCAATCTAATTTTGTTAAAAAGAAATTACGTTTTCCCTGATTATATTGTGTACAAGAGTATAAACTAAATCAATTTGTATATTTTACTATTTATTAATTATGTTGGTCTTAAATATATTTATATAAGTAATATAAAAATATTATATGGCATATAGATACGATCCTGTAATCATAATCGTTTTGCTTCGTGTTTTTTCGGTGTATTTCGTTATACATGTCATAATGTTTTGTCGCTAAAAAAACAAAAGATTACCAATTTCACCAGTGATATCAAATAACTTCTCTGGTTTCAAGGACTGGGTGTTTTTATTTTAATGTTTCACTTGTGAAAGTATAAATTATCTAATAAGTATATTCAGCTGTTCAAATTTTTGCGCCTTCTATATGCGGATACGTCAGCTGAGTTTAAATCTCTAAGATTTAAATTCTTCTTTAGTCTAATCCAACAATGACAAATATAATAACCTAATCCCTCCATTATTTCATATGCATAAATAAAAATCCGTATATTTACGAAGAAAATTATGATTTCATAAATACATATTCAAACTTCTAGTGGATTTCATTATGACAAGTTTACCGACATGGATTTGCGCAGGTATAGAAACAAGTGCAAAAAAGACTGGAAATAAATCATGTAATCTATTTTTATAATATAAAATTTTCAGAATCAGTTCTTCCTGAGTTTATTGTAATTTATAGTTAATACGGTTCGATTAAAATTAAACCACTTAATCAAAATGGCTGAAGAACAATTACGTGAGTAATACTCCGAATGTTATAAACATTAATAAACGTTTGCAGTCAAACATTTGTTGTCATATTACTTTGAAACTAATCACATATTAAATTTTAATAAGTCGTTAATAACGAACTATATAAATATAAACTTAGACATTTTGTATATGAAAAAAATATTAATTTTAACCATATCTTTTAGCTGAGGAGGTAACCAAGCACAGTTTTCGGCAAAAAACATGGGACTATTTGATGAAGAATAATTTAGTAAACTTTCCTGTTGTTGTGTATGATCGGATACCAAATTTCAAAGGTGCTTCTGAAGCGGCATTACGCGTAGCAGAATTAGAAGAATTTAAGAGAGCAAGAGTTATAAAAATCAACCCAGACAAACCTCAAGAACCTGTTAGATTCTTAGCATTAGAAGCTAATAAAGAAATATTGGTGCCAATTCCTAGATTAAGATCTGGATTATTTCATCATGTTACACCAGTTGCTGGAGCCACAAAAAATGAACTAAGAACTTTATCAAAAATTCATGGTTTAATGGAAGCTGGTAAACCACTCGGTGTAGAGTCAAAAATAAAAGTACATATTACTAGATGTACAAAACTTCTATTTCTATTAATATTCACTTATTTGAGATTTTATTTCAGGTTGATTTAGTCATATTGGGATCTGTATGTGTTAGCCGTGATGGATACAGACTGGGTAAAGGTAAAGGTTTTGCTGATTTGGAATATGCTATAATGACAAGAATGGGTGCAATTACACAGGATACTATAGTTATTACAACAGTGCATGATTGCCAAGTATTTGATATGCTTCCACCCCAATTATTTAAAGAATATGATGTACCTGTTGACATAATTGTTACACCTACTCAGACAATAATAGTAAATCCAAAGTTGAAAAAACCTAGTGGTATTATATGGTCCATGCTGAGTGAGAGAAGAATCAAATCTATGCAGGTATTGCAGCAGCTTAAAGAGATGGATGAGAAGTATGCACTGGAACATTCAGTTGATACTATATGAGTATACATGAATATGTATTGGTTTATTCATTGTTTCTAGAGATGGTAAAATAGTAGTTTTAAAGGAGGAGGACTCTGACACAGAAACACAGAGACTGTATAGACATCGGCCAAATTCTTCAAGAAATAACAAACGTTCCAAACCAGGAAAAAATGTTTCTGGTGAAAATGATGTTAGCGGAGAAGGAGAGAAATTTACGATGAAGGGACGTTCCCCTAAAAAACGTTCGCATAATATTAAATCAGAGAACGATAATTCGTTCACCAACGGAATCGAGGTATGTGTATTAAAATTACGTAAGTACCCTTTGAATGAAAGAAAAGTACCTGATTATGTTTGGTCATGTTTTAGGAAAACATCGTGAACAGCGACAAAAACACGCAACGTCGTAGAAACTTGAGACTGAAATCTAAATCACAAGTTGCGTTTTCCCTGAAATTGTCAAATATCTCGTCCAGTGCGAGAATACGTGACTTGAAAAATGCTCTGTTAGAACGCGGCGTTAAACCAAACGAAATAACTTGGTTAGGTTATCGGGGTATTTGCTATCTTCATTTCAATAAACTTAGGGAAAAGAATAGTTTACCAGAACAGCCGATACAAGTCGATTCGATAATGACTAACCTACAACAGTTGTGTATCGGTGAACCCACTGGAAAAGTGGAAGATTTCATAATCGTAGAACCTGCGAAACCGATATCCAGGATAGAAGTTACGGATGTTTCTTCTGTTTAAAAAAGTATTTGGATGTTCTTTTACGATTGACTTAGTACAATCTGTGTAATCACTCAACAGATATCGCTGTTTAGACGCGTTTATTCTTATGGAGATAGTCTGTTTCCATAAAATAATGATCATTTACCAGTTCAAGAAATATATAAATTTGTCTTAGTAATTTATGATGTATTTGTACACACCTTAAGTGCAAAATAATCTATTAATTTATATTACACTTCTATAGGTGAAATACTCTTTGATAATAATAATGTACTTTTTAATAATTCAGGTGTATGTACTGTGATCACGTAAAAAGTATTTAACGATAAGAGAAATTAATTTAAATGATTTCTACCGAGTTATGCTAGGCATAAAAAATTGTATGTATATGTATATAATATTTATCTGACATCACAGACTGATAATATAGTCAACCTTTAAATAACATTTGGAACAAATGAGAGTAAAACATCTTTCATTTGTCTATTGGATATTCTATTTTTCTGAGAGAGTATTTTCACAGGGATTAGATAGAAATACGTATAATTTTCGTATTACTGTACCTTATAGTCATTTGTTGTATTCGAGATTAGGCGACTCGTGTGTTAGCATGGCAATTTTTTGTGATATAAACATAGTGATCTTTCCTTAGAAAACGATAACATTGTTGTTAATTTTATTAGTAGCGCTATTATTAATATAATTAGTATGCGAATAATTTTTTGTATAATTATTTTACTGTCATAATTTTAAGAATCCGCTGGTCGAATCATTTTGTAGACTCGATGTAAGGAAATAAATTATTTAACTTTTCTAACAACAGAACGATGTATTTTTCATAGAAAGTTACTGTTTTCTTTCGTTTCGAACACAATAGTTAAAAATTGATAAGTTCACAGCAAACTTCGCATGCTTTCATAACTCGTGGAATTGAAGATTGTTATCGTAAACACGTTATTCTTACATCCGATATTCCAAAATAGTTAACCATGCGGGAAATTGTTTTCCAACGCTGGTATAATGAAAATACTTTTAGCATATTTTATGAACAAAAATACATCAAATAGGTAGTTAATACGTTCTTTTTTATTTAACAGTTGACAATTATAATTTGTAACAGTATCTTTGTATTTCCTAGATCTAAACAAAAACAGTAGAAATCAACGATGAATATGGGTCGTTTCACCCTCAGCCTTTCACGAAACGGCGCCAGTATTATCGATTATTCGGCACTCCTTCGGCAAGACACGTTTAATGTGCAAATCTCTATTTATAATCCTTCCCAGTAAACACTAATTAAGAGAAATCTCTCGCAAGATTCGTTTCATCAATTTGGTCTTACCGTTGCAAGCTTACATCCGTTCGAACGCAAATGGATCATGGACCAACGGAGCAAACCGTTATCGAGTTTCCCTTGTTCAAATGTTTGCTGAGGAAATATTTGTGATTATAAAATCGATTAACTGCGTAGAAATAAGGCAAAGGACAAATATTCATAATCGTTTAATCATTTAATCTAGATTACATGTTACAAGTTAGTCTCGTGTACTCTTCTCTTTCTCTCTTACGATACTTTATAAAATTACATCGTTTTTTGGTGTTCGCTGGTTGATTATCAGAAGTGCAATCGTTGATCAAAGGTATATCTGAGGTATGCAGGTTGTGGCAGAGATACATCGGATTAAGGACACGAGTCGAGAAAAGGCGTTGACGTTAACACGCTGAATGTCGAAATGGAAAGGACTGTAAGGGTATGGAATGCTGTAATTATTCAACAGGCGATAGATTTTCCGATGTAAACTTACTACTTGTTCCTCGAAATTAACTCTCCGGTAGTGATGGGTATAACGCGTTATAATCGCGTAACCATTCACTCAACGTGTTAATCGCAACAAACTAATTACAAGATGATTTTCGTGTTGCTATAATTTCAATATGTGACTGAAAAAGAACTCTTCTTTGACTATCTCGGTTAGTATCGTAACTTTCTAAAAGGGAAGTTAACTAGCACGTACGAGCCAAGTAATAAGTAAGTCGTACGATAGTTCGAAATTTCCCTTGGACCGCATGCTTCAACTTCATTTTTTCCCATCGAAAATCTTTGGTCAAATGCACTCTAAAAGGACGTTCTACTTGGTCAAGTTTCCTTACCCTTTTTATAAAAGGAATAGTTTAAGGTGAAAATGTTCTTTTATGAGATCAGAGTGTACGAGGGTCGTTCAATAATTAAGGGCACAAAAAACTTATCTAAATAAGCGAGATGTTATTTTGAAAGACATTAAGTTAAGATCTTGAGAATTAATTAAAAGGCGACAGTTTCGTTCAATTTCTTTCGAAAAGTGTGCTTTAAAAACAGTATTTAAAGACTTCTTCAAAGGGTATAAAACCATTTCAGATTTTTCTACATCATCGTGCAATAAGATTCCTTTTCACGCTGTCGTCTCAAGGAACCTGCGGACGCTATTAAGTTACACGGTAATAAAGATACGAAAAATGAATGTAGAAAATTAACTCGAACTTTTTATCGCCTACATAAGAAATCTAATAAACCAACGAAAAATATTTCATCGAGGGAACTGGGTTGAAAAGAAAATTGTGACATTCATTGAATAACCCTCGTGCCTTAACTAGCGCTCCCTTCTATACTCTAAAATAAATATCGATCGATTTACAACGCTTTACTTAAACAAAAATAAGAAGTGTATTCAATCATCTTCATCTATTTTATCTTTATCGGCTGCACAAATATCACATAGTGTTCGTAAGTTTTACGGGATTGAAAAAGGATCCATTGTTTCAAGGACTAGAATGCTTTCTTCTCGTAATGGAAAGTAAACCCTCTGAATATTCCACGCGCCAGGACCAATAGACGAGGGTAAATTTCAACGATGATAGATTTAGTTTGTCTTCGAAGATGCGTTTTCACCCTCGTAGTACAAAGAAACGTCCAACAGGAGTTTTACGACGTGGAAGGCTCTGGACTCGCGTCGATGTAGTCAATATCCGACGACGTTGCGGTGCTCGCACGTCTTCCTTGCCTCGGTGACGCATTTATACGCGTCTTCACGCTCGTCGTTGACACGCTTAGCCGATTTCCGGTTCGTTGTGCCGGTTGTTGCTTTATCCTGTAATTTTTATATGTTCACTTACCATTTAACATCCACTGTTTCATTTAAATCAAATTTATTTTCATGGAGTTGATTTTCAAGATTCTTTTTATTTATATTATTTCCTTATTTGTAAAAGAATAGAATTATTCTGTATTTTCTTGCAAAGTCTTTATTCCATACAGAAAGTTGTTTTGAACGCTTGGTATAATTAACGTTTGTTTCTAAAGAATTATTAAAGCAACTATTTCTTGGTATAGCTCAAGTATTATTTATAATTTGTGGCGTGAAATCGTTTTGCAAAAATGAGTGATGTATGCAAAAATTAAAGTCATGCAGATATGAATGATATGGTATTTAAAGTGTCAAAGATACGCGGGGTTCGCGACCTCCGATTGATTTGGAGTCGGGGGTATTGAAAGGTATAAATAGGGGGGGCATGCGGCCCAACAGGTCAGTTATCGACGAACGTTGTGGGAGGGAGGGTCTCGCTAAAAATTTTCAGATTTCAAAATTACCTACGCAGCTATTATCACAATCTTTTAACATTTCGAGAGCTCAGATTGTAGATCTCTGTAGTTGCTGAAAACGCAAACGTGCGTGTTTCTAAGCAGTCTAAAGTTCACTGCATGATTCATAAAATAATATGCCATACAAGCCTTTAATAAACATAAATAAACTTGATACTGCTAGTATCTTTGTATCAAATAATAATTTAATAGCTGTAAATATTGCCAATCTAATTTTGCACCATTCAGTAATTACACCGATAATTAAAATTAATTTAAAAATTCTTTTGACTAATTTTCCGCAACACGAAAAGCGAAGTAAATACTCCAGTCGATAAAGTTACACGGACCACCCTGTCCGCTCGTTTGATTGAGAGACAGTTTGTGTGCTAAGAAAACGAAGCGTATCAGAAACTGTTCACGGTTTGTAAGTCTTCGCTTTACAGTAGCCGACCTCTGTTGCAATTGGCCGTGGTCCAAAGATATCGCGAAGAACGAGATCGAAGCTTTTCAAGAGCGTTTATAAGTTTTTCACGCCACCGTTGTATTTATAGGGGAGTCGAAGACGCTACGTTATTCCTGATGGCTTTGTTTTATCTTTCAAGCGAATTCGACGAAACAATGATGGCTTAAAAGCATTGATCGCTTATTCAACAGTTTCTTACGAAGAGTCTAGCTTTAGAGATTTATCGAACGATCAAAAATTTACGATTCCGTCGACAGCCGGAGCTCCAAGAGCTCTACGCAAACTAACCCCCTTTTTTATTTTCCTATCGATTTCTGTATTGAGTGTTACAATCAATTTAATATTGAATAGGTTTAGATGTATTATTGATAGATTGTGGGTATTGTTGGAAGCATTCGTGAATAGCGACGTGGTTCGATATGTTGACTACGGTGAAATTTGGAAAATTGTCGATTAGGGGAACTTAGGCTGTTTGAGAATTTGGAAATTTAGGAATTTGGAGGTTTAGAAGTACGTAACAAGAAACTCAGAATTATATACTTGGTATTAGACATACGTGTTCCATTACAGAGAGCATAATTAACTAGAACCATAATTGGACTCACTTTAACCTCTCCTCGGCACCTTTCATGGCAGTGTTCAGTTCCTCCTCCCACTGTTTCTCCTTCCTCTCCCGTTCTTGTCTCTCCATCTCGCGCTCCCGATTATACACACGATATTCCGGGATGAATGCTAATCTCCTGAGATCCACGCTCGGCCCGGCGCCTTCCGCAACGAGATCTTCCTGAGGATGCTCGATTTTCAGGGATCTACTCGAATAATAAGGGAAACCTATTTCCTTGGTTCAGCAGAAAATTATGGTCGTGCGGATAACCTCTCCCTTGCGTTTACGATCCTCGTAAAACAGGGATTCATCGAGTTAAGTAATTCGCAATTTAGAAGCGACAGACAAGTGACTCTTCGACGGAATTGAATCGAATTGAATTAAAATTGACGAGCGTAAGCAAATTGTTCGAGTTAACCTCGTGTCATCGGTGAAGCGACGCGCGGAACACTTCGTTCAAGAATCGTTGTTTTCCGAGGGGTAGAAGAAAATCACCGACGCGTAATTCATTAGAGGATATCGCTAGAGAGTTTCAATACCGTGTAACGAAATAATTTCCCTGTAATCTTCTCACCTTTGCTTCGCCAGGCGCTTCTTCTTTTTGTGCAGCGGCTTCGTCTCTATGATCATCTCTTCGAGCTCGAACGTCGGATCACAGTTCAGGTGATCCTTTGGCGGTGTGAACGGTGGTTTGATTTGCTTGTTCAACACTTTGTCGAAGTCTAGGTCTCTCATTACGCTCACTTGCTTCAGTTCCTTTAACGTCGACACCCTGGCGCCTGGCGCCACGGTTAATAGTCTGTCGAGGAGTTCCCGTATCGAGCAACTCCATTCGGCTGGTGTCGGTCTCTCCTTCTACATAATACTTTTTTATTCAACGTCCGGAAACTTTTACTACGCTTTTCGAAATGTAAATTTTCCGAGGCACGTTTTACGGAAAATATCATTCGAAAGTGGATAAGTTTAATTCAGTAGTTGCAGGAACAGAAATTGTATTTCGTAAATGGCCTTTATGATCTTGATACGAGAGTCATGGTTGACGATGCATATTCGGGTGAATGCGATTAAAAGTACTCCGGGTTTAATTAACAGAATATCCGGAGAATACAGAATCGAGAATAAAACGATATCTCGTACGATGATATCCCCGAAAATAGAAGAGATGCTATCGATGTTTACCTGGAGAATTTGTAGAGCCTCTCTGTGAGATGTGGTTGAGCAGAGAGGATAAGGACGTTCTCCAGCGAGGGTCTCCCAGGCTAAAATTCCCAAACTCCACCAATCGACGGCGAAACCATATCCGAGGACGCCATACTCCTCGCAGGAACACATATAAATTTCTGGGGCTGAAATCATCAATTCTTTTATCATCACAATCCGTCAATACATCAATTAAAATCATTAACAACTGAAAGACTTAACGTACTCAGAATTCCACTAACAATTTTTCATTCAATAAATTTTATTTGTATACAGTATTTATCAAAAAAGGATTAAACACTGGCAATTCATTTTATCTCGTATTAATTATCCGAATTGATCGATTCTCCACTTTCGACAGATTAAATTTATTTATTCCATTCAATTCACAATACTCTCGCGAACAAAGGCACACCCAGAGGAAATTCATTGAATTTATTTCGTTGATTCAGCAGTTACTTTACAGTATTTCGAACCTTGCAGCGTAACTAAATCATCTCGAAGCGAGTTATTAATCGTTTTACGCTCAATTAGCAACGAATCAACGCGCAATTAATTTGTACCTATGTACGGTTTTGTTCCTGACATCGACGTGGCTAATTCCCCGTCCTCCAGCACCGTTGCGATGTTGAAGTCCGTTACGTGTGCGTGTCCTAGGCAGAAGGTAATCCTGGTTACATAAACCGCTCTAGTTATTTTGAATTAAACTCATTTAAACATTCATAAACTTATTAATTGTCAAACTTTTTTTTATTAAAAGCTGCAACTATTTTTAATTGCATCTATATTTATATTTATTGTATAGCTGTATTTGCAGTATAGTTATTTATGTAGGACCTGAAGTTTCTTCTATTATGGTACCTCTTGGATAAAATTATTTAAGTTCATGGTGTATGTAATACATAATTATATGAAATTATAGTCTCTGTATTGTATTACTATTTTTAATTACATCTATATTTATAATTACTGTATAACTATATTTGCAGTATAGTTATTTACATAGGATCTGAAGTTATCTTCTATTATGGTACATCTTGGATAAAATTATTTAAGTTCATATTGTGTCTAATACATAATTATATGAAATTATAGTCTCTGTATTGTATTACTATTTTTAATTACATCTATATTTATAATTACTGTATAACTATATTTGCAGTATAGTTATTTATGTAGGACCTGAAGTTTCTTCTATTATGGTACCTCTTGGATAAAATTATTTAAGTTCATATTGTGTCTCATAGTTGTATGAAATTATAGTATGTGTATTGTATTACTATTTTTAATTGCATCTATATTTATAATTATTGTATAGCTATATTTGCAGTATAGTTATTTATGTAGGAGCTGAAGTTATCTCCTATTAAGGTACATCTTGGATAAAATTATTTAAGTTCATATTGTGTCTCATAGTTGTATGAAATTATAGTATGTGTATTGTATTACTATTTTTAATTACATCTATATTTATAATTACTGTATAACTATATTTGCAGTATAGTTATTTATGTAGGACCTGAAGTTATCTCCTATTATGGTACATCTTGGATAAAATTATTTAAGTTCATGGTGTATGTAATACATAATTAAAATTATAGTATGTGTATTGTATTACTATTTTTAATTGCATCTATATTTATATTTATTGCATAGCTATATTTGCAGTATAGTTATTTATGTAGGAGCTGAAGTTATCTCCTATTATGGTACATCTTGGATAAAATTATTTAAGTTCATATTGTGTCTCATAGTTGTATGAAATTATAGTATGTGTATTGATACCAAGAAGAAGAATGGTTGGTTTTTAATATGATACATGAACGGCACGTGGTTGATTAATCGTCAGCTGGCGATCGCTGGTGATCAAGCATCTGTCAAACGACGTTAACAGAACGTTCATGTGTATGGCATAACTTCGATCAAGTTTGAGGATCGAATATCCTGTTACGCTTTGATCGATTCTCTGCACGGAATTTCAATAGCTCGGCCAATGTTCTACGCGTGTCTCCGATGAAATATGAAATTTTCAAACGGGAAAAAAATGAGCCGCATTTTCCTCCCTTTAGCGTTTTCAGAATGCTCGTTCAAAGAGTTTATATGCAATTAAGTTTCGCGTCGACTTACAATAAAACAGAGTTCCATATTTAGCACGTAATTTTCAATTAAACGTGCAATTGAATGTGAACCATAAATTCCGTGTCGGGCGTATTAATTCCGAACAAATTATGCTATTCGATTTGTAATTACTCGATGAATTTTAACGAAATTACGTTCGAAAAGAACAATATTCGAAACAAATTTTTAAAAGCTCCGTGCAACCTGCTGAAAGGATGAAAGGGTTAAAAGGGACTCCCGATGCGACCACTACACAGAACATTCTTTACGAACAATGGCGAGCGTACAGCAAAGTCAACGGGTGACATCCGACCCCGTAATTTTAAATGATGCAGAAGCAATTCCAAGGTTCAAACAGCTGTCGGCTAAATATAGCAGGAAATTAGGGTTACCTCTGGACGAAGCATCTACCCTCGCCTTCCAGGCAACACGTTTGACAACCCCATTTTTTATTTTGCACTGATCTTACTTGCAGATCGACTGCTTTGTAATTCGAAGGCCGCTCGAAAAGTTTTCTCCGCGACGGAATATTTCAGCGATTTAATTGCTTTCGAGAAGCGATATTAAATACCTACTGCTTTGCAAACTTACTTCAATAATTACAGAGGAATCTTTTGTTTTCTGTAATTCTCTCAAGAAATATTAAACATTCTCGTCATTGAAAAACGCCCAAGTAATTTATGGAACAAATCAAAGGCAGCTGTTTAATTTCGCAAAATCATAGTGACATTTGAGTTCATCCGTGCTTCCAAGCGGTAAACTGCGAAACAAGCAATCGAAAGTGGGTCAATCAATCGTGTCAAAGGTAAAAATTTTCAAAACGAATGTCAGGGTGAAACGATGAGCGTAGAAATTATTTATAAACGCAGTCGGTTGGTGTCCCGTAAAGAGAGAGGAAAATGGCCGGATCTGCTACGTCACCAGAATATAATGCGGTTCTCCATTGTAGCCGTTCTTTGACCTTTGATGAGCATTCGAAAGCGGTTCTCCATCGTATTACCTTCGTTACAATTCTTTCTTGCACCGCGGATGTTATGCATTTGTGATCGAGTTCTGCGATGCATAAGTCATGTAATGTACAAGATTTATACGTTACACGATTTCGATATGTCGTCAATGTGATGCATGCGATCCATCTTGTAAGATGAAATACATACGGATATTTGTACAGCAAATTTCGATCTTTAATATTAAATGAATATCGATCAGCTCGATTAATACGAAGAATTGATAGATAAAATGTAGGGCAAAGAGATGTGAAATTAAATTCCATGCTTAGAGCGTGTGGGTCTTCATCCTGCAATGTACAGGGTTTTCAGAATTAGTGTAGGTCAGTGGAATGGGGGGTAGCTGGCGTGATTTTGAATAAGATTTCCCTTTGCAAAAATGGGGATTGAAGCTTCGCTTTTGAATTAAGGAATATAATTTTTTTTTCTGTAATTTCCACGCGCTATAATTCCACGCTCCGTAGTTTCTACGCGCCGTATTTCCACGCACCGAAATTTCTATGTACCCTAATTCCACGCGCCGAAATTTCTACGCACCCTAATTCCACGCGCCGTATTTCCACGCGCCGAAATTTCTACGCGCCCTAATTCCACGCGTCCTAATTTCACGCGCCGAAATTTCTACGCACCCTAATTCCACGCGCCGTATTTCCACGCGCCGAAATTTCTACGCGCCCTAATTCCACGCGCCGAAATTTCTACGCGCCCTAATTCCACGCGCCGAAATTTCTACGCGCCCTAATTCCACGCGCCGAAATTTCTACGCGCCCTAATTCCACGCGCCGAAATTTCTACGCGCCCTAATTCCACGCGCCGAAATTTCTACGCGCCCTAATTCCACGCGCCGAAATTTCTACGCGCCCTAATTCCACGCGCCGAAATTTCTACGCGCCCTAATTCCACGCGCCGAAATTTCTACGCGCCCTAATTCCACGCGCCGAAATTTCTACGCGCCCTAATTCCACGCGCCGAAATTTCTACGCGCCCTAATTCCACGCGCCGAAATTTCTACGCGCCCTAATTCCACGCGCCGAAATTTCTACGCGCCCTAATTCCACGCGCCGAAATTTCTACGCGCCCTAATTCCACGCGCCGAAATTTCTACGCGCCCTAATTCCACGCGCCGAAATTTCTACGCGCCCTAATTCCACGCGCCGAAATTTCTACGCGCCGTAATTCCTACGCGCCATAATTCTACGCGCCGTATTTCCACGCGCCCTAATTCCACGCTCCATAATTTCCACGCATTGTATTCCTATGCATCGAAATTTCTACGCGTCATAATTCACCTTGCGCACTGATTGGTCCGTGTTTTTCCTTAATACTTCAAAGACGAAGCTTCAAATCCCATTTATGCAAAGGGAAATCTTATTCAGAATCACGTCAGCTACCCCTCATTTTGAGGGACCAGTTGTGAGACACCCTGTATACAGCTAGAGGCGGTCTTTGTTCCAGTTTTGACTTTATCATTTTTGCCTTGTCAAACTTGCCTCAACTTCCGTACAAATTTCAATAGTCAGGTTACAAAGTCAATAGAGGATTTCCAAGTCGAAGTTGGAAGGTTTCACGGATGAAGCAGAAAGGGAGATAATCGGTATAAAAGCGATTCTATTTTTCAATCTCTCACGGTTTCACAACCGCGTATCGAAGTTCAAAGGTCCTGGAATTCATTGAAACCGCTTTTGGAAGCGTTTGTGCTGGAAAAATTAGAGCTTCCCGGTAACAGTGACGAGGTTACCGACCCGTTTGAGGCATTCACCTGTTTTCAAATCGGCAATTTGATACGACAGAAAGCGAATATCAGGTTGATATGCAAACGAAGCGAGCAGCGCGTTCCTGGCTTCCCAGAATTTCGAGAACGATTTGTATTCGAGGATGCTGCAATCTGCGCGATACACCGTGCAGTCATTCGTATTCATTAACATGGAACATAAGAGGTGGTGCGAAGGCTTACTAATTAAAAAGCAGCGTGTTCCCTTTCAGATCCACGAAACCCACGGTAATTGAATTTCGCGTACACCTTGCGAACTCTCCATTTAGCGTGATTTGCTTCGAAAGGTTCCCTTGATTTTCTGGTATTCCTGCGATCATCCGCTGCCCTGAAAAAGCATCTGCAAACCAGGTTTCCCTTCATTTATCTTCCTCGCTCCCTGATTGAAATGTGATTACGACGAAAGAAGTCTTAAAGACGAGTCCGCGAACGTGAACTTTTCGAGTCAGAGATTAACTCATTCGAGACAGGGATCTTATTATAGGAACGTACCCAGGAGACGGAATTTTTCCTAGTTATTATAGTCTTGTACTTGCTCTTTTACTTCGATATCAATTTTAATTTGTTTAACCTCTTCTCCAATTTCGGGTGCATTTAGATATTAGGGAAGTATGAGTTTTGCATCTTAATAAAAGAGTATCTCTATGAATGAAATTATTTGCTTCTAGATAATATTTAGAAGTTCTGAGATCACAATGCGTCACGTTTTGACATAATAGTAGGGTTGTGTCCCGAAATCTCAATGCGTTGTATCACGTTTTTATCGCTTCGGGATAATCTCGGGGTGGCCTTAATGCGTTGTTACGTTTTGGGTGCTTTCACCTATTTACGACAAATCCTGAGATCTCAGTGAGTTATATTACGTTTCGGGTGCTTCTTAATATTAACTGAGTTCTTTCAATGTGTTCTGAATAATTTAAGAGAGGTGGAAATTTTGACATTTCTAAATAATTCACTTCTTCACTTCTACCACCATTTTGTTAACACATGAAGTTATACCCTCAATCATCAATTTTATACATTAAAGTCTAACATTTTCAGCATCAATAAATTTTAATAAAACCTTGAACCAACATATAACACGTGTCCTAACGTCTCAACTTTATATTACACTCTGTCTTCTGAATATCTATACTTCGACCGCCATCTTGTTCACGCATGAACTTATACTTGCAATCATTCATTTTATGTATTAAATTCTGACATTTTCAGCATCAATAAATTTTAATAAAACCTTGAACCAACATATAACACGTGTCCTAACATTTCAACTTTATATTACACTCTGTCTTCTGAATATCTATACTTCGACCGCCATCTTGTTCACACATGAACTTACACTTGCAATCATTCATTTCATACATTAAGTTCTAACATTTTCAGCATCAATAAATTTTAATAAAACCTTGAACCAACATATAACACGTGTCCTAACATTTCAACTTTATATTACACTCTGTCTTCTGAATATCTATACTTCGACCGCCATCTTGTTCACACATGAACTTACATCCCCCCTCATCAATTTTATGCATCGAAGTCAAACATTTTCAGCACCAATTTTTAATAAACTCTTGAAGCAACATGTACCGAAAGTATTTTAATAACGACAGAGTCTATAAAGTTCATCGAAAATGAAATTATATGAAGAAATTTTAACGAATTTATCGCAAGCACTCGAGCCGTTATACAACGTGTAAAATTACGTTTATCGATAACGAAACGCCTCGAATATCGAATCTCGAAGCTTCCAAGGATATTAGATGCCTTTCTGAAGTCATTCGAGTAGGTGATCATCTAATTATTTCGAGCTTCAAATTAGATTGCGTCGCGGACTGTTTTAAACTTTCCCACTAAACAAACTTCGTAAGTTTGTCCAACGTTTTGTAATTGCATTTTAAATTCCGTTGTCGCTCTGTTAATGAAATTATAACGATTGCTTAATATCGTTTAATATTCTTACAGCGGCGTTAATTCACCCCGTTATCCCGTCAGTCTCATCGGGAACAACATAGTTAATAAAGAAGTAAACGAATCCCGAACTTCGTTAGCGTTTTAATGCATTTCTCCCGTAATTCCTTGACAGACAGTCGGTAAGAATTACACGAGAAAAGCCGATTCTCCTCGGTTTACGTACGTATCAGAGAACGTTCAGCTCGAGTAACGTATTTATAGTTCCAAAGTAGAACGAGCATAACGCAATTTGTGTGAACTCCGGTGTACGTGCTTTAATTTGCGCGCGGTCGTGCTCGTGTTATTCGAACAATAAAATATGTCCGATAGTTGCGAAATTTACATCGATATGCCTCGATAATAGACTCGAGCGTTCATAAAACTAGATCCAATATTCAAACTCTGATTAACACTTCGACAACGTCGGGTGTTATGTATTGACGCTCGCGCGAATTTGTTTTTCATGGGAAATATTATAAATATTGCGGAAGCTTTATGGACTTTAGAGGATAGAGGGATGTGGAGATTTAGGGGTGTAGAAATTTGGGGGTATGGAAATTCGAGATATGGGAATTTGGGGGCATAGCGATATGGGGGTGTGGGGATTTGGAGGTTGTAGGAATTGGAGGGTGTAGGAATTCGGGGGTGTCGGGATTCGGGGATGTGAGAATTTGGGGACGTGGAGAATTGGGGACGTGGGGAATTGGGGACGTAGGGATTTGGGGATGTGAGGAATTTGGGGACGTAGGGATTTGGGGATGTGAGGAATTTGGGGACGTAGGAATTTGGGGATGTGAGGAATTTGGGGACGTGGGGAATTGTGGACGTGGGAAATTGGGGACGTGGGGAATTGGGGG